CTCCTAGTCTTTACCAAACTTCATATATGAAATAAATGTTTATTGTAATTCTTGGTTTGAAATTTAAATGATAAAGTTTCAATAATTATAATTAACTTTTATAATATAATAATTTTAGACAATTTTATATAATATTAACATACCTAAATATAATTAAATGCATATTAAATATCATTGAAAAAAATACTAAACTTGAAATTTATGAAAAGGTGAATAAATTTTTTATTGTAATCCTTGAATCTTTAAAGATGAGAGAATAGTTCATTATAAACAAAATTTCCAATAAAATTAATTGTTTGTTGATTCTAATATACTATACGAAGAAAATTATAATATGACTGGCTATTTAGAAAGATATATATTTTTTAACTTCGAACTATGTAAAAATTAAATATTAATCATTAATATAAATCTAAAGCATTTTTATCAAAATTTAAGAAGTTTTAGAAGAATGAATAGATGGAGAGAATAAAATTATGAATTTAAATTTCCTTGAAATAATTTTAAAAAGGAAGAATCACCTAAGTTTCATTTATGTAATTTCTTGAAAACCATTTAGTTACATTAATTTTTGAACCATTAAAAGGAAATTGCCTTTAACTCTCATCATAAGAAATTATAGCAAACTCAAAAAAAGAACTAAAGTATTTTGTTGAAAATAATTCAAAAAAAAATAAAATTATTTTAAAGAAAGGTTTAACAGGATTCAAAGAATTGTTACATTAAAATAAATAATGTTCCAAAAAAATTCAATAAATTGTTTAAATAGATATATTCTTCAAAATTGGTTATTGCAAAAATTAAATGGAATTATGATTTAATTATATAAATTAAGAACTAATTATTAGATTATTATTATTTTGTATTTAAATTATGAGAGTACACAATAAATTTAATGAGCTAATATTTACTAAAATGCTAACTACAATTTGAGTTAAAGCTACTATTCAAATGTTGACTCAGTAAAGTGTTTTAGTTTATTTTAACGAATAGGAAGATTTTCAATTTTGTTAAATAAATTAATATTTGGAAATTTAGGGTACAAGTTTAAAAATTTCTAAAATTAGACAGTTCATTCTACTCAAATATCATTAAAATTTTGGAGGTATTTGCATAAAACAATCATTTCCTTGTAATATCAAGAATTAATTTAATCCTAATTTTATTAATTGGATAACACATATTTTTTTAATTTAAGATTATAAACAGCACAAATTTATGATTTCTTATTATTGCTTACTATTGTTGTTTAAAGTAATGTTTGCATTTGAGATATACGAAATGGATTAATATTACTAAATCTACAAATAATTGATTGATATTGATGATATAAATTTTGACAGAGAGGATTACTATTTTTATGGAGTATGGTCTAAGTATACTCCTTTAAGTCCAATATCCTAGGTAGGTAATATTGGATTATTTGATAGTACTTGCTTCAACATCCATAATATTGTAGGACAAGCTAGCTAAAGTGTATCTCTATTATATTATGACTGCCTTGATTATAATTAGAAATAAATTACAAAAACGATAATATTTTCTGATAATGAGAGATAGCAATATTAGTTTGAAATTCAAATTGATCCTATGGAATATGAAAATGTTTGGCATTTTTTTTAAATTTTTGGATAGCCTTAAAAAAGTAAATTAGAATTGATTGTTTCTTAATTAGAGAAAAAGCTACTTCATGAAATTATTTAAACTAAATTTCCTTTCAAAAACATGGTGTCGTAATATATTTTTGGAGGAGATTTGATAGTAAAAGATTCAATGATCACTTCACTTGAAAGAGGGAGAAAATTTTGTTATTTTCCAGGAAAATTAGTTGTAGAAAAATTTATAGTAGAAAATTCGAATGCTATTCAAAATTTAACATAATAAGCAATTGAGAATTTTGATTCTTTTAAAACTTGTTATTGTAAGTAAAATTCAAACTATCAAATATCAGATATTGATATGAAATGGCGAGATAAAAGTACATATACATCAGAAAATACTATTTGCGACTCATTTACTTTACAAGGTTGGATTAAAATCGTCGAAATAATTTCCTCATCTGAAGAGTTTACGTATTACTTTATAAAATTAACAGCTAATTTTGACAATTCTTTATCCGATTAGAATCTATCACCTTTGCAATTCGGTTATAAAGTTACCCCATCTTCAAATTATATTGTTTTTACAACTTACAAATTTACATTTCCTTAAGTAACAATAGATTTTAAGGATGATCCATTTCTAATATAAGAATTGATTGAAATTCAAAATAACATCACACTCTGGCATTATTTAAATGTCAAATATTTATAGGATCAAATTTCACTCAATATTTTGTTTTTTTAGGAATCAAATGTATTTGAATATAAAAGATTGATTGAAGTAAGGTAATTTCACAGCCCTTAATTAAAATTGCTGTATGGAAATTACCTTTAATAGAATAAAAATTATATCAATTTGTATATCAGAAATTTCGCATTTTTAAATTGTAATGAATAATTTGAATCAATAACTTGTCACTTTAGCTGTCAGGACTGTGATGGTCCAACTAAATCAGACTGTCTTTCATGTTCGAAAGAATCTAATCGGATCTATTATCCAGAATTTAAGATGTGTTTATGTCCTTATAATACTACTGAGGAAATGAAATGTCAATCATATGAAGATTCAAAATTAAATTTGATAGAGGACAGTAAATAAATTAAATGTCAATATGGATACTTTGAATTTGAGGGTGAATGCTTTAAATGGTACAATTATAAATTTTATGGTATTTAGTCCTTCGCCAGTACATTCAAATGTTGTTCGTTGTCTTGAATGTTTACTAAATACTTAAGCTTGGAGTAAATCGCCTTTTTGTTCTTTAGATATTTATTTTAGTTAAGATGAAACAACCTAATAAGAGTTTGTCTATTAGGAAAAATACTATCTCTTTGATGGGTTGGAGATTTACGTTTGTTAGATCTGCTAATAGACAAATTTATATAGCATTTAAGAATAATATTTAGATTTTTATTTAAATTCTTAGGTTTTTAAATAGTTTTGCAAATCCTACAATTACTTGACGTGTTATGAATGTTCAGTTACATTCTGTTTAATTTGCGAAATTACACTAATAGGATTAAGATGCTCTAAATGTATATTCAATTACAAATTGATTGATGGATAATGTATTTCTAACTTTGAATATCCTTTGACTTAGTTCTGTATTTCTCCATATTATTTGACATCAAAAAAGCTTTGCAATATATGTCCAATTAATAATTGCAAGTATTGCTTTGAATATTCAATGGATGATCTAAGTATGACTACTTTATATCGTAATTTTGAGAAATTCGATTAGGATGAATATGTTCGAATCGGTTGCTCCTTATGTGATGATGGATATACTTTTAATTTCAATCTTGAAACTTGTGAATATGTGAAACCATAGATTTAAAATTGTTTAAGATCTTACATCAATCTCAAAAATTAAGAAATTTGTACTCTATCCTCTCTTGATTTTAACATTGCTCCAGAGATAATTAACTGTGAGAAATATAAGCCAAATTGTTTATAATGTGTTTTATCACCTGAATCTATCATTAAATGTGTAATATGCAGGATTGGATATGCTAGTTCAGTTATCAGCGGAGATTGTTATGAGAACTAATTAGATGCAGCTTTAATAACAATTGATGGAGATTGGACAATTGGAGATGGCTGGGTTTAAAGGATTTAAAGTTTTATGATGTAGTTTCTACCAAATAAATATTTTTATCCATAATCTTAATTTAATTCTTAAATAACAGCTATGATTATCGAATGCAATTAAGGTTATGAGATTTCTATTTAAAGTTTAACTTGTTAAAAGTATTGCTCGTCTGAATGTTTACAATGTGAAGAATATGGATATAGTTTTATTTGTACTAAATGCCCATTAAATTATTATTAATTTCCGATTAGAAATTAAATAAATGGGCAATGTTCTGAATGTCCACAACTTTGTCTTATATGCAAACCTCGTTCTTTAGATGAAATTTATGTATTTACTATTTTATTCTTAGAGGATACAACCATCTTTTATTTTGACTGAAGATAATTTAATTTACACCAAAAATTGTATTCAACCAATAAATGATATTAATGTCATCCTCGATCCATATTTTAATATTGCTAAATACTGTTTTCACTAAGATTGCGCTTAAAAGGGCGAATTTGAAGTGCTCTTTAGTCATTGTGAAATTTTCAGAGTTTTTTGGCCTTTTGGTTATGAATTTGACATCAACATAAATTATTGCAATTAAATAGGTATCGATACAATTACTATAAAATTTAACTTTTAAATAGAAGATGAATTTTGCGGTTTGTTATATTGGTTGAGTGCCAATACAGAATTAAAATAGAAGATATTTTCTTTGTAGAAGACTATTTTTAAATTAAGCTCACCTAAAAAACTTAACATCTAAACAAATTTTCCCATTTCAATAGCAAACTTCGATTGTGTTGAAATTGCCAATGTAGGATTAATATTTAAAGATAGTCAACACTTTTAAATAGATAATAATAGTTCCAAAGTGGAAATTAAATTACTTAATTTTTCTCTCCTAAATAGTAGTATTATCAACGTTGATTCTTTATTGGAAACTTAAACATTTGGGAATTTAAGTCTCCTTAATGTTTCAATATTGAACACTCATTTTGTTAATTCTTCTTTCTTTAATCTTAAATAGTAAGCTTTCAGTGTAGCTATCACAATAGTATCATTAACGATTAGAAATTGCACATTAACTGATACAAACTTATTCCAATTTTCAAATAATTTTATGATACAAATAGAAAATTTCAAAATAGAAAATTGTCACCTTGTGAACTCTACAATTTTTAGATATTATACAAATATTCTGGATTACAATCAATTTTTTCTCAAAAACTCCATATTATAATTAAACTCGTTTGTTCATTCAAGCCTTTTAAATAGCGAAAACTATATGGATATTAAAATAACCAATTTAGTTTTCAAAAATAATTATTTGTCAAAAAGTATTGCAATTGCTTTTAACTCTAATTTTACCTTAGATATTCTAGATGTTAATTCCAATGAATTTGAAGATTCATCTTTATTATCAACTTTATTGATCTTAAAAAAGGAAAGAATTTTTCTGTATTATTCAACGATATAGTTCAATTTTAATGTGATGAAAGACTCAGAATTGATTAATATCTTTTCAAATTAATAAACTAATAACTTAATTTTGTTCATAACCAATCTCTCTCTGATTGGAAATTTTACAATTCCTATTACAGATAGAAACCATTATTTATTTAACATCTAATGCTTTTAATTTACTTTACAAAATGTAATAATATCGAATGTTAATGATCCTTTTATATTTTATGTTGCTGACAACTATGAGATAATAATTTAAAACTTAAAATTTATAAATTCACAAATTTACCAAACGATTCCATTGTCAAATTCATGCAAAAATGAATTTGAACAAAACAATAATCTATTTTTCATTGAAGGATTTTTCTTAATTACTTTAGATCATATATTAATTTAATACTAATAAAGTATTGATAAATCAATTATAGGAATAAGATCAAGCAAAAGTTATTTAAGGGATCTTGAAGGATAAATTAGGATGACAGATTTAATATTTAATGGAAATGTTCTTTTATAGTAGAATTAATCATAATTTTTTTCTCTTCTAGCGATTGAGTCACAAGGAGTAACAAACATATTCATTCGAGACTTATAATATCTATCTAATTGTCTTCATTCCTATGCAAATAATCAATTTCAATCTTTTGCAGGTTTAATTTATATTAATTGCAAGACTGGCTTTGTATAGATAATCAATATGAATGGCTTTTAAAATGCTGCTACGAATACCTCCAATTCATTTATACAGATTCTTTCAAATACAATTGTTTTTACAAATACTACAATTTCAAATAATAATATCCTACCTCAATCATTCTGGGGTAAGTATTATAATATAGAATTTGCTGAATAATATTCTTAAGAATAAATAAATTAAATTGTTTAGTAAACATTAAACATTGAAAATATTGGAGGAATTGCTGTGGTAAAAGCTTAAAATTTTACCTGCAAATTTTGCTACTTTAATAATATTCTGGTTCTGAAAAGTTCCATCTTTGAAATCACAACATAAGGAGAAGGAATTATAGAATTGAATTCCATTTTTATTAATTCAACTATAAATAATATGAAGTTAAACACCAACGGCTCTGGATGTGTAAGCATAAATTCTGAGAATAGCAAATTAAATCTCAAAATATCTAATGCCACTTTTTTAAATGTTATAAATAGAATGACTTCTTCAATTCTTACACTTATTCCATCTAATGTTTAGAATAATATTCTACTTTTAAATGTTTAAATTGAAAATTGTATTTCGTTGTATAATTAACTGTTAAAGGCAACCTTCCTAAGTCAAACAATCTTGAAAAACGCAATTACTTTTCAAAACATCAAGATAATTCAAAAAGAATTGGCTTGGAAATAGTATTTTTAGAAATTAACAGAACTTACTTAAAGTGAAATTAAGGAAATCATAGACGAAAATAATGCTGTTTTGAATTTATTAGGTAGTTCGGTTATTATTAAGAATTTTATTGTCGAAGGTCTTTATTTTAGTCCTTTATTAAAAATTCAAGATGCTCCAAAATTCATTATATCGACCTGTTAAATACAAAATATTTAAATTATGTATCCTTTAGATCTCATTCACTATAATGAAATCTATCAATTTAAAAGTTTGATATCTTTCCAGAATTTAAGCATTGTCAATGTTTCAATTTACACCAAAGATTTGATAGATATTTAAAGAGAACCAGAAGATAAATATATTATTAAAGAATGCCATCATATAATAAGATAACCCTAAAAAACTCATACTTCATTTACTGTTGAGAATATCACACAAAAATTTAAAGAGCCAATTGAAATAGGAAAGTCATTACTTCATTTAAGTAGTATTTCAAATTAAAGTAGATTTTTTATGTCTTCAATTTAAGTGAATTTAAATAATTGTTCATATTGTTCGAATGGACTAATCTTTTTTTAATAAGACTCATTTTAAACTTTATAGATCTAAAATCTTTAGTGTAATTTTAATAAGATTCTATTTCATGGTTGCTTAAGATTTGTTCTGAAGAATAGACCTTTAAATGATGTAATAATTCGAAATTCAAATTTTCTATTTAATAATGGTACATCAGGAATAGCAGTTTTAGGAATAAATACTTCATTCTAATTGAAATCCTGTTACATTATGCACAATAATGCTAGTTTTTAAGGTGGGGGACTGTATTTAGACCTAAACAGTGAGAATTTTGTAATAAGTCAATCAATATTACTATATAATTAAGCAAAAGAGGGAGGAGGAATATATTTAAATGGAGATAAAAATTTAAATATTGAAAACTTACCTAACTCATACTTACAATTCAATAAGGCAGAATCATTTGGTAACAATTTAGTTGAAAGTCCAACGCATTTGGCTTTGAATATTAATAATATGGAAATGATGTCAAAGTTTTCAGCTAATTAGAGCCAAATAAGAATTTTGAAATTAGATCCATATTTTATCCTAGATTAAGAAATCAAAATATCAACTCAGTATTTAATGATACCAAGCAATCAATAGTTGAAATAATATAAAATATATTTACCAAAGGAGCAAGAATCCATACCCTATATAAACTAAATTTACTTAACGCTTAAAAATAGTAGAGATGAACTACTACTAAACTTTAATAATCCAAGTTGTAGTTTAAGTTAAACAACAGTATCAAATGCTTCGACTAAAATTATTGATGCTCCCTCAAATTACACATTAGAATATGATTCAGACAATCACTATTTTGATTTGAAGGAACTAATCTTTCGATTTGATCCGTACAAACAGTTGAATAACTATTTACAAATAAAATTTAATTGTTCATCTGTAATTTAAAATAAATAATTAATATATATCATTTAGGCGAGAAGTTTTAAATGCTAGTTAGGAGAAATTTATTCAAACAATGGATGTTAAATTTGTCAATCGTCTTAAGGATTTTATTCTGTTTAATATGATTAATAAAAATGTTCCACTTTTGATAAGCAAAAATTTGCTGATATAACGTCAAACAACATTAATTTATTAGAGGGATATTGGAGACCTAATTATTTATCAGATAACCCTAGTGTCTGTTTTAAGAACGTAAAATTTTGTCAAGGAGGTTGGGGAGTTGGAGATTAATTATGTAGCTTAGGTCATATAGGAGCTTTATGTGAGGAATGCGATACTTATGATATTAAAGGAGAAGGACAGTATTTTAAGAATTTATAGAACTCAGAATGCTAAGTATGTTTTGGGGTGGATGACAGCATAATTCCTTTCATAATAACTTCACTTTGGTATGTCAATTATTTAACTGTAGGGCCTGTTTCTCAGTACTAATTACTTTGAAAAGTATAGCAAAATCGAATAGACTATTTGCATCTTTAAAGTTAAGAGAAAAGCAGAGTAAAATAATATTTAAATTAAGTTAAGGTAATTGTTACTTTTGATTTTAGATCATCAAAGCATTTTAATAAAAATGTTTTTAAATTATTTATGGATTTATTCAGTGATTTTTACTTTTAATATTAACTTCTCATTTTCATTTAACTTTATAGATAAAGCTAGCAATACTTCATATTTTATGGCTAATAACTTAGACTGCTATTTATCAGAGTACTCATAAATTCAATTGGTTTACTCTAAAGTCTTTGCTATGATGATGTTAATATTATATTAATTTGTGATCATTCTATTAGGATCGTATATTTACTCGAGAATTGTAAAATCTAAATTTTAAAGCAATACTATTTCAAACATTACTCTTAGTCTCTACATTTTTAATTATGCAGGATTAATCAAAATGTATCTATCAAGTATATGTGTAGGCTAAGTTCTATTCTATCTTGGAGAGTAGTATCAGATCTTAAATATATTTAAGGTGATGTCTCTTTAAGATATGACACTGAGTATCATAACAAGTGGATTTATTACTTTGTTATCCCCGATCTGATGTTTTTTGGTTATTTAATTCCTCTATGTCTATTTGTTTTGTTGTATGCTTAAAGAAACAAGTTGGATTCCATTAGACTAAGAGGCCATATTTGTTATTTATTTAATGAATATAATTAAGACAGTTACTTTTGGGAATTAATCAAGCTCTCAAAAAAAGCAGCTATGATATTTATCATGACATATTTTGAAACTAATATTTCTCTAAAAGCAACATTATTGGGTTTGTGCTTGGTATTATATTAATTGATTGCAATTAGAAATAAGCCATATATCATTTCCAAGTTTAATGCTTTAGATTTGTATTCTGGGTAACTATGCTCAATTTCAATATTCTTAGCAGCTGCAAAGTATAATAACGAATAGCAAAATGATATAATATCATCAATTGCACTTTAGGTGTTGCTCATTATATTTTGCTTTAGACTATGCCAACCCTATTTGGTAGATATCATAAGGATTTATAATAAAAAATATAAAGTTCTATTCTTCACTAAATTAAACAAAATCTTAAAGTTTATAAAATTAGAAATTATCGCTTAATTTCTGGATAATTGGTTACTTCAAATGAAATTTCAAGAATTGCAATTACAGCGCAATCTTAATAAATTACGATCACTAGCAAGAAGCCAAGTTACAAATAGACGGTAATGTAAATCTTATGAATTTAGACTCATTACTTCTTAGATTAATTCTTAATGGACCTATAGATTCAGATAGAATAGTCCGGATGTGGAACATAAATCATTAGTACCTCTCGTTACAGATTGATATTCATATGGTTATATTATTAAACATAAAGTTTTTGATTTATGATATTTCTGGTTGGGTTTCTATTTAATTGAAAATCAGCATTTAATAAAGTCATTATATATTTATATCAGGATTTATTAGTACAAAAATATTAATATTATTATTAAAAGAAAATAAAATTTTGTAAGGTATTTTAATATGTTATATAAATTGTTACAATAATATTTCTTATATCTATTTCATAAGTTTAATAGTTTAAATTTTAATTCCCCACTTTTATTAAGGGATAACGTTGGAATGCAAATTTATTATAGCCTTAAATAACAAAATATAAATACTCTTTTTTCTCCTAACGCTTCTTTTAAATTGTATGGAATCGCAACTTTTTCACATTTTTTTCTATCCTTGATCTCCTCTATCTCCATTAATCGAGTTTTCTATTTAATTTTAAAATTAAGCCTGATTTAGGTTATAGTGTATGTAAAATAGATATGAGTAGTGTGAGAATTTTGTCTTTATATTTACTATAATAAGCTGAAATTATATCATGAAGATATGGAAAACTAAACCTAAAGCATATAAGGACGATCGCAATTGACAAAATTCTTGCCTATATGTAATCTCCTTGCTATTCACAAAGATATTAAACTGCAGCCAAGAATATTGCCATTAAGCAAAATTGTCCAGAAATCAAATCCAATCTGTTTAATTTTGGATAAATGTAAGGTAGATATGCTGACGTGATTATTTAATAGATAGTTAAGCACATACCAATCAAGAATCCTTTAAAATATACATTTGTTTCAAAGTAAATCAATATCACAATAATGATTGTTTTCTTCCATAGTTTTACCCATTCCCAAAAAGATCGATTAACACTATATTCATTAAATAAATAGCCAATGTGCCTTCTAAATGTTATTTTATCAAATAATTATCTGTTCTGGTACAAAAATAAAAGCAATGAAATTGGTATAATTAAACCAATCAGCAATGATATTGGCAATGCAAATTTATACATCCAATTCGAGTGAGTCGATGACCCATAGAGAAGAGACACATCTCCTTAAACATATTCTATATTTGAGATTTCCCTTTTTGCTAAAATTGAAAAAAGCCTTAAGTAATTATAGTATCTTACTGATTTATTAATGCAGCATAATTTTAAATATACATGTAAATTAATGTAATTGAGATTATGTTATTACGAAGTTTGGCTATTGCTAATATGGAGATGATGTTGACGACTACTTAAATGAGGAAGATTTATATAATGATTAAAGTAAGCATCATTAATATTCTCGCATATATCAATTCAGTTTCAAATGATTAGGAAAGTTAACAATCTAAATTACTAGTTAGGAAATAAGAGGTATCACTTATTTAGTTAACAAAAATAAATGAAAATGAGAATCGAATGTTAAAAGTAAAAATAACAGAAAATATCCAAATATAATTAAGAAATAGCTTTAATAAGATACTCTCTTAATCTAAAAACAATATTTTAATATTTACTTAAATTCATTTTAAATAATATATGAGCAAACTTTTGAGTAAGTTTAAATAAGGCAAATAATTAATTGGTTTTCTCCACGCTAGCTAATGTTATAAAAGTAGAAAGAAAAACCCTAGACTAAATTAATTAATTACCAAACTGTTAATAGAATTAAAGATACTATGTTAATTTAAAAGTCGCTGCAATTCTAACATGTAGATTGTTCTTTTTTAAAATAATACCCATCTCCTCTAATATTATGCTTATCACACTCTTCGCATAATCCTCCTACATATCCAGTTTTACAAATATCATCACCTACAAGCCAACCACCTTTACATGATTCAACATTTTTAAAGCAATCATTTACTAAATCTGACTCCTGATGAGGTCTCCAAAATCCAGGTTTCAAGTTAATACTGTTGGAAGTAATGGCTTCAAATTTGTTTTTATCAAAAATTGAACACTTTGTGGCATTGTACGTAACAGAATAGAACCCTTGCATTGATTAGCAAGTCAAACAACCATTTAAAACATAAAATTCTCCCAATTAACAAAGTAGACTTTTTATCTTTATATTATAAGATAATTCTTAAACCTAATTTTTGGTTTTACAGTAGATTTAAATTTCATACTATTTGTCATTTTGATTATATGGATCAAAAGTGAAAGTCAACATTCCCAGGTCAAATTTGCTTGTCGTTGAGTTAAATTAAATTAAAGACACATTTATTGATTACAATTTGGTTAATTTCTTAATATCAAATGTCTGTTCAATGATTTGGCAAGTTGAATTAGAAAAATTAAGTAATTATTCATTAAATCTATTTTTAAATTGAATGGATAATTCATTTATATAGGAAGTGAATTTATTTTTTTTAGGATCGTATAAATCAAATTTTGCTGTTTACTAATTGCTAAGAATCATCAATTTACTTTCCATAATCTCTTTACCTTATTAGATAATTTGATATGGACTTAATTTTAATTACTTTATAGATATTTAATCAAATGTAAAATCTGAAGGCATAATTTAATTATTGATTGATAGATCTAGATGAGAAGGTAACTCTTGCAAATTATTTGTAGTTGATTCAGCACGGTTAAAACGTATGAGGGACTTCTCAAAGTTTATTTCACTTAGAATACCTTCACCAGTTAAATAAATCCCTCCACCCTCTCTCGCCTTATTGTATTAAATTTGTGCAGAAATTATGTTGAAATCTTTATTATTGAGATCAAAATACAATCCCCCTCCTAATAAAGTTGCAGTATTATTCAAAATCTTGATGTTAAGCAGAACTGTCTTGACTTTTGTTGAAGATACGGCTATTCCTTAGCCACCAGTATTATTAATAAAAAGAGAATTTCTAATAACTAGCATACCTTGAATTTGTTTATCGGATAAAGCAGTAATACATCCAAATTGTTAAATATTATTTCCTATGCATTATAGTTCTCGAATCGTTATCCTTAAAAATTCAACTAATTAAAAATAGATTAAACCATAATTACAAATTTTGCAATCATTATTTTAAATATATATAGATTATAAGCTTATTTTTGTTAGATTTTTTGAAGATTTAATGTATAAGATAGATCCGTTTTAAGTGGAATATGATTAAATCAATTCAAAATTATTTTATCTTACTTTTAAATCTTCTTCGCTTATTGGAATGGGTACAACTTTTAATTTTTAACATTTAGAGTGTTCTATATAGAAGATTGGGTAACTTTAAGGGGTTAATATCTAATGCTAATAATTAAACATGCTTATTTTTTCGACTTGTAGGTTTAGAATCTATATTATTGTTTTAAATTAAGCAACTTATTCAATATGAAGCAAATTCAAATTATAAAATAAAGTAATTTAACTAAATTAGATATTAACTATTTATATTTTTTTGCAATTTATCAAATTTAGGATGCCAGATAGTGCAAATCCTTCATATTTAACATTATAAAATTTTAAATTGCCTCCTTAAATATTAAAAATAGCATTGTTTTAAGTTATTTTTGATAACATTATTGGTTCTAGGAGGTTAAGTTATCTGTTAAACTGCAGTTAAGCTTCTTAACTTTATGATATAAGAATATTCTCTAGTATTACTTAATTCTAATCTAATTATTCCACGGGAAATATAAATGATAAAAATAAATTGATTAAAGAGAAACAATTAGAAACTTGGACATTTTTTATCAAAATATTATTTGAAATTTCAGATGGTTCAAAAGATATGATTGCAGGGGCTTACTGATTATTAACTTCTGTGAAATTAAAATTTTATAACATCAAAGTTAAAAAACTGTTTTATGAATGTATACTTATTGATCCTTCTTATTCCTGATTTGAAAGCAAATTAATTTAAGAATAAGCAATACTGCAATTATTTAAAATTACAATTCCGTTCCCTGTGGTGATAATATCTAAGATAGAGCTACTTTTGGCAATTAAGTATTAAAATTATCCATTTTATAAAGTGAATTTATTAGCAACTATTTACATAACTCCTCCTTTATTTTTAATTTAAAGGATTTATTCAATCATATAATTAACTTCAATCTAATTAAGACCACTTTGTAACTAAATGTCATAATACTTACTCCAAAACTCCATTTTAAGATAATTATGGTAAAATACTTTAATTTATGCTACTTTAGTTTCACTAGAGCTGATTGCAATAAAGGTGTTAGAAGAATTTGTTAATGAATTCTGAAAGCAATAAATATTTTAAAGTACGATTGAACTATTTATAGAGTTAATAAACAACAAACTAGCAGATGATTATTTCGGATCTTCATTGTATTAATAGTAAGAATTTTCTTCATATAAAATATTCTCCAAATGGATTGACTAGATTTTATCTGAATATATTGATATCATCGAAAAATAATTTCCTTAACTGATTTTCATCAAAATGTTTCTAGTAAATGTAATATTTTAGATTGTAATATTTTAGATTGCAATATTTCCAAATATTTCATTTATATTTGAATCATTTGATTGAATATCAATAAAAGATTAATCTATAGTAATCTAATTAGTAAATTTTATGAAACCTAAATAAAGACTCTAAAATCCTTTTATAGATACTAATTTTGAATATTAATAGTTGTTAATTGCACAATCTTAATTAATGGGAATTTTAAATTCTTAAAGTTCATTTTTTACAGATACATTCCTAAAACTAATTTCAGAAATGTTGTATAAGTAAAAGTAGCGATGATTAAAAGTATTTAGTATTGATAAATTCTAAATTAAAAGACTAGAGCAACTAAGTATAAAAGAGTAATCTTGGATAGGGTTATTATTATCCTAAAAAGCTATGTTTTTTAATTCTATTTTTATTGCTTTTATTTGGTTTTAATTAATAGCGATTACTTAAAAGTTATGAAAAGTATTGAAAGATATATCAAAATCATCCAATTATATTTCATAATAATTATTAATCGAATATTACTTCTCAAAAAAAATTGAGTATTTAAACACATTTAATCTCAGCAATAAGTGAAAACAAAAGAGATCTTTATTAAATTTTATCAGCTGTGAATTTAATATCTTGTTTTCAATCAATTAAAGAGATTCGATATATAACATATTGTTATCGTAATTTTATAAAATTGAACAATTAAAAATTATTGAATTCTTTATTCTGACATCCTTTATTTTTATTTTAGATTATTCTTTCATTAATTTGATATTAATTAATGTAAAGTTATCTAAATAACATCCTTCGATCAAAAGATTTTCAATTATAATATGTTTTTTTGAGGTAGTATTAAAGTTGAACAAAACTGTATTGCTTATAATGCAATCTATCAAAAAAAAGGAATGTATCAAAATTTCTTCATTTTATGTACTCTAATCTATAGAAAATATAATTTAATTATTAATATTAGCATTAAAAATTGACACATTATAAATTTTAAAAATCCGATAAAAATTCTTAGAGATCCCAAATTCAATTGGTTTATTTTTATTTGAATAGAAGCTGCAATTTAGTATTTGATAATCTATAACTTTTTAATTATTAGTAAGCTGCATATAAAGATTATTCTCTATATTTACAAGTAAATTATTTAATTCTATTGAATTAAAATTATCAATTTAATAGAATTAAAATATCGAGAGATCACCTTGTAATCTTAATTTAAGTAGTTGTATTGAAAATACTTTTGTTTAAAATGAATTGAAAATTTGTAGATAAACAGATTCACAATAATCCTCCCTTTATAATGTTACTGTCAAAATGAATTGCTGCAGACCAATTTCATTAAAATAAGAGAAGTCAAAATTATTCTCAAAGAATGCATCAATAGAAGGATCAAGCACATCTTCATAAGTGCCAATATTACATGGCCTTGTAACCTATTATTATTATAAATAGTACTGAATATTCAAAGGCAGTTTAGTTTGGATCATATATATATTTAGCAATTTATAGAAATTGGTCAAATTAAACATTCGAATTTGAGATGCTTTTTATACACTAGGTAGTATATTGAGTATTCATTTCGTTAATTATGTAGTAAGGATTTATGCTCTAAAATATTAAATTCAAATACCTTAATACTATCAATAGATCTTAATTAGCATATTAAACAGAATGAAGGACAAATTATGCACTTCCCATTTTCTTAAACTCTATAGGGTTCTTAGTAAGGGTTAAAGGTACATAAATCACAAGTGAAACTTGCTGTACTATATTGCTTCTGACATTTCTAACAATTTTAATCACAATATTTTGCACAGTTATTATTAAATAATTAATATCCTTCAAAACATTCCACTACATAATCATAAAATCTTGAATATTTATAGGAATAATTAATTTTCGTAAATAACATTGTAAAACTTTGGACTAAATATCTCCAAATACTTTAATCATAATATGTTACTAAAGATTTAAAATAATCACCAGCTCCTTGACTTTCGCATAATCCTGAAGTATAGGATGAAGTATATGCTTGTTGACAAATTATACACTTTACAATACCTTGAATATTTTGATAACATTATTAACAATGAGGAATATAATGTTCACAACTAATTATTTAAGGAGCAATTGAAAAATCATCATTTGAGGTTAAGATACATTGTTCTTCACCTTGTTGATTCACAAATGATCTGAGACAATTGTATATTGATGGTTATTTATAAAGGCATTATCCTATTGTGAAGTCAAACGTATATCCTTCTCTACATTATGCGCACCCTACCAACACTTATAAGTCATTTGCATTAATTCCATCATTTGAATATTTGTAAAATATAGTATTCTTTTTGACGTCATCTTTTAAATAATCAAAACAATAAAGACAGTTCTCAATAGGACACAAAATACAAGTATAATAATATGTCTAATAATAAGGGGTTTCACAAAAGATAACATTTGAAGGCTATGTCGTATGAACTATATCACAAACTCCATTATTATCTGAATACGGCTTCAGACATAAAGTACATATAGGTTTAGATAATTAAATTTCGCACTATTGACAAAATGTAAAAATGAAACATTTCTAATTTAATAAATCTCCTTAGCAGTAAAAACAAAAATAAGAAAAGTTTTCAAAAGTCTTTAAGTAATCTGAATAAATATCTAAATTTAATTCTGAATTTTCACGTACTTTTAAATCATTTCCATCAAAAAAATACTCTTTTATCCCATCATCATATTTTGTAAAAGGACTATAATCATTATTTGTTACAAAATTATATTAACAATATGGATTGTTTATCCAAGTTTTTGGATTTGTAATACATTCTATGCAAGTTATAAATCTCTCTCTTATTATAGAAGGACTATGTCTATTATAAATAATTACCATTTCCAGCATTCACCTTCAAACTCAAAATATCCATAGGAACACTAGAACTCCTTTTCGTTTCCCTAAGAAATATTTAGTTCAAAAGAGGAGTAATCTTTGCATTCTCCATCAAGATCGATTTTCCCATAGACGCAAACACAAGCTTTCAATATTTCGTTATATATTCTATTCTTAGAAGAATCACAAGATATGCAATCAAATTTAGTTGGACCATCACATTCCAAACACGATATATGACATGGTTCTGGAGTAATTTCTATATCGCAGTTGTAGAAAGCCATATTTACTAATTAGATTGTTAAATAGTTGATATTTTACAATAGATTACCACGAGTCACTTTAAATCTAATCTAATTAAAGTGATTAACATTAGACTCAAAAGAATATTCCTTAATTTTTCTTCCCTCGAAAAATGATATTTTTACTAACAGAGAATTTTTGTCTTTCTTAACAATTAAAAAATGCCATAATTATATATTCACATCTATATCGAAAGTTTCCCTAATTAAAAATGGATTATCCGAGAAATCAATATTTATTGCTGGAAAAGTATAACTATAAGTAGTTATAATGATTTGATTGAGGCTTTCAGTCAATTTATAATAAAGTTAAAATGCTGATAGGTTGTCATTCAAATATTTTTGATTCGTAAAATGTGATGATAATTTTATTAATTGATAATAAATTTCTTTAATATTAGAGATCTTATCTTTGATTCTAATCCATGTTTTAAAAATAAATGCATCACAATTTAGGTTTTCTGAAATAAAATATTCCTCATTTAGTTTAGAAATAATTGAATCAGGAAAATTAGGTATATCATTCAATGTACATCTACAAGGGGGTTCGTAAATTTCAAAAATATCAATCTCACAATCAATTTAGTTANTAATAAGGGGTTTCACAAAAGATAACATTTGAAGGCTATGTCGTATGAACTATATCACAAACTCCATTATTATCTGAATACGGCTTCAGACATAAAGTACATATAGGTTTAGATAATTAAATTTCGCACTATTGACAAAATGTAAAAATGAAACATTTCTAATTTAATAAATCTCCTTAGCAGTAAAAACAAAAATAAGAAAAGTTTTCAAAAGTCTTTAAGTAATCTGAATAAATATCTAAATTTAATTCTGAATTTTCACGTACTTTTAAATCATTTCCATCAAAAAAATACTCTTTTATCCCATCATCATATTTTGTAAAAGGACTATAATCATTATTTGTTACAAAATTATATTAACAATATGGATTGTTTATCCAAGTTTTTGGATTTGTAATACATTCTATGCAAGTTATAAATCTCTCTCTTATTATAGAAGGACTATGTCTATTATAAATAATTACCATTTCCAGCATTCACCTTCAAACTCAAAATATCCATAGGAACACTAGAACTCCTTTTCGTTTCCCTAAGAAATATTTAGTTCAAAAGAGGAGTAATCTTTGCATTCTCCATCAAGATCGATTTTCCCATAGACGCAAACACAAGCTTTCAATATTTCGTTATATATTCTATTCTTAGAAGAATCACAAGATATGCAATCAAATTTAGTTGGACCATCACATTCCAAACACGATATATGACATGGTTCTGGAGTAATTTCTATATCGCAGTTGTAGAAAGCCATATTTACTAATTAGATTGTTAAATAGTTGATATTTTACAATAGATTACCACGAGTCACTTTAAATCTAATCTAATTAAAGTGATTAACATTAGACTCAAAAGAATATTCCTTAATTTTTCTTCCCTCGAAAAATGATATTTTTACTAACAGAGAATTTTTGTCTTTCTTAACAATTAAAAAATGCCATAATTATATATTCACATCTATATCGAAAGTTTCCCTAATTAAAAATGGATTATCCGAGAAATCAATATTTATTGCTGGAAAAGTATAACTATAAGTAGTTATAATGATTTGATTGAGGCTTTCAGTCAATTTATAATAAAGTTAAAATGCTGATAGGTTGTCATTCAAATATTTTTGATTCGTAAAATGTGATGATAATTTTATTAATTGATAATAAATTTCTTTAATATTAGAGATCTTATCTTTGATTCTAATCCATGTTTTAAAAATAAATGCATCACAATTTAGGTTTTCTGAAATAAAATATTCCTCATTTAGTTTAGAAATAATTGAATCAGGAAAATTAGGTATATCATTCAATGTACATCTACAAGGGGGTTCGTAAATTTCAAAAATATCAATCTCACAATCAATTTAGTTACTAATAGACCCTGGAAGATAATAATAAATATTTCCTGGAAAATAGGTGAGCTTCGATATTTATGGATTAAATAGGATTTAATTAATATTTATTTATAGACTTCCTCCTATGTTAAATTGTAAATCTGTATCATAATTTGGATATTTAAGTTGATATACTTATGTATCTAATTCTTGAGTAGTTTAAAATGCAGTTATAACAACTCTTTTTTCAAATACATTCACTATGAGGCCTAAAAAGTACCAATACGATTCATATTCAAATGTATTTAATAAATATGAATTTTTGTAAATTTTACCATCATCTCCAATAAATGTGTATGTCTTTTCTATTTATTTTTTCTAATAATCAACACAGTCATAATAAAGGAAGTTAATATTATTAGATATAATATCTATGGCATTAAATATAAAAAAGCAATTGCTATCAAAAATTCCAATCTCTCCTAACTAAGTCATATCAATCAACGGATTATATCTTGTATAAACTCCATAAGCATAACAGGAAGGATTATAAATACTTTATTTTGAGAAATCTTATTGGAAACTTTTAAATTAGTATTAAAGGTTCATACCAAAAAGTGCTAGACCTTATGCTGATTAAAAACAAGAAAAAAATAGCAAAATAAGGTAATTCATCTAGATCAGATATTTTAAATAAAAAATTTAGATATTATCTCATTTTTAATAACCGAATTTAGATAAAAATCATAGAGAATTAATTTTAATATATTTTTCATAGGATTAATTATTGTAGATCTTGTAATAATATTTTATCATTAAATTATATTTTATAATTAAAAAATATTAATATATAATATTTCATTGCTTCTTGCAAACAGTTACTGTAAAATCGCACCAACTTGCCACAATCAAATTGTTTCCACTTATTAATGCTCCAGATACTCCTTTTGGTAATTCTGTATTTTAAGCAAGATAAATCAGTTAGTTTGAGGTGAGGTTATATTCTGCAACAGTTCCCCAATATTCAAATTTTGTGTCCTTTTCTAATCTATTAATTCCTTTTAAGAATGCATCTAACGAAAAATAATTGTGTAATTTTGGAATCAACCCTAAAATGAGAGAATTTCTATCAACATCATATTCCAAATTATCAATTGAATTTTCAATATCAATAAATCTCTTGAATACAAGACCTTATGGTGTTATTTCATATTCATTTAATTATTTTGCAATTGTATCACCTGCCCAAACTCGATTCTTTCTATCCCATGTGATTCCATTCAAAACAACTCCAGTCAAAGGAACATCAAGCAGTTCTTTGCAATTTGGTTTTATTATTGTGCCTTCTTTTTCAAATTTGCAATCTACAATGTATGAAGTTCTTTATTGACTTACCCACAAAAATACTGTTTTTAATAAATGTAATGGAGTAATTTAATGTCTTCCTTCCTTTGGATCTGTGTATGGCATATACTTAGTGATTAAAAAACGATTGTCTTCGATCAATATCAAATCATTTAATATTCCATTGTATTTGTCGTCCATTATGATTGAATGCCTATACTCAAGATTGAGGTGCTCATCTAATATTTTGAAGACTTCTACTCTTTCTCCTCCATTTTAATATGCATGATTAATTGCATAAATATAGACTCCATCTAATTATTCTCTAATATCAATTCCATGTACATATAAAGAAATATCATTTGGAAAATTCTTAATTCCTAATTTCACAACTTTTGGTGCCTATTCTTATGAATCCACTATTGCATATAATCCTAAATGCTCTAGAACGGGTTTTCCAAGGGACCACAACTTATGATAGTCACCAGATCCAACAATTATTGTTGTTGAGTTGAATTTTTGCATGTCTTCTGGTCCTAAAATATCTGTGCTCAAATGTTGGCAATGCGAGTATGTATTTACAATAGGAACACTCTTAAAAGCATCAAAGAACCCGATAATCACTTTTATCAGATAAGAAATTATTGCTCCAGCTATCAGAATCCAAATTTTCATAGAATAAATTGAAATTATCCACATTAAATTTGATCAGATATAAATTTAAAACGATGACATCAGCGTAATCAGATTGATGATGTAGACATTACTAATTTAAAGATTGCATGATAATTAATTTGAAGCATTCTTTTGAATAAGTTTATTTACAATTGAACTTTCAAATTATTAATATTATCAGAATAAAAAAAAGTAATTGTAAATTTCTAACTACTTAACAGCAACATATTATTAAATTGAGATATATATAATAATCTTTCTAAAGAAGAAAAATATTTTTATAGTAAATTATTCTTCGTTAAATAACTAAGTAAGTTATTCCAGAGAATAAGGTTCATGAATAATTAGTATGCTTCCAATTTTGTATCAAGAACACAATTTAGCTTTAAATAATAATTTGGGTTAAGAATAAAAGTTTTCCTCGTAATTTTAGCTTTCAAGAAAATCAATATTATTTTCTTGATTAAAATTATTGTAATTCATAGCTTGAAGTTATACTAATAATAACTTTATAATTTTTCTTATTCGTTAAAGCATTATAATTAATTAAAGCAAAGACCAGTAAGGAATATTCAATAACAATAAAAAGAACTATTTCTCTTTTTGATAATTTAATAGGTACATGATAATTAACTTTAAAAATCTGCATTTCACTTTAAAAACATTTCTAAGTCTTAATTTCCTCATACTAAATTGCATTCTAATTGTATTTATATTTTGACCAATTTTTGGAGACCATATTTAATTATTATAATCTTAGTATAATTGAATAACAGAATCGATAGTATATTACTTAAATTCTTTTTCTAGTTCAGAATAAATTTAACTATTTAAGTCTAAATTTTTATAATAGTTTGCTTTTCTTATCTTATTAAATTTAAGAAGAAAATTTATTAATAAATTATATTTTAATGTGTATATCATCAAGATCCAGTCGTTGTGGTTGTGTTTGAAGTGCTACTACTATCGGTGGCTAAAGATCCTTTTACTTAATCCGGAGTATTGAATTTTCCATCATCCAATCCTAATGCTGATAGTACAATTAACACTATAATGGCGATAAATATTAGGCCAATTAAACACATCAATAATTTATCTGTGTAGACTTATCTAGTCATTAATTTTAAAATGAAACCTTGCAAAATATTTTATGTATTTGGCTGATCTTTTCAAAACTGATTAAGTGTCCATAACTGTGTCATACATCCTATCCAATTATGCTATTTGTTTATCTAATTCCATGTTAATTTAATCTGCTAATTCATTACCCTTTTCAACAGTGCTTATAATGCCTCCTAATTTATCAATTGCTAAAAATTATTGATTCTATAAAGTACCATCCTTCTACATCTAATCTCCCATATCGATAACTTATTATCTATTCATATCCTCCAACCTTTGAGGTTATTATTCTGATCTTCCTTTAAAGAGATTCTCCTGTGTCTGGCCTTCATTTTTTTTAAACTCTAATTCAGATTTCAATCGCTAAAATCTTGAGTTAATTGATCTTAACGAGTCGTTGTACCTACAGTATAACTTTTAACTACTTAGCACTCTGAACTTTATCAAGATTGCTTATCTCCAATTAATAACTTTCAATCAAAGTGGAAATGCTTTTCACTTGAGCTTGACATTTTTTAATTGCAGCATTTTTTTGATTGTAATCTTTTTTACTCAAAGAATCTATTTCTTTTTATAATTTATCTAATTCTGCATTCAGATTCGAATCAAATTCGTCTAATTCAGTCATATTTATTGATTTAATTTATAATGTGATTTACAAGAATTTATAAATTTATATGGAAGAAATCTAATTCAAATTGAGGTTGAGTGATGGCTTTTAGAACAGATTTATATAAATTATGTTTATAATATAACATTGGAGATTAGGTGGAATAAAACAGGAAGATTAATATTTAATAAAATGCTTCTATTAATTATAAATATTATAATAATCAGTTAATGCTAAATAAAAGTCAAAACTCTATGCAGCTTTGTTAATTATGTAAAATGACTAGTTAAAATCCTATACAGCTAATCTGCTCGCATTCGCTTTGTTTAAAATGTGGACTTAAGATATAGATACAAGAAAACACTAGGTAATTAATAGATCAACAATTAGTCAGATACAAAATAAGTTTCGCATATAATGTCCAAAATGCAATAAAATAACACTTACCTATGATATTAAAAATTTATTATTGGAGAGCAACGAATTATATTTGATAACTGATTCTAGCGAGATGGAGAAGGAGGTCTTAAATGAAGTAATTGTTTTTGCATATAACAACAGAGCTAGTTTTCTTTGCAAAAAAATTAATAGGAGGCAATTTTTGGCAGAAGAGAATCTAATGCTTATCAAATCTAGGACGTCTTTTCAAAGAACTCTTAAATGTTGAATGCATAAGGTAATAACAACAATCCTCAAATTGCTTTTAACCAAAATCAGTCCAATAAAAAGAAACCTATTATTGGAAATGAGAAAACATCTCCCACAAAATAATTCTAGAAGCCTGCTTAATAGAATCACTCAAAAAAACAATAATACTAGGTGGCTCAACCTGAAATCGCTTTAGAATGTAATAAAAAAATTATTTTACAGGTAAGGCCAAAACTCAAGCAAACACAACAAATGTTTAATAGTAAAAATTAAATGATTTTTTAAAGCCAAATTCCAACACTCCTGTTGCTACTCCCACCACACTATCTTCTTAATTATTATTCTAATAGACTGATAATAAGAAGTAGATCGCGTAAGTTTAAGCTGTTTAGCAATATAAATAAAAGCAAAAGACTTAGAATGCCAATATCTATGTGCAGGAACATCTATAAAGTAATATAAATCAAAATCAATCCGACGTTGCATTTCCTCAATAAATTAAAAAAAATAACCAAAACAATTTGGAGAGTGTCTATCATCAACAACAAGTTCAACATCAGAATAGTATCTTCGACAAGTATAATGACAATAACAAATAAATGTTATTTGATGACAAATAGAGATGCACAATAGAGTTGAATAAGGAGAAGGAGAATCAATTTTTGAAGGAAATCTCTAAAGATTGTTAAAACTCATCCAATTAGACATCAGACAATTCGAGACATAAGAGAAGTTCTACTGGCTTAGTTTAAGAGGTTGAAGAAAATGCATCAGTTTAGATAATCTAATCATATTTTTAAATGGTTTAGAAGAATGTTTAGAAATTGGAACGAGAAGTGATAAATGCTGCAAATGGCAAATAAATTGATCCATAAATAGTATACTCTAAACTCAAGGTATTGACATCTAGAATCGGAGACAATGATGGGGAGTTAGTCCAATCTATTAAGGTGATGCAAAAATTGCAACAAGAAATTTTGGGACTCTCTACTCCATCTCAGCATAGAAAAACAAGTTCTCATCAAAATACCAGTCATAGATATACTAATTCCAGCAATTATGGAAAGAATATAGAGAAAAGTGATCAGAGTATAGGAGCTATGCCCTAAGAGTTAAAAATATATAAAAAGTTCCTATGATTTAATATTATATATATTGATATTTCTGTTACTTCATAAGTCCAATTTAAAATGCTTCAGCTCGCAGGGGTCGTTGATTTCTATGGCGGCTTTTTAAGATTACTTGATAAAGTCCTTAACGGGCTTTTCATTCTTTCCATATTGGATTAAGCTCTAAAATTAGAAATAGTGCGTACTTTGAGGTATTAATTGATTTCAATTTTTCTTTTTTGAACAAAGTTCTGATCCGTGTTACCAAAGAGTCGTTTTTCAGGGAATTTGGTAAGTCTTTGGGACACATCTTTGTTCAACTTTGAATGGAGTCCTTCTAGAAGACTATATCTGGTTTAAAATATCCAATAAAGTGATCCATAAGTCACTTTAATTTAATAGATTGTGAATTATTTTTCTACAATTTTGTGGTTAATCACTTCAATTTAATAGTCACAGTTCTAAATTATAATAAAAGATTACTTATTATTCATATTGTTTACTATTCAGTGATTTTTTAGGATTCTTATTTTTTGGTCTCTTCAGGAAGGACAAGATGGGTAATTGATTATCAAGACCATTCAGGTTATCTTATTTTGATATGTTGAGTTGTTATTCAGTTTAGTTAGCCATTTTTGATGGTTATTAAATATGTGAAAATGGGAAAGGTTAGACAGATCTAAACTTTTTATTTTATTTAATGTAATTGAAAAAACAAATTTTAGTATATAAAGTGATTATATTATCAGATTTATTTAGTGCGATTTAAAGCAAAAATTAACAACTTCTTCAATTTTACTATAATCATTTAGAAATTAAGAGTAAGCACTTTAATTGTATAAAACAAGGGGTTTTGAATCATTAAATTAAAATTTCAAATATACATTTTCATATTGCAGAGTTCAACTATATATGATTAAAAAGACAACTATAAAATTTATGCATAAGGCGCCAAATGCTAAATGATTTAGCTCAACATACTGATGTAGAAAGACTTAAAATATAAGTTTTATAAATCAAATTCAATCTATACACTGATATAGGATGTTTAAAAAGTGTTCTATTTTTATTGTATAATACATTTTATGAATCGATATATTAATATTTTCTCTTAACTGAATGAAAAATTACAGTATAATAGAATTATCTCTTCACAGTTTAAATTCTGTTCATATAAACAATTACCTGAACCAATAGAATTTAACATTAATGCTTTAAATATTAATAAGAGTGACGTTTTTGTGAGTATATTTGTTGTTGAATAGCTAATATTGTAATTTTTCAGATTTAAAAAGAAAGGAATCAAATATAGTATTGTGAATTTCCCTCAAATGAATGTATTTCTGATATAACAATTTGGGAACCTAATGTCAGTCGCCATATTCATTAAAGAAGTTAATCTAAATAAAAGAAAGGACAGAATTAAATCTACATAATTGATTATTTGGATGAAATGGAAATTAAATTAACGATATCGATACTATTAATTCTACTCTAATACTCAATTGAAGGAGGAGGGCATGATAAATTGGTTTATATGATGCAATAAGAAAGAGGAGTAGAATTAGTATGTAAATATTAACAGAAATTAAAAGTAAAAGTCCGTGTAATGATGAATTATGGGATCAGACGAGCGAGATGAATATAATTAGAAAATTCTATGTACTTGGAGTAGATTATGTTAAATGAGCATTCTAAGGTTCCGTTTAATTCTCTGGTTTAATGACTTATATTTAATTACTATAATGATTCACTATAGAAATCTTCCCACTATATACAGAAATGATATGGAGAACTATCAGATTCGCCGATTCGAGAGAGCCACTCGTTTCAAGCTCTCCTAGTAAAACTAGATAGGGAGACGAAGAACAGTTAGAATACAACCATAATTATTGATGACTTCATAGAAAAAGTACTTTGTTGAATTGGTAGCTTTAAATGAGGAGAAATCAAAATATTTATTGTACAAAAGTGATTTAAAAAAGGTTCAAATTTAACAAAAGAGGTAAAAGCTCTGAATCAAGTACTGAAGGTACATTGAATAACACTGCTCAATTGATTATGCTATCTCTGCCGTACTTCTATGCAAATCACAATAAGAGATAAACGATATTGAAAAAATGGAAATAGATAATATGGGGAGTGAGGGTCATTCTGCGATATAAAAAGATCCTCAAGGATTAAGCCTATTTTGAATAGTTGTTCAGACTACCAAAAAGAAGAAAGTTGTCGTCTCCGACATCTGGATATAGGAGTCCAAAGAAGAGGAGGTTGCCAGCACCTTCTGGCGACACCTTTAATTTCACAATTATTAATAAAGATTTTCAAGAGGACACTAGTCGTTGCAAGACGAGTCGAAAAATTAAAAATCAACTCTCGGAAAATTTCTAAAAATCAATATACTATTAAAATTTGAAATAGTAAGAGCAAAGATTAGAAAGATTAAGAACTAATAGTTTACATCAGTTGTTGAATTCGTAATAGAATCAATCCTTAACCACAGCCAGAACTCAATCTGTTTTGATAAGGAAGATGAGAATAAAAAGGCAATCAATATAATGATATTATAATGTTTCGATGGTTTCACAAGTGTTATCAACAAATATATATTAATTTTCTGAAATGAGAAATTCCATTTGTTAACGAAATCTTGTACAAAATTTTGTTATAGATTCTGGAGTTTATCGAGCGAATGCTAACCAATCAATTTTGATAACTCGATAATCTAGACTACCGTCTTTTAAGAATCCGCCTCCAATTTCAACTCCATCATCTCCAAAGGAGTAGAAAAAGATGTGGAAAACAAACTTTGGCTTTCAAAACGATATATCTTTTATCTCTAATCGGGATAGAAGTCCCGATCAATAAAGTTAAAAGAAGAGCAACAGTCCTCAATCGAATTCCATAACTCGCAAGCCTTTTTAATTGTAGTTAGGAATCGATCAATAAATGTTGAACCAGCATTCGAAATCTAGGGAGAGGAGACCTTTGAGGAACTCCATCTACTCTCGGCCGACATCAAGATTAATAGAGGACTCCAGAACAACCCGTATGCCATCAACAGATCCCGAAATTAATAAGAATAATTTTAAATACCACTATGTACTTGGCAAAGGAGGATTTGGGAAAGTGTGGAGAGTTGAATTGGTGAAATCAAAGAAACTGTATGCGATGAAAGAGATGAGTAAGGCTAAGTAAGAGAAATGAACCTATTAGGATTATGGCCAAGAAGTCCGTGAATTCTGTAATGAACGAACGAATTCTCTTATCACAGTTAAAACACCCTTTTATAGCAAATATTCATTATGCCTTTTAGGATCGAGAACATCTCTATTTGGTTATGGATTTGCTGTCCGGTGGAGACCTTCGATTTCACATTGGCAGGATGAGAAGATTTAGTGAATAACATACGAGTAATGAAAGTAATTTAATTTTAGAGTTTATAATTTGCAGTATACTATTGGCTCTTGAATACTTGCATCAGAATGGAATTATTCATAGGGACATAAAACCTGAGAATATTGTATTGGACCGAAACGGATATCCAAGATTGACTGACTTTGGGATAGCCAGAGTCATCAAATCAGATAATGCTCAGGAAACTAGTGGCACTCCTGGTTATATGGGTATTGTGTGTGTAAATATGCCATTATAGCTCCAGAAGTGATGTTCAGATAAAATCACAGCGTAGGAGTCGATCATTTTGCTTTAGGAGTGATGATATACGAATTTATGATGGGCAAACGACCATATTTGGGTAAGTCAAGGAAAGATATAAGAGATGCCATTATTGCTAAGTAGATACAGCTGAAGAAAAGTGATCTGCCTTTGGGGTGGACTTTGGAGGCAGCGGATCTTATAAATTAATTGCTTTAGAGGAAACCCCAGTCTCGATTGGGATTCAATGGGACTCAGGAGATCTATGCTCATTAATGGTTTGCAGGATTCCCGTGGAAGGGTTTGTATGAGAAACAGTTGGCTTCTCCCTTTAAATTGTCGAAATCTTGCGAGGAGAACTACATAAGAGAGATTTCATCGGAACATGATTCTTTGGATCAATAGATTTAAGAGAATTCTATTTTACTGAGACAAGAGACCGTTCAGAATTTGTTCTAAAATTATACATACATGAAGGAATAGCAAGTCACAATTAAGAGATTTTGAATAAATTATATTTTATATTATTTTCACTTATGTAATAGCATAGAAAGGTTAGTACTGATTCTAAATATCTTGATTTGGACATAGTTTAAGAGTACATTAAATAGGATTTGGACTAGAATGAGTATTTCCGTTATGAGCACGACATTGATTTTGATATTCCAGAACAAGATGAATTTTTTGATTGTCTCGATTCTATAGACGAGCCTCCTTAGATTGAACGTTTCAATTAAATAAAATTGCACACCATGAGGATTAGTAGGAAGCAGCGAGTGGAAGACGAGTTGACTCAGCCTCCGGAGAAGGAAGATCAATTGCAGCTGTCTATAGAATCTATGGAAGAGGAATTCCAGTATCAAGACGAAATGTATGATATCAAGCAAATTGAGATTGATAAACGTAAGGTTATTTCGATCTTTACACTGAAGCAAGACTATTTTGATAACAAACACAATCACACTCAGTTTCTCAAGAATGTCGAGTTGCTGAGACAGAAAAATATTCATCTGGAAGAATTTTACACTTACATCAAAGAATTGGGATTGGGCTGTGGCTTTAGTTTAGATTAGATCAGATATGAATTACTCCAATAATTTATTACTGGCCTGGTTGAAATTGTTAAGTACATAGATGATGTAAAAATTATCTCCTAATTTTAGATGTTTAGATTTCAGAGTAGATGGTTGGAAAGGGAGCCCATTATCACCTTGCAGAATATCTTCTAAGCATTTTCATTCCAATGGGAACGATTCTAAGATTACACCACTGCCTTGATCGATAAATCAGCAATCAGCAAAATCAGGAGCAACAACAAGATTATAGACTACGATTCTTTACAATTCAAAAAGGGCATTGACTTTTGTCTTACTTAAATAGATGAACAATAGAATGACGGTGCAGATTTCAATATACAATAAAGCAATTAGGAAAGTTTGATTTTGTTCAAAGTGTTTGAATTGTTGAGGTTGAATGAACACTTTTTGCATATCAGTAAACAGAACCAAAAAGCCAAGAGAATCAAGAATTACTTTGCAAAATGCAGATCTCGTATCAAACTTTATTTATTGTTAAAAAACAAGGTCAAGTTCCAATTCAAAAACAAGCGAAAATCTCAAGTGTCCTTACATCATAATATCACTGAAAAATACCTCTTTATTGATCCCAATTCCATACAATTGGAGAACACATTTCATATCTTTGAAGAAGTCTCGTAACCTAATTTGATCAGAGTCAAGATGCAAAGATCTGCAATCAAAAATTTAAACTCTAATTTTAATACTATAAAGGATTATGATTACTATTAATGATTATTATAAAAATATATATTTATTATGATAGCTCCCAAATACATTGAACAAAATATAATCAACTCGGTTTGTTAATATGAAAGATTCAAGTCTCATAGAGAAAGAGTTCAGATGATTGCTAGTGACAGAAGTTCATCCAAAAAGGTACAATTTTACCATATTAGTAATTTCATATGGATTCAAATAAACTATAGAAAATTAAAACGAATCAGTACAACAGTAAAGCATCAATTCAACATATGAGGGATAAAATTTTGTATTAAGAAAATAGCAAAATACTGGATAGAATAATTAAAATTAAACCATCTACAAGATAACATTCTGCTAGCTCAATTAGATCTTTGAATTTACCAAAAAGGAAAAAGGAAGCTATGAAAATCGTCGATGAAAACTAGAAGCTGATGAAGAGATTGCAATCCACTCAAGGAACATTCAAGAACAAGGATACTTTAATGCGTGATTTTAGGAGGTACCCAAGAAAATGATTAAGAGAACTCAAGAACTTAAGTTTCGTATTTCCAGAACAGACAATAAACAGAGAATTTCGAAGATTGTATAAAGTCTCTCGCAAAAAAAGACCAAAACTAACGGCCTCACTTAGCTTACTTAATTATAGAGATTGCGTGTAGAACCATAAAGAAAGACGATGCCAAAATTATAATAAAATCATTTATTCGGTTTTTCATAGTGACTAACATAATTTATCTAAATACCCAAATTCTGAAGGCAATCTATAGGCTCCAGGTCCTGGAGATTAAGCTCGAATTTTAGTCAACTCTCTCTTAGCCCTTGTAAATATCGTAGATTTTGTATCTGCAAACTTGGAACAATAATACAACCCTTTCGGATCAATGTCTCCTAAATGAGCATAGTCTCCAGGACCTGGTGAGAGTTCCTTGGCTGGTGAAAAACGTAAGCTTTTAGAATTTTGAGGTGAAAGTATAATAGCTCCAGAACTAGATTAAAGAATTGTTTTACTCTCTAAATTTGCTAATTTTATATTTTCCAGTTTCATTGATTGCTGCAGGCAAATTATACTCACCCCTAAATTATCAATTAGACTTACGGTCCTGGTTTTCTATCCTTGTCTTTGTGACTCTCCGTTCTCATTCTTATTGTGTACTTGATTGGAGATTTGGTGTCTTTGTGTTCGTATTCCCCAGGCCCAGGAGTTTTTTGTATAAGGCCAATGAAGATACCTTCATACTTATTACCTTTCTAAGATGAAGTCAATGATGCATACATCTCGACCAACTGGCATAGTCCAGCCGTTGTTTACATTAAGAGTAGTCCTAATTTCGTAATTGTTGGGTCCTGGGGTTATGCTTTCCTGGATAAAATTTGACTTTTATCCATATCCTATTCCAGCACTACGTTTGCTCATCATCGAGGGGATATTGTATGTGTTAGGACATCTAAGGATGAACAAAATGCATAGTTACGGTTTGTCTTTGAATTCTTTGAAACGATTGGCTTTTGGAAATGAGTACAGAGCTTTGGAAACTGATCGATTTAAAGGCGACCGATTAATTTATTCAAAAGAGACATTCATGTAATAAAAATAATTATTGTGTGTGTTTGTTTTTTTGTGCATTTGTTAATAATTCATAATTGTCATTCAACATTGTAGTTGGACAAGGTGCATGATGTCAGAGTGTCGAAATCGCTTCTGTATACCAATTGATTTGCTGATGTGAAGTACAGAATCAAACTATCTACTGAAGCTGAAATGAGTAGATCTGTTGGTTCTTACTTTAAGTTCATCTGTTGATCATTTGATCTGTATCCGATGTTAAACAGACTGATCACAACAGTTTTCTAATAGTTCTAATAGGGAATAACAACTATGGAACTTTGAGTTCTGACTGATGCAAATGGGTTCCAATCCTTATATCTATTCAAGGTTGTCACTAAGTAGAGATAGGAATTGGTTGTGGTGTAGTCGAACTAGTAATTACCATCAGCATAGGTCTACACAATAAATTGAGTGTTATTCTAAGTTACGTTAAGGGGCACGACTTATCTAAATCTAGAGGAATAGGAAATGTAAAAGCTAGATTTCACATTGATGAATCCATTGTTGAATGGGATCAAGTTGTTTGATCTGAATATTGTGTCAGCCCAGAACACTCCATTTTCATAATCCAAAGTTAAGATTCTGTAATAGGTTTGTTGATCTTGTTGGTATGATGACAAACTGAAATCTGTAACATTCAAGCTTGAAGTATTGAAGAATTGTGCATCCAAAATGTAGGAAGTAGTACGAATGTACCAAGTGGTGGCTTGAATTACTGTTGTGAAGAAAACCAGTTTATTTTTTTGTGGGATGATCAATGTGTTTCCAATAATAGCAAATTTATTAAAGTTCTCTAATATTGATGGAACGGCTTAATATTCACCGAAAATTGAATAGGTGCTGTTTGAAGTCTTTTTGTAGGCTACGAAGTAGGGGGATCTTCCCTCTGATTAACAGGCCAACAAAAACATGTCATAGAGTGGGTGGCCAGAAACCAGATTACAGGTGTGCGTTCCATTGTTAGGAGTTGAATAAGTATTCAAAATATTTAATGCATCATCCAACAAAATAAATTTGGATGTTGTCAACACGATATCAGTACCATTCTGTTTAGCGTGATCGACTATTTCTTCATCCGAATCAAGGTCTAGATAGACTTCGAAATTGCAGATAGCCTATTACCTTTGAGAATATCCCATATAGAAAATGGACAATAAAAGCACACTTATCATTATTGTGTATTATTAATAATTATTTGAAAAATCCCGTATCCAAATTAAAAGATGTTATTTTTCTGAATACAATCTGAATAATCATCATACCTCCAAAAAATTCAATATAGAATATGGAAAAAATAAGCGAAAAAATAAATCAAATTTAGAATGACTTTATTATTTTAAGAATTGCTGATTAGCAGTTTACTTCGTTAATATGAAGTTTAAATCACATATTTACTATAAATGAAAATTAATTAAATATCTCCAATTATTTAAAGCTAAGTAATTAAAGAGAACTTCATTAAAAATATCAAATTAGAAACGTAGTAAGCAATATAATTTTGGATTGTTGTTGTTAATTCCCTTAACCGTAATTGAAATTTTTATTAATTCTTCTTAATTGAATTTCTTAACTCAAAAAAAGATCACACAAAAAATATAAGACAAGAATAAGTAAATAATTATTATGTATTCATAAATAAATATTTTAATGTTTTCATTCTAATTATTGGATCATCTACATCAACTCTTTATCAATTCCGGGTTTCTTTTGTTCTTTCAAGTACTATTCAGATTAGGGACTAGGATTGTATACAGAATTACAGTTTAATTCCTTTGTTATTTAGTTCTTAGATGAAATTGACACTAGAGTATTGCAATTCAATATCGGATCCGTAATCCTTCAATTTATATAGGATCAACATATCTAATTATATGAATGACTAATACCGAGATCTTTCTTTTAAATCTACTAAATTAATTGCTAAAGCAATATTTGATTCTAAATTAAATAATATTGAATGTACATCTATTTTCAAATCTTAAATGATATTATTTAAGGCATAGATTATGTTATCTTTGGTGAAGGACAGGATCAGAGTGAGTATGAAACAATTCAATCTTTCGAATAAAACATGTTTCTATTTGAGTTGTTGGGAAAAGTTCAAGTGATGAATTTAGTTGTTGTCTCTGATTACTTTGATATAACTGGATTCCAATTTTTATTTCGCAGCCTTGATAATGTAATTCTAGATGACAGAACTTTGCGTTAATTATAGAGTGTGAGGCTGGACAACGGGTTTCTCGATTTCTTTTTCCAAAGCCTTCTTCTTCCATTCTTCCGTTTGAGGATTGAAGCAAATCTCAAAGTTCTAATGACAACCACCACAAAACATGATTTCATTAACGTGTTATTCTATGCTTTTTAATTTGATTCTGTCTTCCTGTAATTATTTATCTGAGAATATAGCTAATATATATGATACTTTGAGGGATCGCCAAAAAGTTATGATAAAATTTAGTTTTATAGAGCAAAAAGGTCATGTCTGACAATAAGTTGAGTGAGGTGGGTAAGATTTCAATTAAATTTGGAATGAGACTGTCGATTTATGGATAGAGGAATTGAGGGTATTCAAAATTATTCCCCAATTATTTAAACACGGAATCTAATACACTCAAAAATACTTCCTACGGGGCTTACGATTCAGAGGACTTTGAATCTGGTCGGTGCAAGATATTGTCTCTGGATTCTAGTTGTTATAACTATTTTTCAAGTGAGAATATTTTGGCTTTCAATTTTACTTTTTCCAAATCTTCTGATTTTTAATGTTTCCCTGCTTCAAGCAATTTTATCTTTTGTTTCAGATATGTTTCCATTACGTGATACCTTTTGTTGAGTTATGATAGCTTCTCTTCAAACTTCTTCTCTAATTCTTTTATGAGTGAATCATAATAGGATTATATAGTCTGTATTTATTCCATTTAATGTTTAAGTATTATATTTTAAATAATATCGATATATGCAAATGGTTGTCGAAAGGGGTCAAAGAGAATTAAATGCGTAGAAGTAATTGAACTATCACGTAAGAATTTGTCAAAAATAAAATGATAAAATTATTAAAAAGGTTTTCGAATATAATATTATTTTTAATGAGTTCACAATAAAAGTTCTTTGTCGTGAGGATCAAGTGCTACGAGTTAAGTCCTCTTTAAAATGTGGGCGAGATAAATTCACAGGTAGTTGTAAAGGAGCAGGCGGATAGCAAATGTAAGAATTGTGACCTATTCGTAAGGGAACGAAAAGGGCAAAACAGAGATTTAATTAAATCAGAAAAACCCTTAATTCAGCACTTCGGTTCAATTGAATTATTAATTCGAAATATCCTATAAGGTTCTGTTTGAGGTTTTTCACTGTCACGAGGGGAAGAAACATGTAAATATTTAAAAATATACTAGTTAATTGGGTTCACCGAAATGAACATTTAAACCTTGTTGGCAGCCAAGGATCAGATCTATAATACGGATATCTGCAATAAAAATAAGAAAGTGGGCAGAATAGTAATAATTGGGGAGTATTAGAAATATAAAAATGATATGGTCGAATTGATACTATGTAATTCTAATCTATTACCCTTAGCTGCTGACTCATTGAGCAGGAAGTGTTGCATCTTCAGCATGCAACCCTCCCAACCCTATATTAAAATCTCGAGAACCTTCCAAGACACAAATGAGTCCAATTTGGTGTATCAATCAGAACCCATCAATTTCCCTAACAGGAGAACTTGGTATAAATTTAATAGAATGAACTAGGCCTGAAATCAAAAAGATGGCAAGAGACATTTGCAACAACGATAGTGATGCTGTGTTGCAAATTGAAATATTTGACAAGGGAAGAAGCAATGATATTTATATCGGATCTGTCAACCTATCAATATCTCAAATGTTGGACAAGAAGGGTCAGAGAAATTTATAGCATAGGGGTAACTAAAGCATAACAGGACAGTTAAGCATTTAAAAATGTCTCTTTAGAGAAATACCTACTTTCGAATAATATTTACAGGAAGGTTTGTAATTGAATCTAATGATTTCAATTGATTTTACTGACTCCAACTTGGAACCCACAAATCCTCAGAGTCTGCATTATTTTGATGTAACCAACAGAAGGCTTAGTCAATATGAACAAGCTTTAAGAAATGTCTCAGAGATTTTGATTCAATACGACCACGACAAACGAGTTCCTTTGTTTGGTTTCGGGTTTGAGATGGACGGAAAAGCCCATCATTGTTATCCATTGAACCATAACTTAGAAGACCCGGAGTAAGTTATAAAACTATGTAATAGAGTGGTGAATATACTGGGATTATTTCAAACGTACAGGAATTTCGTAGGAACAGTTAAGTTCTCTGGACCCACGCTATTTAGACCAACAATTAAGGAAGCAATGAAGGCAGCAAAAGGATTTAAAGATGCAGGCAGTGAGAAATACGTAGTGTTGGCTATATTAACAGATGGAATCATCAGTGATTTTGATGGTGCCTTTGAGTTGATAGTGGATTGTTGTGAATTGCCAATTTCGATCGTTATTATTGGAATTGGAGATGCTGATTTCACATTAATGGAAAGATTGAACAACAATGATCTGAATGAGGTTGATTCATAAGGCAGAAAGGCAACTCGGGATTTAGTTAAATTTGTAATTTTCAACAATTACAAAAACGAATAAAAGAAGTTCGCTTAGGAAGTGCTCTCTGAATTACCAGATTAGGTCGTAAACTACATGTCAACGATTGGCAAAATGCCTGGGAGTCGAGAATAGAGGAATCAGCCATTCATTGCTTAGAACTAACAATTCGATTAATATTATCAACCCAAAGGCATACAGAGGTAGAATACTTTGAAACGCCTTTTGGGAGAGGCTGATGAAGAGTATCAACCAGATGAAAGGACCATCTAAACTCAGAATTAGTAATAATTTATACAACAACCCTTTTTATATCAATAATAAGATTAAGGGTAGGGACAATAGTTATTTGGCTAGAATCTATACCATCAAATTTATAACAATGTGCAGAATCCCTTGATAGAACAAGAACAACCTCTCACTTAAAAGAATTAGTCCCAAAATCTAATTAATTCAAATTTCAACCCCGTCCCTCAAATCCAAAATACATATCTAAATGGACTTATGTCTCAGAGTAATTATTTCTGTAATTTAAGAAAACTATATACAACCTACCCAAACGGTGTCTCACATAAATTAAAATGCTGAATTCATTAATCACAATTCAGAAGGCTCCTTCCCTCTTTTGGGAAATGATGATAAGTAGCAACTTGCTTAAAGAGACGAAGATAGGGCCCAAAGTAACTAAAATAGAAACCAAAGTAATTGAGATTGAAGAAAATTTTTATTTATTAATATTATATTCTATACATTACAATTATTAATAAATAATCTGCCTCATAATATACCTATGAATCAAAACGAGAGTTCTGATATAATTGAGAAGCTGGACCTTCATATTAGTTGTCGATAATTGGACGATCTAAACATTGTCTCAGACTTAGATCCTTACGTAGTAATCTATTAAAACAATAATAACCATTGTAAGAGCATAGATAATATTGTATTCAAGGGACCATAATCGGATAAACTGAAGTGATTAAGAATGATTTGAACCCTAATTATAAAACATCCATATAATTGGAGTATCACTTTGAAGTCTAATAACATTTAAAGCTAGAAGTTTATCATTACATCAGTCCAACTTAATCTAATGTAAGATACTTCTCATGATTCTAGATTGTTGGTATTGCAGAAACTACGGTTGCTCATATAGTTGCTTCAAAAGATCAAATTTTAATGGGGGATTTAATCACTTTCTCTGGTAGAAGGAGTGGCAATTTCATAATTTAGGCAGTTGTAGTTGAGTAGACCAAAGAGGATATCCTCCTTACCTTATCTGGACATAACGTTAAAGAAACCAGATTTTGGTTTTGGCATGGCACAAGTCCATAATTAAAATTCTACAGATATATCATGGATGACAATAACCCAGTCTTAATTTATGAAACTAATTTTGCAAAGAATACAACACAACCAACATGGAAAGATGTCACTTTCACATCTTCGAAGTTATGTGGTGGAGATTATCAGATGGATATCAAAGTTGAATTATGGGATCATAGAAACAACGGTAAGCATTTGTATCTAGGAGAGACGACATTTTGCGTAAATGAATTAATAGATCATAAGAGGAAGAGTATGATATTGCAAAAGGAATTTATAAACAAAACAAAAGGTGGGGAATCTTTTGGAGTCCTTCAATTCAATAGATTTTAATTCAATCACAACTATACGCTTTTAGAATATTGTCGAGGAGGATTATAGTTAAAATTGATAACTGCCATTGATTTTACAGCTTCAAATGGCAAATTCAATGATCCAAATTCATTGCATTATATGAAAAGTAAAGGAGCTCCCAGCCAATATTTATAAGCCATAACTAGTTTAATGGAAATTTTGATATGTTATGATCAAGATAAGAATGTGCCCGTTTATGGTTTTGGATGCAAACCAAAAATGAATTTGATCAACACCAATAAAACACTTTCTTCATTTGCTCTTAATGACAACCCAGAAGATCCAGAGTAACTAATTTTTATTTATAGTTTAAAGAGTAATTGGTTTGGATGGAATAGTCTAATGCTACATTAAGTAATTGCCTAATTTGTGTTTCGATGGTCCTGGCTAATTGCTCCCGAGCTTGAAAATCGCTATGGATATGGCCTATTAATTGAAATTATAAGATAGTGATAAATATTAGATTCTTTTGATCTTCACACATGGATAGGTCAGTGATATGAAAGAATTTACTAATGAATTAATTGCTTTTTCGAACTTACCATTATCAATCATCATAATTGGTATTGGAGATGGCAACTTTGATGAATTGGAAATCTTGAACAATTAAGTCAAATCCATCGTAGATAGTTATGGAAACTATGCAACTAGAAGTTTCCTTCAGTTCGTTCCTTTCAATTAATTTAAGAATGATCTCGCTAGGTAAGTCTTGCCTTAGATAAATAAATAACTATTGCAGTATATGAAAGTATTGGATAAGTCTCCTAAGCCTATAAATCATAAGAACTTATTAAATCTAAAATTGACAAGACAGTATCCATAACCATAGCCATGTGTACCCTTATAACCGCAATTCCCTTCAAAACTATTATATCCTCCATAATTGGTATTCCCTCCATAATTATCATATCCAAATTAACCACAAACAGGTGTTGCACTTAACTAACAAGCATATACAGATTAAGCGTTTTAACAAGGCCTTGCGTAATAAACGAATTAATAGTTCGCCCATCCATCATAGTGATTATCTTATATTTGTTATATATATTTGTGAAATATCATAATCCTTAAGAGTTTTACATTCATGGGGAAATTGAATCAATTTCTAAAATAAAAAATTATTCCTAATTATGATCCAATAGTTAGAGGATGATCATTTTAATGAGAATTAAGAGTTTCTTAGGGAATAATAGGAATAAAAGGAATAAGAAGTAATAATTATTATGGAATAGTAAATAATGTTTAAATTATAGAATGAATTGGATTTTCTTTAACCATGAATATTTTTGTGGTTTTGTATTGATAAATGAATCCAATTCTAAAAGGTCGCAGAAATTATCATAAATGCCAGAATTAATATTTATATATGTCTAATTCAAATAATAAAGCATCTTACATAAAGCCATTCCTCTTCGGAGGCATTTCAGGATGCACAGCCGTTGCAATTATCATGCCTTTGGATACATGGAAGGTCAGACTCTAGATTTATAGCGAAAGCAAAGGGATAAGTCATGGTTCAACGAAGGTTTCTCCAATCGAAGTGGCAAAGGAAATGTATAGAGTGGAGGGACTGAAAGGGTTCTACCAAGGGTATATAGAAGTGCTATCTGATATAATAGGTTGGGATCTGCGATGTTGAGACAATTGACTTATGCCACTGCTAGACTGGGAATATACAAGGTGATTGTAGATTAGGTTAAGATCAATCAAAAAAGTAAGAATAACTGTATAACTTGATTAGGAGATCTGAGTTTCTTCGAGAAAGTGGGGGCATCCTCTTTTTCTGGTTTGTGTGGAGCTTTGATTGGCAATCCTACAGACATTTGTTTGGTAAGATTTTAGGCGGATGCAACTCTGCCAGTAGCAGAACGCAGAAATTACAAAAACGCTTTTGATGCTTTATATCGAATAACAAAGGAGGAGGGAGTGCCCACTTTATGGAGAGGGTCAACTCCCACAGTATTAAGAGCAATTGCAATAACAGTGGGTTAATTGACAACTTACGATGAGATTAAGCAGTGGTGTATGAAAATATTCTTAAGAAAGAGGGAGAGTATGTCAGATCGAATCATGTATATAGAGATAATAGTAATCAAATAGGGCATCTGTTGGAGCTGGTGTAGTCACATCTGTGTTGTCATTACCCTTCGATAATATGAAGACCAAACTTTAGAAGATGAAGGTGTAGGCGAATGGAAAGTACCCGTATTCAGGAGTTGCTGATTGTTTCCTAAAGACTGTTCAAAGAGAGAAGTTAACAGGATTGTGGGTTGGATTGCCTGTTTATTTTGCGAGAGTGGCTCCTCAATCGATAATCATTTTGTTGGTGTAGGATTTGCTTCATCATGTTTTTGAGAAGCATTGATTAATATTTGTTTATTTTTGGTTCACAATTTAAATTTAATGAGTATATCTATTGAACAATTTTAATGAATATTTTATAATAAAAACATTTGTTCTTTTCATAAAAGAATGATATTCATGCTCAAGATGCTGAGTAGGATCATGGTCCACATTTCATATTTGGGAGCAGTCCTAAATTTGATCTCGTAAACGTAAGTCCTCATTTAATGCTCGCTTGGATCATCATTGGAAGCATAATAGAAGATGGAATAGTTGGTATAATGAGTGAGACCATCAAAGGTGAAATTGAGTGTGGCTGACTTGTTGAATCGCTGTCTTTCATAATACGTCAAATTTTCTGGTTTTCTTAGAGCATTGCCTTGTCTCAAATCGTAGAAGGTGGGCATTTTGGTTCTGTTGTTGAAATCAATCATGCAGTAGACAAAGCCTTCTTAGTCCAAGGAGATGTTGAACAGTAAGATTGAGTTTGTGCTGATGTTGAGAGTGACTTCATATTAAAAAATGGGAACCGTGGTGGAGAGGGCAGTCAAATCAGTCAATTTAACTAAATTGGGTAGTCCAGCGACTTAATCGTATAAATCAGATATAAACTGAGTCTTATTGATTCCTTTGGTAAGCAAAGAGGCAGTGACTGTGTCTTGCAATTCAAAGTCAATTAAGCTGACATACATTCTCACATTCTTTTCGCTGTAAGTATTGCTACTCGTAGTACTCAAGAGACGTCTTCTTTGTTAGGAACACCAAGTGTTAATTGAGTTGCGAATGAGTCTGGCTGGCACTTTGAATTGCTGAGTCAAGAAGCAGGTGATACTGGTAGAGAATTCTAAATCAATTTCGCTATCAAAAATGAAGTCCAGATAGAAAGACTTCCCATTATTGGATTTTGTAGTTTGTAAAAGCGTAGTGGCCACACTGAATTTGGTTTCAACATTTTTGCACACAGTTGTGATATTATATGTTGTAGCTGGTCTGAGTCCGCTGACAACGACTGTGTAATTCTTCAGAGGGACAAACACATTCTTTAATCCAAAGAATTGATGATAATAATCATCAATGGATGGTTCTGTCCAAAGAAATGTTCTTGCTTAGATTTCTTCTGGATATAAAATCTCAGATCCATTGATTGAAATGTAATAGTAAACAACTGCATATTGATTACAAGTCACCATGAATTTTACATAATTGGATCCTCGATCCACACTATAGAGACTCGATGTTGGTCTCTTTTTGTTAATATCAATAATTCTGTAACTGATAGGATCGACAGTTGTGTAATATTTTTAATAGGATCCTGACACTTAGAAGGTGATCAATCCTGAATCACCTACACTGATTCCACTGTCTTCGGATGCGAAAAGAAAGGCTCCCACTTTTTGATTCAGACCAAACGTAATCGATGATTTACTTTTGAAATATATTTTGTCTGTATCAGATGATGCCTCAATACGAAGATTTGATGCTGGTTGGCACTCTGTGAGATTGAACAATATCGGAAGTGCTTGACCTCCTAAAGTCAATTAATAAAGACTCATTTCAGTGTTCAAAATGCAGGACTTTTACGACAAGAATACTCTCAGAAAAGGCAACTGTGTGTGTTTGTCAAAATCATCTGTTTTTGCAAATTCGATCAATTGTAATCCTTGTGGTGCTTTGCTTGTACCTGCTATTGAAAAGGTTGTGTAAGCTTAACCCATAGGGGCTATGGTATTGGTGGGATTGGCTATAAAATATGGATTGTCACAATAGATTTGGAATGTACGCAGAAATAAGCCTGCATCAGATGCTAAGCCTATCACTTGATCAAAAATCCCTGTCTTTACTTGCAGTGTCCTAATACTTTGTCGAGTGTTCATGTCTATCCATTTAAGTGTCACTTGATTTGGATTGGAAATAAATGGAAATATGGGAATATTGAAATTGGGAGCATGGGATCTGCCAAACACATATGTGGAATTCAGAACTGTGATTGTCCACATGTTGATACCGCAAACGGCATAATCTGGGTTACGCACATTGCCTAAGATCAGGTAATAATATTATGAGCCAATGTAATCGCTTTGTTTAATTGAAATAGTGACTCTGTTTCCAAAATTTATACACGACTTTGCATAATTGGTCTGATTATTTTGATCATAGAGGGAACAAGTGGGTAATTTATAATTTATGATCATATCCCAAGCAGGTGGGAAATCTATTTAGATTATATTGGAGACATCGATGGCACCTGCAGGAAAAGATACCTTAAACGTTATCGTACTGAAGGCTCTGATGTATTATTGGGTGGTATCAATCCACAATGTTAGAATGTTATTAGGAGGTGTAGTGACCATATCCTATCCACTTAAGTCATATATCACACCGTATTCACCCAAGACAGTAATATCTACATTGTTGGTGAAGGCCACAAAGATTTCGTTTGCTTGATCGTTGAAAATGGCTGAATTCTGAGCACCATAAATTCTGATTTGCATCTCCTATCCTCTTGGTATGGATATGTCAAAATTTTCTAAAATCACAGTGTTTTCGACATCAACCGAACATGCCACAAATAGATTATTTAAAGAACAATAGGTAAGATTGCTGGAGACAATGAAAGGATAAGTAGTTGGGAAAACCACAAATATGGAAGTGCCCAATTTCACATCGATCAAAGTAGTCGTTACATTGATGAAGAAATCCGTGGTTGATCCACATAGGTTATTGAGTTTCTAAGTTAATTAGATGTTCTTTATGGGTAGAATGGTTTCATCATATAAAGAGTCCAGTGATATGGTGCCTGATTGCTGTATGATTAGATATGTTCCCTATAAGATAAGACTGGTATCCATCGGTTCTGGATTCAAACTGTATGGTATGACCATGCCGTAACACTTCAAAGTGAATATCTAAGACCCAATTATGTCATCAATGGGGTACAACTTGATTCCACTTACTGAGCTCCCTCTATCAAGCGTGTAATCTGCTTGTCCAAAAGCATATGATGGGAGTCCTTGTTATTGGACCTAACACATGATGTTTTTCTGATTCCTTTGATTGTCATCGAAAAATCCTCCGATGTTGATCAACACATATTCCTATTTCCAAATGCTACGAGTGAATTAGAAGTCGACACTGATTTGTCCCTTTGCTCTTCTGTTGTAGAACTGGAACTTCGGATTACCAAAGAAGGCAACATAAGCCACATTTGGATTATCGTCATATTCAATGGCCCCTTGAACCTTCGACACATCGATGGTGTTCAGATATTCTGACATTATCCTTATATTAAACAGAGATTTGGAAACAGCACCAGTGTGCAGACTATTCAATCCCCAAATGTTGAGTGTAAATTGGCCATTTGTCCATGGACAACTATCACAATTACTGATTTTGAATAGGAAATACACATAGGAACCTGAAGTCGATCTTGAAACAGTGCAAGTGTGACTTAGCAATCCATAAAGTGCTGATTCAATTGAACATCTAGATCCTTTGTTGATGGCATCGAAATTAATGGTTGGAGCTGTTTCTAAGAATTCTAATCTAATGGTTGTTAAATTCGGAATGGGATTGGTAGTATAAAATTTGATTTAGATTCTTTGTTGTTTCTATGCAATCTCAAGTTTAGGAGAAACCTGTAATATTTTGACTACTCCCTTGAGAGTGATCAAGGTGTCAGTGTCTACCTTGAAGACTCCGAGACCGTTGACTTTGTCACTCCAAGCATAGACAGTTCTGTAAGGCAATTTATCACCATTATTGAAGGGTAGGTTGCCTGCTTTGATTGTTAAAGTTGTAAGTGGAGAATCACTGGCTTTATCAGTGGGACAAAATATGACGAACTTAGTCAAATACTCGAATGTCACACACCCTGAGACTTTGGATGCATCTACAGATATGGGAGTCTTGATTGTGGAATCAATAGTGTAAAATGGCTGAGTGGAGACGAGAGTGAATCCACCACCATTTTGATTGTCATTGGCAACAGTGTTGATATTAATAAAACTGACATCATTGTGACCAATAAAGAAGGTCAGATCTGTATTATTCTTGCCTACGGTGATGGCTGAACTAACTTATAATTAGTATGGAATTGGAGTAACACCGTCAGATTCCAATGCAGGAGAGACACCAGCTCTTGCAAATCCATTGCCTAATCCTGCTACTGATAAGGGGAATGCATATTATCCACTGCTGATGTTGTCTTTACCAGTTAATCTGAATGATGTTCTTATTTGGATTAGATTATTGATCTCAACGACAGCTGTGAGAAAGAAGCTCACTTTAGTATTGGATGCGAAGGTCTTTACAGGGATCAGCAATTGGAAGGCATCAGCTTAGTTGGTAGGCAAAGATTCAAACTCTACGTCCAGTCTCTCATAATTGATATACGACTAGCCATTTGCCAACAACCCTGAGGAGTAATATTAACAGGTTGGTTGAGTCTGTCCAGTATATTTGCAATACACTCTGTTATCATTTTCAAAGTCAGAGGAAATGTAGATCGGTTGAAGATTTGTAAAAAATAGGGAAATCTTAGTTTGAGCATTCTCTACATCGGTGTCTTGGAAGTAACCAGATAGCCTAATCATTGTGGGGAAGTAATCACCAGTGTTCCCTGAGGAGGAACTTGAAAAATAATTGACTATGCCTAATTTTATGTAAGCGGGAGTAGGAGAGGTAATGGTGTAGGCATTGGTTAAGAAGGATTGTTTGAATACTGGATAGGTACTTTCAATTTAATCGAACGATCCAATATAAAAGTCTAATAGATATTCATCTGGATATAAGGAGGAATGGAATTTAACTTATAAATTGCTGATTGCGAATTAGAGGAATTTGGTTTGTAATTCATTGGTGTTGTAAACAAACATGTTGAGGAGACCTTAGGCATCTGAACTGGCAACAGTGATGGCCAAGAAGTTAGCTAGGTTAGAGGATTTGTAGTCATATTTAAAGAATTCAGATCCAGAGAGTGTTGCACATTCAAGATTTGCTGGGTCTGTTGATGACATTAGGATTTTGTCATTGGCAATAATGACAATACCTGCACTATACGGCAGCTGCTATGTTCCAAGGACAGGAGTGACTGCTGGAGTGATAATTTTATCTATTTTAATGGCCAAATTGAATTTTAATCTTATCAATTCGATGTCACCATCATCTAGATTGGGGATGATTCCGAGTGTGTTGGTGAGAGGATCATTTAGAATGGATATGTCCATTTTCTAACTAGATACAACAGTGCCATCGTAAGCTGAATTTAACCAATCAGGATTATTATTGGTTTGGATGTATTCGACTGGATTTGATCTAGGATAGATAATGAATTGTACTCAACAATGACTGACAGAGTATCCTTGATTCCATTGCTGACTGTATAAATATTCATGGAGCCAAACTTTTATTCCAATGGAAGATTGAATTGATCATATGGAAATGTGGCTCTGCATCCGATGTAATAAGTGGTTGCCAAATACAGTTATCCAACATTGTAACAGACTATTTTGGATTGAGACAACTTGTTGGAATTACTGAAGATACATTTGCTTTCCTTTCCTGGATAGGATGGCAGATTGTGATTGATGCTCATTAAATAGCTTTTGAATTTCATGGGTGTGGATACTTCAATTTGTAATTCGATGTCTTCAGGCAAATCAGAAGCCATGGCAAATTACCACTTGAATGCATTGTAAGGGTTGTATTTGCCATTGGCATCTCCTCTGAAAACCATGATGGGAAAAGGATAATAAGAGGATGATCTGGAGGAGTATTCTAAACCCCAACCCAAATACAATTTGTGAGTTTACAACAACACTTGTTTCACTTGGAACACAGCCTCAGTCACTGTTCGTTCGTTGATGGTGTTGGAATATTGTTGCAATGATCTGATTTCCATAGTCGTAGGCAGAGTGACTCTCAAAGGATTTCTGACACTCACTTGGAAATAGAACCAATCATTCACTAGGATGTATTGTTTGATTAAATAGACAACCATCTGAGAAGCCAAGGTGCATTCATAGGGAATATCATTTTGTAAACTGCAAGTGCCTTCAAAAGTAAAATCAGATTTGAAGATCAATTAGACTCTGGCTCCTTCATTCATCTATTTCTTAAACTAAACTCCCACAGTCACATTGTAGATTTGATTCATTGTACTCACAGTTTCACTTACCTGGCTTCTCATGTCAGAACTCGGTTCCAAATCCAAGGCAAAGATTCCTCCATTGGGAGTGTAATCGATGATCATGGCTATCGCAGATATTGATGTAACTGTAGTCAATTGAATTGGTTCCTTCACTCCAGATGACTGGATGTTAAGATTCTTGCCACTAATCTGGACTATCACATAATAGTATTCATTCGATGTCAATTCCACTCCGAAATTCACGTAATAGGCGTTGTTCTCACCACTGTTGACAAACACTTGTGCACTCTGCTCATTCTCCTCTCCGCAATGGTAATTTCCTTTTGCCTATTATACTTCCCTTATTATGATTACTTGTTTGAATGTGACCACCACATTGTCAGGCACATTGTTGGTGTTTGTGTAATGAAGTGCGAATGGGAATTTGATCCTCAGGTATCCAAAATTAGGCAATGGATTACTCAATTTAAATGGTATAGTAAATTGACTGGCATATCCGGCATTCGTATAATCCAACTGGATATCCCAACTCGATATGTGTCTATATTTGTTATCTCTTTATAACATACCCACAATTTCCTAAGTGAAGTAGTAATAAAATTATTAGCATATTATATATATATATAAAACTAACTTATTTAATTAATTTTCAAATATCACTATCACTGTCATCATCATTATCCATCAGTCTCTAAGATCTATACGATTGATTCTGCAACTACTACTGTAATCTATTGAAGGATGGACTTCTCATCTCTCCATGCTTCTCCACTATCATCTCCTTCATATTCTAATTCAATTGCGTAATCTAATTGCTCAGATCCTTATTCTCCTTCTTCAACTTCACTATGCGTTTCTCCAACACAATATCATTTCCCTCCAACTATTCCAATTACTATTTCAAACTCTGATTCTCCGCCATCAGCGACTTCTTCTCATGTTGCAATCCAGTCACCTAAGCTGTCAACTTATTGAATTTCCCCTCCAAATCATCCAACTGCTTGTCACTCAATTGCACCACCCTCTCAATCATAAACTCGTTCTACTTGGCCTCAGATTGTTTCTCCTCCACCTACTATTGCAATCTCCTATTCTCCTTTTGCACTCCATTGTACTCCACAGTCACTCTCTCCAACTCTTAAATCGCATTGTTCAACTGCACAGACAACTCTTAGATCTACATTATTGTATCATATGCTTACTTCATAATCCGCCTGTTTCAATTGACTATTCAACTGCAAATTCTATTACCTAACCTTGTCCTACTCGTAATGATCCTACCTTCCCCCATTCCTTTCTGTGCTCTCACTATTTACTCTTCCCAACTGACTCTCCAACTATTTAGATATCCCATACAATTGATCATTCTCTGTTTATAGTTTCACTCTCTCCATTTTCATCTGTCCATTCTCCTACTCCAACATTTTCATTGCCATTTTATACTTCTTCAACTTGTCCTTGTACTACTGGTGATACTTCTCCTTCTCCGCCTTCAATTAAGCATTCTCAGTATCCAATCTCACCTTCAATTTGGTGAATCTCTATTCAGTCAAATTACATTCTTTTATGTACTCCTCCTGCTTCTACTTCAGACCCTGAATGCACTCATTCAACTCCTTGCTCTTCTGTTTCTCATCATCCACTCTCTTGCATTGCTCCTCAATCACCTTATTTAATGTTTTGATATTGTCTTCAGCAGCCTGCAATTACTGTTCCCTGCCCTTCAATTCAACTGCAAAATAATCCAATTCCTAATACAATTACTTGTTCCTTTCCTATTCCTATTATATTAGACCCATAAATTCATCCTCTCTCTTCTCATAGTGTTTGATGTTTGTGAACTCCTGATCCTTCATCATCTCTATCTCATTCTCTAACATCCTCACCTTCTACTTTTGTAATTCGCACTCTTCATTGCTGTGTACCAATTATAAATTTAATTGAGTGAGTGTCTGATTCGATTCCCCTACCTAATAATCCCTCTGTTTTTTCTATGGGACTTAATTATTGTCCAAATCCACTTATCTTCTATTCTCATCAATGTGATTCTCCAATTATTAAATCAACAAATCCCTGTGCTTCAAAGAATCTTCCAATTGGTAAACCTTGCTTTACAATCTTGTATTCTCATCATACAAATTCCTTAGTTCTTTTTCGAATCTCAACACTCTAACAATCTAAATTATCTATATACTTGTAATCGTCCTTCTCCTTCAGTAATTCCTTTATCTCTTAGAACTACTTAGAAAAATTGGCCTCCTATCTACTGGGCTGTCTCTCTATCATACTTTAACTCTTAGAGTAGTTAAGTTGATCAGATCCAGGCTTGATAATTCGAGATTGTTGTTCATCAATAACAGACAGCTTTGGGGTGGCTTATTATTGTTATTACAACCCATAATCCCTACCTAATTGAGCCCTGGATTAATTGTCGATTTAGGACAAGGCAACTCTCTGACTCTATTACCCCTTTGTTGACTATCTTAATTCCTCTGCAAATTGTAATGTCATATAAGCAGTGATATGATCCTACTGCACTTAAGACACACAAAACAGGGCTGTAATGTTATTAAATTTGGTCTCTCTTAATGCAAGAAACAACTATTGAAGTGCCTTTGTGTCCAATTCTCTCTCTTATAAATCCTACTATTGGATTAATAATTATTTTAATTTGGCTTAAAAGTCTTTGGCCTCCTATGTCACTCTTCTGAATTCGTTCAGCAGAATTAAATGCAATTGAGATATCTCCTATTTATCGTGCTAAAGGATAAATTTCAAAAATAAATGGCAATTCTTTGTTTCTGGATGTTCCTTCACATATTGTTTATATTAAAATAGACTCTAATTGAACATCTTTTTAAACTCGCTCCCACTTTTGACCCAGGTGGTTTTGATAGTCTAACTTCGAGTAGATCCTATCATGTCAACTGTTTCGACATTATTTACCAAAGCAATTGAACAAAATAGTTTGCCCTTTCCTTTCAGTTGCTTCGACCCCTCTATCAGGTTCAAAGTGTTCTCAACAACCAAAAGGGCCAACCCCTTCTCTTAGCCTTTGTCCTCCCCTTTCAAAGTGTATTTCTTGCCACTTTCAGGTCCTCCAGCAACAAGCAAGGTACCCGAATTTCCCAAAACCAATCCATTAACCTTACTCGCCATTATTTGATCGTATATTAATTGTTAATTTGCCTTTTCTCCAAAAACTTAATCGAATTGGAAGAGATCTGCATTTTCAATAATTGATTAACGCTATTTCATAATATCGGAGTCACTCTTGAGATACTCTTAAATGATCTTTTGAGATAGAGCATTTCTTGAACTGACCACAAGTGTCTAAGGAGCTATAAGATTATTGTTTGCAAATACATTCATTAGATAAGACACCTGCAAAGATGTTGGTTCTTACTTCCTTTCTGGAATTGATACTGCTGGTTGAAGTATTATTTGGTTATGGCCTCAAACGACAAACCAATTTCATAGATTGTTAAATAATAAATTTAAATTTGTATTTACCAACTATGTTATAATTACAAATAAATTAAATTTAAATCACTATTAGACAGAGGCTTATCTACTTCTCTATTGCGATATCTGCTTACTACGTATGATGGACAAACGAGTCGGTTGCTTCATCTGAACCTGAGTGTTGATGAATTCCGATTGATTGATGTAGTTGTTATCAGTGAAATAATTTGTAAATTAGAATGCTTAATCCATACCTTGCAGACCTTCCTTAACCTCGTATTGATTGGTATAACTATCGAAATTAGTTCTTAAGATATTCTAAAACTTCTTGAATTCATCATCATCCAAGTGTTCCTACTACCCTTGATCTATTTCCTTCAATTTCTGTTCCATTTCCTACTTGACCCCTGTCTGTAAGTGATTCACCTCCTGTCCTTCCTCTCTCTTAAAACATTCAATCCTCACAAAAGTTTACCACTTCTTCTTCTCTTTCCTCTTGAATTTCGCTCTATTCTGTTTGTTTTAATTAAACACAATCAACTTATTCACATCCACAACCAAATGAGTCACTTCACATTCAGTACTGTAATGAGCTGTAGATTGACATGTATAACACTGTCCTATTGCTGAAAAATCCTTCTGAAACTCAATCTTATCTTTAATCATCCAATACTTTTCGTAATCTTCAGAAAATTTAGCCAATGTACATAAGAAATCTTCTCTACTTATCTTGTATAGTTAACTGTATTGCAGTGCTTAAGCAGATGCCTTCCTTTCAAATCCAGTAAGAAATGAGTATTCTCCAAAATACTCACCCTTTCCTAATTTCTTCAATAATAATTGTTTGTTGAAATTATTGGGGAATATGGCAATCTATCCTAAGTTAATGAAATATATTGATTGATCATCCAAAAACTGAGGATCTTCTCCCAAGAATATCATTTCATATTCTGCATAATTCATTTCCTAAATGTTGGATGACAATTCTCTTAAAAATCCCCTTGAAAAGTTTGTACAAAACAGCGGTATCTATAAGAGTATTTTCCCACAACTGGCCAATTGCAATTCAGCCTTCAATTCTGGAGCCAATTCCCCTATAATCTCTTATTCCCCTTGGATGTCCCTATTACCTTCTTAAAACCAATGTTCATTCAGATATTATCTGACACGTTCTCTGAGTTATTATGGCACATCTTTTACCATCATGTATCTATTAATTATCAATCGTTGTTGATAGCGTTTGATATCGTATATAGCATATTCCTCTAATATTTTAAATATGATATTGACCATCACTGCAAAGATGAGAACTGCAAAGAGAATACCTCCCATGCCAACCAACACTTCGAAAGTATTCAGTGGTTGCATGTCTCCATATCCCATAGTTGTTGTTGTTGTACCTACACTAAAGTAATAAGAGTAGAAGAATTTTTATATCTAAGTCAATTCACTTATTGCCCCGAAATTGCCTTCATGAGTTAACCAAGAGTTGTATCCGTTGTTAGTTGCATACAAACATGCCAAATACCAAATGCATGCATAAACAATAAAAACGAATTATAAAACTGCCAACACTTTGGCGATTTAAAATATTGTCCTCACTCTTCGATGAAGCATCACTATCTCACCAAATTAAAATGATATTCTGGTTAATGATGGGTATTTCAAATAGAAAAAGAGATACAACCATCTCTCATTATATGTCTACATTATCGATCGAATCATTAAGGCTAAAGTTGCAATCAAATCAAATATGAATCTCGATTACAAATATCGATGAGCGATCTTGGCTCTATCCACTACCAGATTCCCATGTGAATAGTAAGCCATATGGAATTCCAGGCCCATATCCAATGAGAATGTCACAATGGCCAAGACTGTAATCAGGATTTAAGTCCATTCAGGTACAAACTCGAATTATATCAATCCATACATCCCACACTTCTTTGTCAAACGAAATATAGATTGGTATTTCATAGAAGAAAAACAAAATTATTGTTGCGACCCATCCCTTCCAAAATAATAAGCCTGGCGTATTGGGATAGAAAATTGGAATTGATTCGTGAACTATTCAAATATTGCATTTCACTTACACATTCTATAGAACCCAGGCAAAATCAATTGAGTTTATTTCACTTCCTTTGAATCAGCACTATGTTCAATCACATCATCGTTGTATACTTTTTGTAATAATCTCAATTTTTCTTCAGGCTATATCTCATTGCTTTTGTAATACTCGTAAATATCCTCTACTTATTTCTTGTTTCCTTTTCGTAATTCAATCAGAATATGTACTTATTAATGATATTGTCAATGCTTTCTATTTAGCTGTCTGCAATTAAACACCATTATTAACATGTTCTAACTGCTGATCACCAAACTACCTCATTTCGATGCTATCCACTGACGAATTTGCAGAATCCTATTCCCTATTCATATTTAAATTAATTAGATTTAATTATTATTTAGTGTCCAAATATAGTAATCAATTTATTCAAAACTTTAAACTACATCTTATAAAATATATCGTTTAAAGCTTATTCAAAACTTTGATTTACATAATACCGAAACTAAGTAAGCATTAATATAAGTAGTATTTTCAATCTTAAACTTATCATGGTTCTATTCCACACAAACTACCTAATCAAATTTTATCTATTTTCTCTCGGTTTACATTTTAGTTCATTTTTCAATTTTCTTCCCATCTTACAGTTTTATATTGCTCCCATAATCCTAAGTTATTCATTGTAATCTTTTTTATAAAAATATAATAGTCAAAAAATATTTTCATATCACTAAAAGAAGTCTCATGGCTTCATCAAGACTTTGACATTGTTGGATTTACTTCAAGATGAATGTTTTAGCATTGATCTCTCTTGCATCTTCAATTTAAAGCAAGACTTTCAGATAGTCAATAACACCAATTAATTCCTAAATCAGAATAATTTATACATTATCCTTTGCGTTATCAATATAAGGTATAATGGGAATACCATTATCAATTTAGTAAGCGAAAGAATAAGCAGCATTATCAATCAAAACAACATCCTTGAGATTTCTGTTCAAAATTCTCAAATCTTTTACATATATACCCTATTATGTTTATATGCAATGTTCTCTGTACAATCTACAAGTGACCCACTTCTTGGTTGGATCCAATTTGTCAATAATCTTGTCAGCATATAAAGGATGAGAAGCAGTGAAAATCATCACTTCGAAATGTTTTGAGCATTCCTGTAGAAATTACTAAGCAAAAGGCCTTACACTAATTCCTGCCTTTTTAATATAGTTTAGTATACTTCGTGAATCTGTCCATTTGGCATTTAGATGGGAACCTTAAAATCAAATTTCATTTATGGTTACTCATTACAATGAATTAGTGTTTCATCCAAATCAAGGACCAACGTTTTTTGCTTCTCTATTCAATAAATGCATCAATTACTAATCTATTATAATTGTATGGAACGATGCTCTATTTCCTTAATATCTGGTTAAAGAAACTGTTTGCTGAGTTATAGACTGTGAAACTGTTGAACGAAGTGATTGATGTATAGTTGGGCATACAACCCTTCCAGGTTTAATCCCTTGAGATACTTTCTTAAGTTATCCATGTAATAAGTGCCTAAGTTGATCTGCTTGAATTGGTTGAAGGATGACTCCTCAGAACCTTGCGAATCTTCCTACAACCATTCGAAAGACTCTGTTCTTTTTACTCTTAGAGCTTTGAGTTCTTAGTTGAACTCGTAAACCTGGTATTAAGGGTTGATTTCCTATTTTTGGTGATAATTTGTTTTTCTAATTTTATTGATATTCGATTTATCTGATGCTTTAATCTGCGACTCTTTTGAATTAAATTAACTATTATTCAGAGAAGCATCTTTAATCACTCTTCTTGTAGTCTGTTCCTTTTTATTGGTAGTCTGGGAACTAAAAAATGGGAGTTTGATATCTGTGTATTATTTGGTTGGGGACAGACACTCTATCTCCATATTTTGTTCTTGCTTTGGTTATATAATTAAATTAGGACTCTTAACTAATTATCATCTAATTGTATACCTCATGGTCATAATACGCCCTTCCACTTTTACTCAACATTCTTGGAGTTTGATTTTTCGGTAGTGACAGCTTTTCTAACATCATTAGAAGTTATTACATTGAAAGGAGTTCCCTAATCCTAGGCAATCCTTTGGGATGCTTCTTCCTTTCCTTTAAAAACTGCTATCCGATATTAATTAATTGTTGTTTGATGCATTCATATAAATTTTTGAAGGAGAAGGCTTTCTGTTGCTATCAATTATATTATCTTTTGAATTATCGTTTGTAAGAATTCTAGCATTACGTTTCGATCTCATAACTTATAAATTAAATATTGAATAATACAGAAAATCATTGAAAATATTACAACATATTTTTAACTTCATAATTTTTAATAATAAAATAATCAATTTTTTCCTTTTACAGCTTTCACTGAAACTTAGAAAGGAAATTTGTATCACTAAAAACTGATTATTCTAATTTCTCCAACTGCTTTGATGGCTATGAAATATTCGAAAGATATACCTAGTTTAGTGATACTGATAATCTGCTCTATGATTTTAATAACTAATAAAAATCTTCTTTGGTTAGTCCTCTGAAAACCAGATCTTCAAAACTGTCTTTATCATCGGCTAATTCAGGAAATTTTATTAAAAATCCTAAAATCATAATCGCATGCTCTAATCCAATTACACCGCTAAATTCTAAGCAAGTGATAAATATTGTTACCATTATAAATTCTAAAACCTTTTTTTAGAACATCTGTACAGATTAATTAAAGATAAGAATGGAATTCCTTATTTTTATTTTATCTTTCCTAACTCTAAGTAAAGCCTTCGTTGAACCTGTCGAAGAGTTATTGTTTCAGATTAGATTCAGTTAAATTCCTAAAAATGATGTATAGATGCTAATAAATATCATTTTTATTGTCTTTATCTTTAATTTTCTTGTCATACCATAAATTCAACAATCTACTTATCTCATGAGTACTCAGGTTTTGTAAATCTGGATAACATTTTTAGATTGTTTCTCTTATTCGATCAGTAAAATCAAACATTTCAATATTTTATTTTGTCGATAAATAGTTTGCAATTTTAGCAGTACAATTCTAATCAGCATTAGCGTATAAAGCAAAAAAGTAAGTAAATGTGTAATAAATAGCATCCAAATAATATTTGATGAATTGATTTTATTTATTTATTTTGATTTATGATTAAGTTGGCTATATTTAACTAGAATTAATCCTGATTTTTGATTGTCTCTTAATTAATTAAGTTTGCTAAGCTTCTAATTCTCTCTCTAAAGAAATTAATTAATTATACTCTTTTTATAAGTTTCAATAGTGTAGTTATGTTATTCATCTATCTTTAATTACATCCTTTCTAGCTCTTCCTCACTGATCTTAAGCAAAACAATCAAGGTTACTAAATTAAATTGAAAATTACATAAAACTATCTTCACATTCTTATCACACGGTTCATAACAAAAAGCTATCATGCAACACTCTAATGCCTCATCATATCTTTCTAGAGCTAAATATGATTCCGCTAAATAGTCTGAATAGATCATTACATTTAGCCATAAAGTACCTTTTCTTTTGCAAACATTGATGAGCTATTTCGAAACATTAAATTGCCTTTTCGTGTTCATTAATCTTTTAATAAGTAATTCCTATAATATTAAAAAAACAATTTAACCTAATAAATATTCATATATTGGATTATTATCTAATTTCTTGAGTTCATTTATATAATCTTTTGCTCTTTAATAATCACCCTTTTACATGTTTATATTATCTAAATTCTTACTTTTTCTTACATAAATTGTGCAAAATTCCACAGCTTTAAGGCTTTATTTGAAGGGCCTGCTCCAAGCAAGTTTCAGCATTTTCGAATTGATTTAAGTGGATGTAACACTATGCTTAAAAACGATAAATGAATTTCAATTAATGTTTTAGTTTAAGTTTTTCAGCAATTTCAATTGCTAAAGTAAATTCACCTAATATAAAATGATTTATCATCTATTAAAAAAGCCTTTCAGAAGCTTCATCAATTTTTTTTAACTTGCCACTCTTTTTTACAAGAAGGAGGAATCCAATATGTAATCTGGCCAATTTTTTGAAAATTTCCTGTTCTATATTTGTGTCTGCTTATACAATCTCACTCATTTTTTTAAATAATTAATATATTTTTCTCTGAATTCTATTACATATAAATTACTTCTATATCTATTTAATCTAAATTAAATAATGAGAACCTCTAATTATTAGAAAAGTTATGATTTCAAATAATTGCAGTTCTCATAATATATAAAATTAGATGAATATTTACTTAGCGTATGAGTAAATTTTATATCATTTTATTATCATTATAATTGTAAAAATGAATTAAACTAATTCAAACAATGATTCCTCTTTAATTCAAAATGAGGATGACTAGAATACATTATTGGAACAAAATAAGTAAGAATCAAGCGCATTTAGTTAGATTGCCATAAATTGAGAAATCCTTTTTTATAAATCAGGTCGAATATAAATATTAAGGACCTGATCATCCATAAATAGCAGAATTATTAGAATTGTTGGATGAAAAGCAAAGAAAACCTTTATCTAATTAGACTTTGGAAAGCTTTAGACAAAAAATAATCTATTATGAATAAAAATTCAATCAAGATTGCACATTTATGGACAACATGTTTTAGATATCATTTTACTATATTTTGACAATTATTGTTTATATGAGCATTTATTTTACATATTTAACTAGTGTGATTGTATAACTTAGTTTAACTATGATTAGTCTTTGAAATCAGATGATATAATCGTTAAGAATTCAACTAAATTAAATATAGTTTAATAATTGCCGGAATTTGGATTTATGATTACAAGTTTTACATTAGCGTAATTTATTGAATATACAATTAGGATAACAATAATAAAAAATTAAGTAATCTTACTATTATTGTTTGTATTTGGATGCATAGTGCCAGCATTTTATTTGTTCTATGTATTCCTTGACGTATTTAAATTAAATAATAGTCCAATCAATTATGATATGGTTCTGTTGTTAAGTGTATTAATAATTTCTGTTTTTAATGGCATTGTTGTTTCTGTGCTTTAACAGATAACCGAAAATATGTTTAATTAATTAGCTGGAGCTTTATTCTCAAGTGGTTGGTGTTTATTTGTAATTTACTTGTTAGGATTTTTAATATTTTCATATGTGATAGGTTTGGAGATAATCACTGCTGAGAAAGTCATCAACTATATCATTAATTCACTATACATCCCAATATTTGTGACCATAACTTTCTCATATGTATTGATCAATGCAAGATTATTTGATTGGCCAGCTGGTATTATCAAAACAGCTTTGGATAGAATAAAGATAAAAATATTAAAATAATAAATTGAAAAAGAGGCTTAACAATCCCAAAAATTAATTCAGATAAGCACATACATGTCTAAGTTTGTAATTTATTCAATAGGAGCAGCATATCTAACAATGGAAATCATTTTTTATATTTTGTTAGCCTCTGAATTGAAAAAAACAAAAGTGGATTACACAGCAATTATTACTTTGTCATTAGAACTAATAATCATTCCATTGTATTTGTTTTTGGGAGTCTTCATATCAGTAAGTGATAGGAAACCACAATATACCTATTTAGCTGTACCTTTAGTTATAGGGGCTCCAATAATCTTTGGATTCTTAAAATTAGGCGATTATTTACAATATGAAAAGGACATAACCAACTTCACAGAAATTCTATATTATTGTCCATTGTTTGTGAACATCCTTTGGTTGTCATTAACTTTGATGGGACTGGATAAAAGAAGGTTGTTTATTAATTCATTGGGATTTGTTTGTTTTTTCATTGCAATTCCAATTGGAGTATTTTTACCACTTTATAATCTATATCAATATTCTTCCCTGTAGATAATCTCATACATCTTTGTTGTGATAGGAATGATAGTTTTGTTGATGGTTTTATGTTACTTTTTCTATCAATCCCTTAAAACAATTAAAAGAGCCAAGGAATTAGCTGATCAAATTATTCCAACATTTGATGAATTCAAATTCTACAATCTAACAGATTTAGCCTTCTGTATAAATTCAGTGTGTTTCTTAATTTCTTACTTTATAATAAGTTATTTCTTTTGGTACATATTTGATCAAAGTAACACTGCAACAGTCACAGAAGGTGCAACTATGTTCGCTATTATGATCATTACACCTATAATATTTGTGCTTATCAATATTGCACTTGGACATCGATCTTTAGAAATTACTTATGAATTTGCATAGGACATAAAAGAACTGTAAAAATTGGAAGAGTAGAAGAATAGAAAGAGGATTTAGAAGAGATTTTATTAAAACACTGCAGTTTGTTGTGGCATTTTGGTACCATTAACCCTTTTTATTCCAATTTCCTTGATAACCTCAAATGAAAGAGCTTCAATATTTTTTGAAGCATTAGCAATTGGAGTTCCAGTTAGTTTTCTTATTTACAAGTTTCTTGTGACAATTAAAAACCGTTCAATTGCATTTGAAGATTTCTTTCAACCCTTTGTTAGCTCCTTATTATGGTGTTGTGTTATTTTCCCATTTGGAGTGATAGTACCGACAATGGCAGTGTTTTTTAATAATAGTGATTCAACATTCTAATATTTTGCATAGGGAGCAGTTGGATTAGGGTTATTTGTGTGTATGATTGGAGTGACAGGGACATCATTGTTTTTATCATTGTTATTGAATAGAGAGGAATTTGAGAGGAAGAAAAGAGAAATTTTGAAGAGAGTTTTAGAGATTTTGAGAGAGAATAGTGTTCTTAGTGACATAAGCGTTGTTGGGATTCTGTATATGAAATACTTGAATAAGTTATAGACAATCTATACGAAGTTGAATGCTATAAAGAATTAGACTTAAAAAAAGAAATAGAAATAAGAGGATTTGAAATAATTGAAATAATATTTGACAGAAAATTTAATCTAAGGAGAACCTATAAATGTAATAAAATATGATGGTCCAGAGTTGGAGTATGATCACAAATTGGTAAGTAAGAATGTGTATCAAGAATATCTTACATTATTAGAATAGGAATTGTTAGATAAATAGAAGAACATAATCAAGGAATAGGAGTTAACGGGATGCAAAAAGTATTTGATGGACTGTTTGTGTTGTAGATGTGGTCTAGAGGAAATGAACGAATTAGAAAACCAAAAGAATGTTGAAATAATAAAACTGAGAGATCTCTTTAATTTAGATGAAGAGACTGGGCAAAAGATGAATGACTTGATTCCATAATTCACTTCTGTCTATAAAATTGCAGAAGAAACTGATACTCTTCTTAAGAAGATAGAGTTTCAACCTGAAGATAAACAAATTATATTCAAATAAAAGTACAAACCAGTTTAAGAAATAAAAAGTGAGAAGACTGATAGTCTGAGTCAGATTCAAATAAAGAAATTAAATGATAAAGCATTAGGAAACATTAAATCATCAGATCAGTACTTCTCATTATAATCATCCGATCAAATGATTGCAGAGTTTATGCACGAAGTATTTATGGAATTTGCAAATAACGACTAAGGTCTGGAACCATCCATCTGTTTTGCTGATTTATAGGAATTCAGTAGAATGACTGAATTGCATTTTGATTTGATTGATTATGAGAAGTATGCCAAGACTATCTGGGTCAATTAAACTTATAGTTTGAATGAAGTCTAATTTGCTGGTTTGATCAAAGGGATGATCAAAGATTATGATGGAGATCTATTCGATAATCTGAAACAATTGGTTCTTGATCACATCTATCCTTAATTAATCACTTCGATGAAAACTTTAATGATCAATTTCAAATATTCAAATAAAAAGGTATTGCAGAATAACAAAAACTCAGACAATCCCTTTTTAAGATAGAATTTTACTTCAAATGCTGTTCAAACAGAGTTCACAAAGTTTGATGCAATTAAAGTGAAATAAGTATTCTAAGAGGAGGCAATCAATTAATCTAAAATCAATTAGAATAATGCAGAAAATAGAGCTGTCAAATTGTCTAGAAAATAAAAAGAATAATAATACGAAGAAGGTAGATAGTAGATTGAATCAGCCTACGCCTAAAAATTACCTTGTCATAAGAGATGTTGCTATTCTTGTAATGACTGGCTAAGAGTAAATATCATAGAGAAATACTTCCCTAATTTGGCTGCGGCTTAACCAAAACCAAAAGTTGAAAAAAAACCAATGCTTGACCACAAAAGATTAAAAATGCCTGATTGGAAGATAGTTGCTAAACTTACCATCGAAACATTGTTTTAAGCAACTGAAGAATACGAGAAAAACCTTGCTAATTAATAGTAGAAATCAATTGAATTCAAACCCACTTCCAGTAACATCCTTGCTTTAATATTTAAGATATATGATTTGTACAGTTTAGCAAGTGTAGCATATAACCCATAAGTAGGTTGGTTTGGTAGTACATCTGTATCAGGATCAGACACAATTAGTGGATCTGCATTCTACAATAGCTATGCCTTCTTTTTCTATTTCTCCTTGGGAATATCCATACTCTATGGACTCTTAGGATCCCTGAGTTTAGATGCTGTTCAAAAGAATACTTTTGGACAAGATGAAAATGGCAATTTAGCAAGATTTCCTCACATTCAATTCATTCTTCCAAGAATTATCTCCATTTTGAGTGGTTTCTTCATGACAGTTATGAGAACATTCATGGATGCCTACATTTGTGATTACAGTACCTTGCCATACAAATTTGCTCGAGAAACATCTATAGAATGTTTAACATCCCAACATTACATTTATATGGGTTTGGGTTTGATTGGAGTCGGTATTTATTATCCTCTGTCTACCTATTTATAACCTACTTTCTAATTCAGCGATCATTCATTGGATTTAAAGTTCAAATCCACTTATATCATTATATATGTCTAAGCCAAACTGTTGATTATGGGTTTGAGTTCGTTCTTCAATACTTTGGATAGTTCATTTGAATACTAAATGCTATTTTCAATAGGAATCCTAATTTTTGTTCTTGGCTTTCATATCAAAATGGAACCTTGCTTTGTCAAATGGTACAATATCATAGAACAAATGTTAATCTTAATCATCATTTTTATTTACACAGGGGCAGTCATTATAATGATGACTGGAAACAATGTCATTGGGATTATTTTCACAGCTGTTGCAATTACAATTGGATTTCTTGCCATTGCAATCTATCTCAAAAGATCAGTAATTCGTACTGTTACTATCTAAAAGGTATCACCTCAAGATAACCTTTCAAGTAAATATTACATTTATCCTTAGTTATTGAAGTAAAACCAATTCCAGAAGAAAATAGACTCAACATTTATGATTTGATTGCAGAATCCTAACTTGCATAATAAAACCAAAAGAAACCAAAAAAGAAGACTAATGAAAATATTGATTTCAAGGAATAATACCCTAATCTAGACATGACAGTTGGAGATCCTAATAGAAGCAGCAATTTAGACGAGTTAGTTAAGGTTAAAGATGAAATTAATATGGAACCCATTTTGGTAAACAAATCTAATTTATCAAAATTGAGATTATGAATTGATCAAAAGATATTGATGTATTTATAAATCATTTATTTACTTAACTAATGAAATTATGTTTCATTTTTAGATTAATTTATCAACAATTTTAATTTGAAAATATAGTAATAATAATAGGAAAATTGAGAAAGTAAATTAATTTATAAACATCAGATTAACGACATCCTTGCTTTACCTTTATTCCATCTAACAAGTTTCCCATCAGCCCATTCTCCTTCTTTTTCGATTCCGTTGTATCCTAAATAGATTCCAATGCCATGTTATTTGTTATTCTGCCAATCCCCTTTGTAGAGCTAAATAAATAAAGATATCTGTTATTACTCTACCATCAGGCCACTCGAATTGACCTACACCTTCTTTGATACCGTTATTGTATTACCCCTCGTATTTCCTTCCATCTGGCCATTTAAACGACTCAAACTAAAATTAAAATTTACTCCGTTTCCATGCATACAATTATTCTTCCAGTATCCATCATAGACTCTACCATCTTCCCATTTGAATTACCCAACTCCTTCAAGATTACCATCAACGAATTATCCTGTATAGACTGATCCATCAGACCATTTGAATACTCCTTATCCGTTTTTAAGTCCATTCTTATATTCTCCACTGTAAGTAGTTCCATCATGCCAAATCTCCATACCTTGGCCGCTTTACACATCATTTTCCCATTCACCTACATATTTTAATCCTTCAATACTGTAGTATATTCCCTAGAGAGAGATAATGAATCAATATACCTTGCCAGAAGCTTTATCATTTCTGAATTCTCCCTCATAAATGTTGCCATCACTATGAACCAACCTCCCACGACCATCAAACATATTAAAGGCCCAATATCCTTCATAAAAGGTACCATTTTGCCAATATTATTTTCCACATCCATGTCTAAGACTGAATAATTAGTTTGCTTACCCATTTTTCCACTGTCCATGGTAAATGGAACCGTCATCTAGTTAATATATTGGAAAATTAAATTTATTGTCCTCTTCTGTGTCATACTTAAAATTTGTATATAATAACAGAATCTTTCAATTAAAGTAAAATGTCAGATTACCTTGTTAATTCTACTGCTTAAATAGTCAGGTACTTTTGGTAATTTCTTAACTTGGTATATTTATTGGTGTGGATTTTTAGTCATTTAAGTTAGTTTAGGGTCTTGAAATGGGAAAGTGTCTTTGAAACTTAACTCATTAGAATAATTGTATTGTTCTTTTGATATCATCTTCTATTTCCTCAACTTTTGTATTAGATTTTAATATCTTTTCCTCACAAGATATCCTCTTGCACATGCTTACACATAGTTCACAATCTTACCTTGAATGAATTGAATCTGCTTATGGTATTTAATATCGTAGTCAGATATGATAGTATTTTGTATTTAAGTTTATAAGATGATTTGACAATTCTTCTCCTACCCTTAAGATCCAGTGCAGCATGATCCCATTAAAGTTCTAACTTTCAAAATAATTTATATTAAAATATATATATATATTCATCAACAATAAAGAAATAATCTTATCTTGATTACTCGTTTTGTTTGATGTTTATTGAACTCATATCCTCATTAATCTATGATTAAAATAGTTCAAAAATATTGAATAATTAATTTAATATAATATATGAAAAAGCAGTTGCCTAAGAGTGCTTCACAAACTGCTATTCAAAAGCCAGAGAAATCTCAAACTATGAAGACTCCAGAAAGACATGGCATCCCTAGAAATGTCAATTACTATAGCCATTTCTTAGTTGAACCCTACATCACTGAAAAGGATATTGAATTTGTGCTCTAACTAAGAAATATTGATCATGTAGAATCTCTATCATGACATTAGGCAGAAATGACAGCTAAATTGGCTAGAATACCAAACCAAACTTTCTCAAGAGGAGATCAAAAGATTGAGTCTTAAAAGGACAAACACCTCTCAAGAGATGTTAAGTATAATGGCAATTCTACTCCAGTCCTTCATCTTCTGAAGGGTAGAATTGGTCCCACTCCTCATTTAAGTTAAGCAGAATTTGAAACTGGTCTACGATCCTATGCCAAAACTGATAAAAGTCTTGTTGAAAAAGAACGTAACTGGACTACAGTCCCAAAAACTTAACGTAAGGATGCTTTCCCTGAATTCTTGCCTAATTACAAGGAAGAGATGGCGAAAAAGAAATCAATGAGTATAAGTGGAGGAAAACTTGGAAAACTTACATATAATGGTAATTATTTCCTTTAATTAATCAAGCATTCGATTCAGATTCCAATTACCCCCCTTATTTAATGAAGTTTCATGAAAAAAATCTACAGCATGTTAAACACATGTTTGTTCCTGCAATTAAGATGTCCACTATTTAATGGTAAGATGGATTGAGACCACTTGAGCCCATAAAAAAAGAAAAAAAGCCAAAAAAATGATATCTGAACCTATTATAATTAAATGTACTCATATGAGTGAATGTTAATTTATAAAAAGTCATATTTTTTTATTATATTTTAATCTCCCTAGATAAGCTATAAAAATATCTAATAAGATGTTTTCGAATAAAATCTAGATCCATAAAAAAGTTAATTAGATTAACAAAATATACAAAGGATTTATTTAATCAATAATTGACTTATTTTGGTAACTTATTTGATTCAGATTACTTTCTGATTAATAAGGAACACTATTACACTTGAGTGTGAATTAGTATAATGTAATATATTATATATGCTTTATGTTATCAAGAACAACTCTAATCAGAAAATCATTAATTCTAGCCATTTGATAATAAGTTACTGTTTAACTTATTCTCATTCTTAATTTGCTCTGAATGGATGAAACCATCTCGTATCCATTGATCCTGCATATTTAATTGAGTTTGTAATGCAATGAGCATAAGTATATAGAAATTGAATTGATACAAATATTAAATATTTATGGGTAATTGTTGTCCAAAGGGCGATGTACATTCGGAGAGAAGCTCTGTTGCCAACACTTTAGTAGAGGAAGTGGAATAGGCCAAGATGAAAGTCACCCAACCTATGCAAACTAGCCAAAATTTAGCTTCAAGTAGCAACGTATTGGCAGTACAAAAACCGAAAGTTTAAGTTAATAGAGATGACTTTGTTAAAATCGATATTTTGGGAAGTGTAATAAACAATTATTATAACAAAGGGAGCCTTTGGAGTGGTTTTTAAGGTGAGATAGAAAAGGACAAATAAAATATATGCTATGAAATAGATAGAGAAAGAGAAAATATTCAAAAACAAGTTACAGAGTAATACTGTTTTAGAAAGAAATGTTTTAAAGTAAAGTAAGCACCCTTTTATTGTCCGTTTAAAATATGCATTTCAAACAAATTTACATATTTATTTTGTGATGGAATACATTGCAGGAGGAGAATTCTACAAGATTCTGAGTCAGGTGAAGACAGGGTTGCCAGAAAATGTAGTAAAATTTTTGGCTGCAGAGGTAGTGTTGGCTCTTGAATACTTGAATACAAAATTAAAAGTGATATATAGAGATTTAAAACCAGAGAATTTGTTACTAACAACAACTGGACATGTTAAATTGACAGATTTTGGATTGGCAACGATGAGAAGAGAAAATGGAGAGAAATCATACACTGTAATAAATAAATATTAATAATAATATAGGTTGCTGGGACTGCAGAATATCTTGCACCAGAAATAGTCAACAAGTCAGGGCATTCATATGAAGTGGATATCTGGACATTTGGAATATTGATTTATGAGATGATAAATGGTTTCACACCTTTTCGGGATTCAAATAATGACTTCAAGATTATTTCTCAAAACATTATAGAAAATCAACCTGTGTATCCTTAAAAGATGTCCTCTCAAAGTGTAGATTTGATTAAACAGATCTTGCAGACTAATCCATCAGAGAGATTAGGAGTGAAGGTAAAGAAGCTAATATTCATAAATAGGGAGATGGATATGCTGAATTAAAACGACATGCATTTTTTAATGGTATCATTTGGGATCAATTGTAAAATTTGAAAGTGACATCTCCTCTGAAAACATTTGCTGAAAGAAATGCTCAGAAAATAAATAAATAACCCTAGAATTTTAAAAATACTCCTTGTAATCCATAGAGTCCCAAACAAAAAATTGATGATATCTCTTTTGAAGAAGAAGGTGGTACCTTATCTTCATATTTTTGAAATTATTATTCAATAAATGACTGGAACAGCATTAACAAATAATCAATCATCGTCTTCAATAGGATAACCTCTAATCTTGCTCATGGGAACGAATATTTAATTTTTCCATCCGTCTTCCAACTTGATCTTATCAACATCCTAAGGGAAATTGGTTTAGGTGATTTTCAATTCACAACTATCTTCCCTTTCTACCAATCTGAGTGTGACATTTGAGTGTTATTTCCAATTGTTGAATTTCCATGTCATTTAGATCTCTTGATTTTCAACCTAAATAGAAATGTTATCATACTAATTTGTTGAAAACACCCTCGATACGCCCTTCCATTATTTTATATTGTCCTCCTTCCTTTGGTTCAACAACAGCAGGTGCTCTTGTATATTGCATAACCTCAAATGGATCAAGAAGAGCTTAGTATATGACTTTTGATGGCACTCCCCAAACAATAGAAAATTCTAATTTGTCCATATATTAAAATTAATATAAATTCTCTTGAATAATTCTTTATAAATAATATTGTTTAAGAGTGTTCCAGAAATGCATTTAATTTAAACGAATAATTCATTATTGAATAAATTCCAATTTCAATTCGCTGAATTCCGCTTAAAAACTAGACTCCTAAGGACTACAAGCATAGATCCCTACCGAAGTTTCTTGAGTCTCTTTGTGAAAATGACACACTCTTATTTCGTGGAATTCTTTTCCATCATAAGAGAATTCTATATTGAAGTCTTACCCTTTTCTTTTTAATCTATAGTACAGTTCCTTAATTTAAGAGGACACTCTTTAATAACCCCAATCCGAGTATCCAAGATTCGTAACCACTGACCCCAAAGTTGAATAGTTTTCGTCATGATGCTCACAGGATGCTTTAATCCAATTTTCTTTATCTTCAAACAAAATGATTCCAGCTTGATCATATAAGACTTTTGATTCTGATTTAACTTTGCAAGTGAATACAAAATCACCCTTCACCTTAGTAACATAGGTTGGAGCATCATATCTTATAAATCCATAATGAGTTTTGGACCAGTAATCTGTTTTGGGCTCAGTCATTATAGTAATCCTTTCATTTTCGTTTTTCCACTCTTTTGGCTCATTCAACCATTACCAAACTAGATTACTTTAATCCATAATAAAATATATTCTAAATTATATATATAAATTGAGTGATCATCCGTATCTTAGCCAATCGATGAATAGATATATGCAATAGGGTATTCCAACTATTATGGCCACGACAATCCCTAAAATGACTAGTAGAAAACAAATCGGAGATAGCAGGGGACAAGCTATGATGAAAGCAATAATAATAGTTGTTTTTTTGCAGCAGCTATATTCATCGAATTGATGATAAGGAACATAATTCATATAAAATATTACTGGCAATCCAATAACTAAAACTATAAATCCCAACACCAAGGCCACAATAAATAATGGGGGTCCCAATATCAATATCAATAGGATTGCTATAAATCTGTATAGATTCGGATATTTAAACGGATCTCTTTGTGTAAATTGCATCCCTGGACATCCAAAAATATTGTAATTTGAATAATGTCGATAACTATATTTGGATCTGCATAGCCAGCAAAATTCATATTTGCAGGATTTACAAGTCATATGATTGCACCCATCATTTTTTTAGATTGGAGATTTGCATTTTAAGCATTTTTAGATTTTTAACTTTTTAATAGTTTTCTTAAAATCCTTATCAATTTGATCATTGCATGTTTATCCTTAATGTCTTTCTCTACCACACTTACGACATATTTATTAACCGCACTTACATCTTATTTTTTTTTAACCATTCCTCTTTATAGTTTCTTCACAACCTACTCTTGGACACCAAATGATATCAGGATCCTGTTGCAGCTATTTGATTTTTCTGAACCTTCTCAATTTTTACATCATATCTGGATCCACAATCTAACTTATGTAAGCGTCGCTCAATTAAAAATTGCAATCTGATTATGGACATATCATCTGATCAACTTATCCATTCACAATTCGATCTATTAAATAGGCTTTCATACAAGATCTAGTATATAGATTTGTGATTACAAACAAAAAGTGTGAGAACAACCCATTTCTGGGCAATTGCCATCAGTTATTAGTTCCATACAAATCCCACAAATTACAGTAATGAGCTATTGTGATTATCTATTACTCTTATATCCTAAGTAACTCATCAAGTTTGGACTCATTGTTCCCAACATATCAATTAGTTCTTGTCTGTGTTTTATTTGTTAGGTCTAATCCTCATTTTAATAATTCTGATAAAAAATATGGTTTGCTATTTACATTTATAATAAAAATTGCTGTGATCACCTTGTTTAAAATCACATTCTCATCAAGGGTTTCGAAATCTTCATCAACTATACTTTTTAATATTTCTTCTGAATAATATTTATCAAACCCCATTGCTAAGATTTTGATCATTATATTTTTTTCTGCACATGATCTACCATAACCTTCAGACATCATTGGAAGCGAATTCGGTTGAAACTACTATATTTCGTCTTCGTCAAACTAATCATCCTCTAGGATGGCAGCCTAATAGGAACTGCTTTGATTTTATTGATTGTCCAAATGAATTTTAGCCATCTTGATGTTCTTTTATAATTTTTATATTAACTTTTAATTATTCAATCATTATTTATGAGGAAAAGAATACATAGTTATCAATTACCTCGACTTAATAAGATAAATCGATCCAATACCTTTGACCAACATGAGACAATCAAAAGAAACAATAGTTGCTTCATCCTTCAACTTAACAAAAGATCATAGTTGCTGATGTCCTTTTTTAAGGATCCAAAAAATGATCACCTCCCTTAACTTTTTAATATTCCCGTAACTAACTATGATTAAGTAGGATGACATAGATTTAAATGAGATTCAGGCAAACATTCATTTAGAGTATATAGCAATAATTCTATGCTATCTGATCAAACATGATTTAACTGTTTCCTTGCTGTATGGTTACAAATGTAAGTTTATCAAAACCACTCTGATGCATCATCAAATGTGGATGAAATATATTAAGCTAAGAGAAGAGCCCTTATAGAAACTCCTATAACTTTAGTCCTCTCTAGATTCAATTACATCGATTATCATACAACAGTATGCTTTTATCTATCATTTTCCAGTCACATCGATGACTCCCATCTGAGGATTCACATGCTAGAATATTTTAAATTGAAGCTTCATCAAAGCAACCTTGCTGTGTATTCCAAAATTATTATCAATAAAATTATACCCCTTTTACAAACCCCTAATTTACTTGGTAATCATATACCCATCAACCTGGAAGCCTATACTCTTGTCTTAGATATGGATGAGACCTTGATTTATTATGATGGCGACAAAGTATATTAGCGCCCATTCTTATAAACCTTCTTAAAGCAAATGAGTCGGATATATGAACTAATTTTATTCACTGCAGGATTAGAATCTTATGCACATAGAATTTTGAATAAACTTACTATGAAACAATACTTTTCTTATTTTCTTTTTCGATAACATACCAATATTTATAAAGACTTCTATGGAAAAGACCTTAGAAAGCTAGGAAGACTTTTGTCGAAAACAATTATTATTGACAATACTCCTGATTGTTTTAGTTTGCAACCAGAAAATGGAATCCAGATTCAGACTTGGAAAGGGGATTTATCAGATGCAGTTCTCTTAACCTTAATTCCTATCTTGAAAGCTATAAGATTTAGCAATAAGGATGTCAGAGTGAAATTAAGAGAATACAAGAATTACCCAGGCTTAATTTTCCCTAAATGATATATTATTAGGAAATTTATTTAATGTCTCTAGTGATTATTATATTAATAATTAATTAATAAAAAACATATCATTTTCATTTTATAAAAAATGATAAAATAATTAAGTATGATTATTTATATTTGCTTATTACAATCTTCATAAATAGTTCTCATCAAAAGAGAAGCAAAGCTAAGTATTCTAAGTGATTTAACACACAAATAATAGAGTAAGATCATAAGATATAAGTGTTTCTATTACTTTTAATATAAAATAAAAAAAATAAAAATTAAAAGAATATGAATCTATCAATTGTTTCTTTTTTAGCATGGGGACTTCAAGAAGCAAAACTATTCTTTAATTCACAGTCTATTTTAGAATAGAATAAAAATAAATTAGACGAATTAATTACTCAAGTGACAGAAAAATTGGGTATTATTGAATAAGATTGGAACTAGCAAGAAAGAACAGATAATAACGAAAATATAAGATTAATATAGGATGTTCGGGATATTTTAGCCCAAAGTAGTTAGTTAAGGAATTAATTACCTAATTAACCGAACATGTAATAGAAAAGATTCTTATAATTTTAGGCTTTCAGCTTACTAGATGAGCAGAGAATAAATAAATCAAGAACTTTTATAATCTTTGAAGATGTTGGAAGAGTATAATAATAAAATAGACCAATTTATATAGCATACAAGGAATATAACCAAAACAGTTATAATTCTCAGACCTAAGTAGGCTTAGAATAGTAAATAATTCTTATTATCATAAGGTTAAATCTATTAAATATAAATTAAATTAAAACTTAAAGCACCTCCTTCGATAAAGAAAATATTTGATGATCAACCTTATTATTTAAAGAGTGAGTATAAATTCAATTTTGAGATGGAGGAAACTGGATCTTCTAACAAAAATGTTAAAACATTCATAAGAGATGATTTTTCTAAACTTGGTTTATTTCAAAGTAAACTTGGTCTCAGCATTGAAAATTTGTCGAAGCAAAATCATTGCTCTTTGCAAATGAGATATAAGGTTCTTTTCCAAAAATAAGAGTTTTATCAAATCCTTAGACAGATACTCCAACACCAGAGCCTGATTAACAATCAGTTATAATATCATAAAAGGATGAATAAAAATATTCTGAATAATTTTCATTGTTTTTAATAGTGAACAGTAGGAATTAGGTAAAAGTCATTCGCGAAAAAACATCAGTGTCTTTAAGTTCTGGATAAGAATTAGAGTTAGAAGAGAAGGATCAAATTGTGTTTTTTCAAACTTCTGAAGATGCCCCTTTGCTTTCATACGCAGTTTAAAACATACATATTACAAAGAAATCAGGTAAATCTAATTTAGAAGATTAGTAGAATTGATTCGGTTAATAAAAAATATTTATATAAATCAAAATATACTCTAAAGATCAGTGTATTAATTATTATTTATCTCTTCAGAATATTATTGTTATTATTAATGCTATTATTGTATTTTATCAGGAACAGGCTCTTATAAATAACCTAGATTGTTAGTAATATCATTAAAAATTGGTTATTATTGGAACATAAAGGATTGATTATTTTATTGAGGATTCACATACAATTGGACCATTTGACCCTCCCAATCAATGTTCATTCTCGTAACTCTAGGGGCTTAAGTGTTGATTTATCTATATACTCTTTCAATGAGCACTTGTGGAGGATCATTTTCGATCAATTCTGGTTCCAAATAAGTGTTATAGACGTAGTACCCGACCTAATCACATTATAGACCAAAATATCATTACTCTAAAGAATTCCTGCTTTCTATACTTAACACTGAGGATAATAGCACTTGCGCCAAATAAATCATCTTTACTAGGAATCAGCTCAAAATTTGGACCAGAACTCATTAAAGTAAATTACATAGTCCCTTATTACAGAGGAGGCATAGAGAACTATTCAAGTACTTGATCATATTTATCACTTGTGGGCGATCCAATATAAATAAGTCTATGGGTCAATAATTTAAATACTTCCATTCAATTTCCTCATCTAATTATCTCATCACTTCGAATGTGATTTACATTTGAATTGGACTATTAAAAAGTGCTGTGTCTGAATCAAAAACAATGTTGGTAATGTTAATCAAAGCCATTTACAAATTTAATAATAATAACCCTCAAAATTTTGTCTCAATTTTTAATCAACTTATATAACTAATGCATTTTCTAAAATTTATAATTCTATACAAATTTATTTGATGAAAAGTAACACATATAATTCATCAATCTCTTATCCTTATATGATAGTCAAACTCAAACTGATTTATGATTGCGATATTGATCACTCGAAACTCAATAACTTAGTACTTATTAAATTCATTCAATTTTTATTTCTTTCAATTATTTGAACAAAAATTATACCACATCTAAACTTTGATCATAATGAGTACTGTGTATTATTATTTATTAATCTCATAATTAATAACCATTAATTAATGATACCTTAATGGATAAAATTATTAGATTGTTAATTTATTCGAGAAACAATAACACACAAGAGTTATAGCCATTAAACATGATTGAGATAATCCCATAATTAATATAAATATGTTTATATTATAATTAGTATTTAATTAAGTCATTAATATGACAATGATGATAAAATACAGACCTGTTCTGAAACAAGTATGCTGCTAAATTTTCATGCTAATGCTGATTTATATTTTTAATGCTTTTATGCAAAATCATATTTGGTTTAGTAAATACTTCACAGTAAATCGAAATAATGTATAAGTTCATGTGAGTAATCATAAGAAGTATATTTGTGGATTCATAAAGTTACAATAATAAAATCAATAGCAATAAAGATTATGATGCTTTATTGACCATACTAATAATTTTATTAAATGAATTGAGTATTTGCCAATCATTTTTTATTATTATAAATATCAACTTTGGAAAAGGTACTCTTTTAATGTATAAAATCTATTTTTGGAGATAGAGAGATTGAGATAATCCTAATTATATTAGTTAGATTCCAATTATAATCACAAGCTTAAGGGTAATTTAGAAATCAATTAATTTGAGAAAGAAATGCAGGATGTTGATGATTGAATTTAGACATTTTTTGATCCATTATAATAGTGCTTGCTAAATGAAGAGCTCATTTAGATGCTCCTTGAAAGCTAGATTAAGAATATATTCATAGGATTGTATTAAAATTGATAAGTCTTTGACTGGAACAAGAAGAAAAACCATGAATTAATTCTAAACCAATCGCAAATTTTAATTGAAGAACCCATTTCAGATATGAACAAATTGAAGAACTGACATTGATGAGAATGTTTTTTTATTTTAATTAAAAATACTCAGGGATTGACATTAAATTAAATATTTAATTTATGAGCACATTTTATTTATTTGAGGCAGCTGCTGGTTTAGCCTTGTTCTAATGTGATAGCGTAGATGAAACAAATGTCAAATCGAAATAGATTCAAAAACAATTCTCTGACTTTGCTTAATTCGCAGAAGTATGTCACTTAAAAGTAATCATCATTCCTTATTCAGGCTTTTCAACCATTTATTTCTGCTGAAATAGCCTTGAACAATGCTTTAGCAATCCACACAGGTACCGTAACTTAAGAGTTGGTCGATTTCTTATCAACCAATCTCCCTCCTGTTGGAAAGAAGAGCAAGTAATCACACTGATTTATTGTAGTTTCTAAATTGCTATCTGCGACAAAGGTTTGGCTGCAGGACTCCAATCATATTTGAATTTGAAGAGCAAAATGAACGAAGCAACAGCCTAAGTGTTCAGAGGAATTAGAACACATTTCGTTGATTTCTTGAGAAATGAAGATTTCAAAGAAAGAGATTACATTTAAGCCTAACTAGGTTTGGCACATTAAGTATCCAGAAACAAAGTGAAATTGGATATCAACAGAGAAGACAAACATGTAACTTAGGCTATCAGCATCATTGAATAATTGGATAAAGATCTAAACACATTAAGTATGAGAATCAAAGAATGGTATTCATGGCATTTCCCAGAATTGGCCAAGATTGTCACAGACAATAGAGTCTTCACCAGAATTGTTGATACCTATGGAGACAAGAAGAATATCAATGATGAAGCTTTGGAAGCTATTGAAGAACTCACAACAGATGCTGAGTTGGCTAAACAAATTGTAGAAGCAGCCAAGATATCCATGGGTTAAGACATCTCAGAACTTGATTTATCTACTCTAAAGGATTTATGCATTAGAGTTCTTAATCAATTTGAATTTAGAGACAATATTCAAGAATATTTGAAAAACAAAATGACAAATATTGCACCAAATCTTACAGCTTTGATTGGTGAAAATGTAGCTGCTAAATTGATAGCTCATGCTGGATCTTTGATCAATCTTGCTAAATATCCTGCCTCTACCATCCAAATCTTGGGAGCAGAAAAAGCATTGTTCAGAGCCTTGAAAACTAGAGGAAATACTCCTAAATATGGTTTATTATATCATAGTACTTACATTGGAAGAGCTAATGGAACTGAAAAAGGAAAAATCTCTAGGTATTTATTCCCAAATTTATTTTACTAGAAATCTAGCCAACAAGTGTGCTATTGCTTCAAGATTAGACCATTTCTTGATCTTACCAACTGAAAAGTTTGGAGTCAAGTTGAAGGATCAAATGGAACAAAGATTAAAATTTTTAACTGCTGGAGGAGAATTGAACAAAAATACTGACATCATGGATGAAGTATTGACAGAATTAAAAGGAGAAGGACTCTATTTTGAAAGTGAAAAATAATTAACCAAGAAAGACAAGAAGTCAAAGAAAGCCAAATCAAAAAAGGTTGTAGAAGAAGTCGAAGAAGAACCAGTAGAATAGCCATAAGAAGCTCCAAAAAAGAAGAGAAAAGCATCAAAATAATAATGATATATAAATAGTATATTAAATAAAAAGTTACAGCCAATTCAATTTATGTTTCCAATGAATCTACCTTATTAGGATAAATCAAGTACGGGAATCATTGTTATTGTAAATTCAATACATTATAGCCTCTACATTTTCTTCAAAGTTTAAATTAAGAATAGCTAATTTTTACTATAAAATAACAAATATTTGATATAAAAATATATATCATTTATAATTTTTATAATAACTATTTCCAAAAAAGATATTTTTGTGATCTTTTCCATTTTTCTAATTGACTATCCTTTATGTAATCTAGATTGAGTATAAATAATTTAATTGTTATATGCTCTCAACATATATCCTGTACTTTATAAATATGCACAGATTCTAAATAAGTTAAAAACTACTTGTCATAAACAAAGGTATTAAAATATTTATAAATTTAATGGAACTTCTCAAAATTTTGTTATATACAACAGGTTTGTACTTAAAATATCATAAAAAATATAATAAAGATCAGAATTCAGTATCGTTATCATTATCTATCTACCACCCATTTAAACGATTGAAGGTTTCTCTAAATATAGTTTCATGTCTTAATTATTTGATTTATTTGCGGTCTACGTGAACTTTTCCTGGTCTTATCAGCCAATCACTCTTCTCTCTATTTACAATAAAATTCTACCTATTGTTCTTTTTTAATTTTAATTTGAATCAGAAATTGTTAAATTTACACTCTTTTTACGTGAGATAATCTATTCAATACTCTTGTCTGGTTGTTGTTATCTAGAAGCAAAACGATTTCTTTTTATAATGGATTGGTTGTTAATAAGAATCTAATTCAAGTATTTTGATGATTTGCTTTATGGTTTTGGTAATTGATTGATTTCACGTTTTTATTATCTTTCCTTGATATATGCATCAAATAGATTCTGAGCTGAAGCAATTGGTTATGGGATATGAGTAGAATGGGATTTATTAAATTTGGATTAATGAATTTCAACTTAGAGTATGGTTTAGTGTGTTTTTCGACGCATTTGGTGTAAGTAATTCTATTAGAAAAAATAGATTAGATCTTCAGGTGATCTATTTCTTTGATCTGCCATTATTATTTATAATTAAAAATATATAGATGAATAAGATCTTCCCATAACCATCTGATTATTTGGCTCCAATGACCGAGAAGGAAAAAGTGTAAGAGTGAGTTTATTGTTAAAAGTCTGTTGGAAAAATGGAAGAGCAATGAATTGGGGAATGAAAAGAAGAATGCAATTAAGATTAGACTATTTTTGTATTTGGGATTAAGCACAACGGCATATGGATTATTGGGAATTTACTTAGTGAATTCGATTGTAAAAGACATGGAGAAATCGGGAATCGAGAGAATGGAGAAGGAGGCATTGAATATTGCGGATAGCATAAAGAGAGCAGATTTCAAGTATGCCAGAAGTACTGAGATCAGTAATTAAATGTTGAAGATACTGAAATATAAGTAAGTGATATAGGGATTTTGTTGTATAATGGGATTGTCTTATGGATTGGCATAGATGAGAATGTATGTTAAAGAGTATGCAGAGAATTATTAAAATTGAGTTATATAATTATTTAACGAATGCAACATAGAGTTTAATTGTAGTAGATTAATTAGAATACAAATGTTATTCCGATCTCGATTATGCAATCCCTCAAGGGTTTGAGCAAGTATTTCAAAAAGGAGAAATGCACATAAATTTAGAGATCTTGTACCTCATTATCTCCAAAACAGAACATAACTCGAAAGAACTCCAATCAAGTTGAGAATCAACTATTGAATTTTGTGAATAGTAATGAGAACAGATCAGTTCCAAATTTGTTCGAAAATGTCCAAAAAAAGAATGCAAATGCACCTCGCAATCAAAAAGTGCCAAAGGGTAGAAGTTCATCAATAATAATGAACAATATGAGTCAGGAGGATTGGAAATCCAAATACATGTAATTGAAGGAAACCTTGAATCAGAGGATTGTTACCCTCGAATAAGAATTAGAAAGGATTTATGGTATTGAAAATAATGCAACTAGTATTATCGATTAATTAAATCATTAAATAAATCAACAGAATTTATAATTAGAAGCATATAGGAACAGAGTAAGAGAGATTGAAATAGATTTGGAAAATAAGAATCAATAAATAAAAAAACTAACAATTGATAACAATTAATTCTAGATAATAATCAATGAGAAAAATAACTAAATAGATCTGTGGAGATAAGATTTGAGAACACCCAAACAACCGTTTCTAACTACTGCAATGAAATAAATTTAATCAATCTTTGAATAATTGGAGGTATAACATCAATCAGTATTTTTAGAATTCACAAACTAATTATAAAATTCATACACCATTAAGTCAAAATTTATCAATATCTTCTTCGTCAATGGTTGAAATGATAAATGAAATGAAAGAGTCTTCTTGATATATTAAATATATATATATATATATGGTTAATTGATAATGACTCAAAACATTCTATTGTTTAATTCTCTTTTAAGATTATGAGGAAAACACGAAATGCTTGGAGTAGGTCTGACCATTTCCATTAAATGATTAGGTCTATTCTAATTAGGATATTTACTTGAAGGGATCTTTTCCTTTGACAAAGTCTATTCTCTAGGTAGGTTTAAGAGGATCTCCCTTATACTGAGGATATTTGCTTAGACAGCCAGTCTCACCACTTTTGGTTGGATTTGAAGGCTTAAAAGGAGCCTCATGTTTCATGATGTTTGGTTTAAACTCTTTGACTTATGTTGGCTAAATTCCATTATAAATTTACTTTCGGTAAGTTGGTCTCACCAAAGATTTGCTTATCACTGCTGAAATTATCAGTTGTATAAATGGTGCTTTTAAATGGTTATTTATCTTTGAGCATCTTTTATTCATTAAAGATCCTCTCCCTTTCGAATTGCCTATAACGATTGTATTCATCCTTTTCGTGTTTTGGGAAATGGCCCAAACTACTGGAACCAGGATTTGTGGTGACATTTTTGGGTCCAATATTGACTCTGCCATCGCTTCCCTTATGATTATTTGGACCTTTTGGTATTTCATAATCTGGTTCATGATTATAAACTCCTCCAACTAGTTCTTTGTAACCAGATGGGGGAACAAAGTTCTTTTTATCATCATTAGCATATTTTTTCTTTTCTTCCAATTCTTGAATCCGAATTTTTCTTTCAGGGTCAATATATTTGTCACCTATGGTTGTAAAGCCTAATTGACTAAAGTAGGAGGACTTGATTTTGCCTGATTGAGGAGCTGTGACCTTCATGTTTGGAGGAGATGTGATTGGTTTTCCTTATTCATTGCGAGCAGCTAAGCATTAACACAAATAGTAAAACGTCTTGGTTTATTATCATAACTATTGTCGCCCAAACCTAGGGGAACAGGTGATGAAAACAGTCCAAATCTCTATACTGTGGCCAATTTCTCAGTATCTGCAATAGCCTTTTTACCTATTTCATTTAATGTTGCTTCCTTATCAGACATAATTTATATAATAATTAATTAATCAGTTAAATGGACAGCAAAGAGAACTATTTTAACATCAAATAAATGACAGAATCTTTTAGGAATGTTAAGAAATATTCATAACACTCAAACACCATTTTAGATATGTTTGTAGAAATCACTTAGAAATTAGACAAATCTTCAAAAGATTATTTGTCCAAAGTCATTCCTATTGACGATGACAAATAAACACTCAGTTAAGTTGATAGCATCATCATCATGAATTACTTCAAATAAATAGTCATCTATCTAATTAAAACAAAGGTAGAATTAGAAGAAAGAACTCAATAAATTGAATCTCAGACCCAATATGAAACTTTGATTTAGAAGCTAGAAGCTGATGTTCGTTAACATATTCGAATCGAATAACAATTAAGAATCTATACTGAAACACTCCAATCTAAAATTGATGATTTTGTAATCGAAAGAGAGTAATAAACTTAATAGATCAAAGAATACGAATAATAAATCAAATAGAAAAACAAAGATATCGTAATCTATTAAAGTGAACTTCGTAAAGTAATCAATTAGAACTAGTAACGACATACCAAACTAATTACTGAGCCAATCCATGAAGATTATGATACTACATACCATGTCAACAAGTTGAATTAAACCAATTATACTCATCAACGTAAAGCCAGTTAATTTAATGAAGAAAAATGTGCAGCTAATAGTAAGTATCATTAATATAAGAATCTCAACTCAATAGTTATAAAAACTCACCAGAAAGAATCCCCATTCGCAAGATATCAGTGACTAACTATGCTGAGTCTAAGGCCATTAAATAGCCAGTCTTCATTCGATAACCATGGTATTTCTTCAATTATTATCATTTAGTCCAATGTCACATTCACATTTAAAAACTGAAGTTTAACTCAGTTATAGGAGTAACAGTTAAGAGAGTAAGTAGGCATCTAAAATTGCAATAAAATGATTTCATACTCATCTATTATTATTATATATAAAGAAAATTCTACCATTTTAGCTGAATTTCAAATTTGATTGTCAAGTCAAAATAAACTTAACTAAATTAATTAAAATTAATGAGTTCACAGATTAATGATGTTTTAAGAAATGAAACAATCTACTATCGAAAATCTCATCTTCTCAGAAAAACTACTAATCAATAGAAAAAGTTATTTAGAAGGGAATTGATTTAAGACAGTTTAAATGAACCTACACATCCAATTAATTATTTAATAAAAAACCAGGATGTCTTTGTTCCCTTTATACATGAAAGAAACAGTTTAGGTCATCTGATTAAAAAACCCAATTTATCATCTAATAGAGAAATCACTAATAAATAATTAGTAAAATCATCACTAAAATTACCAAGAAATAAATAATTTTGTACATTCCAATAAACTGACCCTCCTAACTCAAATCGATCATATGGATAAAAGATTAAAACTCAATCAACTACAGATTCATTTTATTCTTTCTTTACACTTAACAAGTGCAATCCAAGTATCTTACTAAAGTCCAAAAACAGCGAACCATTTAGTTTTAGAAAATCATTTTATTAAAAATAACTATGATTTATATAAATATTATCATCCTTAATTTGCTGATGACATTATAGCTTATTTCACACTTTTAGTAGTCATAATTTTCTAGGTCTAATAACTAATTTAATATAATTATTAAGTTACTTTCTATCAGGACTTTAATAGTTTTACACATAAGATTAAGGACTTTGTAACCTTTGAGATACTTAAGACTACTTGATTTCATTGGAAGATTAGATCCTTTCAACATATTAATTATAAGATGTAGGAATCTAAGAAACTTAATTTATTCCAGATTATCTTGTTACAATTTAGACATTGGTCTTCTTAATACCTGAACTCTGTTGTCCTATTAATTAATTCACGACCAATTAATCATTTTGTTTCTCAGTAAAAATCTACTTTTTTACTTTGTTCTCTAATCTAGCATTTTCTTATTCTAAAATATGTAAACGCGATTCATAATCAGTGATATTTGTAATTAAAATTTAGATTTTATTCTCTTATTCTTATCTTATATTTTTCTACCTCTCAATCTCAATATTTAATGTCTATATTTCATGTTCTAATTCTGTGATTCTTAATTACAATCTCTTTACTTATTCATTACTTATATTTGAAGATTGAGATCTAATCTAAGTTATTTCAATCTTTGTCGAATTGTATTATTGTTCTAATTATTAATACTTCGATCTATACTAATTTAACTCCATTTATGTTTATTATAATTGATAAGATAGTTATTATATCTCTTGAATACTTTATTACTGTAATCTATCCTCTAAATTCTATCTTTCAATGGTTAATCTTGAGATGAATTGTGATTCTAATTCATCTCTTATTTGCATATCCAAATTTCTTAGTTCCAATTGCAATTTGTTGATTTACTAATTTTTTGCCTGCAATTCATAATCTGCCTCCTTTAATCTACTACTTAATCGATCTACTTCAATAGAACTGCCTTTGAAAGTTTCACTTTCTCTTTAAATAATAACAAATCTTTAATTGATTTATTCATAGTCACTTTTATATTTCAAATTAAGCTCCTTTAAATTTGAAATCTCTTAATTTAATTGCAAGTTAATTTATCTTAATTGCTACATTTGATCTCTTAAACTCTAACTCTCAAATTGACTTTGTCTAACCACCTATTCTTTAGCTGATCTCAATTCAGTGCTAGATTCCGAATATTTTATTTGTAATTAGTCGTACTAACTTTGCAATTATTTATACTATTATTGTAATTATTATAATTCGAATTGTCCTTACTAATTAACCTTCTGCTCAGCAAATTGCATTTCGATTCTGAGTCTCTCCTTAAATGACTATTCAAATTGAGCTTCTTAATTCTGAAGTTAAATTTTCAATTATTATATTTGTGTTTCATATTAGAAAATTCGTTGTTCATATTGACTAATTCTTTACTTCAATACCTCTACTTCTTTATTATTCTATTAGGAATATTTGATTTCACTTTCTCTCTCTAATAGTAAGAAGTTTTAGTTTAAAGATTCGTAATCATTTCGATATTTTCTAATTTAATCATTCAACTATTAGATCTCATTCTATTACCAACTACATCGATCTTATAGTGTTTAATATTCATTCTATATACTTGTGTATTAATATGAAGTTTTCTCTATCTATAATTTTTAAGATTTTAATTATTAATTTTCTTAATATAACTATTCTTATTCACTTTGATATCTCTTTACTAGATCCTTGTAAGTTTAGATTTCAGATTAAATCATCTTATATTAACTTTATAATGTTGAATATTCTTCTTTTATACTTAATAATTAATATGAATTTTATTATGATGATTATTAATTTTAAACTTAAATTTGTAATTAAGAATTCTAATTTTAAAGGGATTAATATTAATAATTGGCATTTCTTAGTTCTTATTCCAACTCAATAATCCTTTTTCGCAATGAATCAAGTTCTAAAGAATTGTTTTGATATTAATCACTTTATCTCTAAAATATCATATATTCATTCGACAATCTCTCATAATCTTATTGATATTTTTATTTTTCTTCTCTCAATAGATTTAATTCTTATTAATATTAAGATTATTGCTAAATTCTTAACATTCTAATTTCCTCTTAATATTCATTTTAAGTCGTACTAATTCTTTAATCTCTTTCATTTAAATCTTATATCAAAATTTAAATGTCTTGTTCCATCTCTGCAATTTTCCTTTTTAATGCATCTACTTCTTATGTGTCTGATTTTCTACTTTCAAAGCTAATTCTATATCCATTTATTTCTTTTTTAGATTTATCTACTTCTAATTTTAATTAATCAACTTATAATTCAAATTACCTAATTCTTTCTTACAAAAACGCAATTTAATTATCTTTTTAAGTAACTTTTTATTCAATTGCAAACACCTATTCCTAAGTTTATGTAGCTTTATAACGATCTTACCAGACCAAGACTTCATGTTGTAATGCAGAAATTCTTTTTAAATACCCTTCAATTTCTGCATTTTGATTTTTACTAGTAGATCTCATAGATGATTGTTGGATTTCTTAAATATAGGAGTCACAATTAAAATTTAATCTTTAAATTTCTTATTATTGATCTTGAATTTTGTCTTCTAATAATTTGATTTTTCTTTTGTGATCCTCTCTTTCATTTCTAAATTAATCTAAATCCTAACCGAAGGATATTTTAGAGCTGCTTTATTGTATTTGTATTTATGATTATTAGTACTATTAATGCAATAAATTTTTGGCTTTAATGAGATCCTCCTTTTCTAAAGTTAATTATTTAAGTTAATCTTTCAGTTCATTGATTTCTTAATTTGGAATGTATGAGACAAAAGAATTTTTCTTGACTTGGTCTTCTAACTGTTTAATTTGCATCTTCAATTAATTGACTTCATAGTCATTTGAAGCAACGCCTACATTGCGCTCTAGTCTAAACTTGATTTCATTATTTTCTTATCTAAGTTTGGTTATCTCTTCCTTATATTAGTTAATTTCAAAATCATTGCCTTAGTAAACATTCGTAACACGACTAGTTCCTTTTTCAGCTTACAATTGTTTATACTTATATTTCCATTAATCCAACTCCTTCAAATAATCAGATATTTAGTTGTTTAAGGAATTCACACTTTCCCTTAAATTTGCAATTTCTAATATTAATGATTTTGTTACCTCTATCTTTAGCTTCAATAATCTTCTAAAAAGATGCTTAATCAGTTATAGTTATTTATTCCTAAGGAATGGAATTGGTTTGTACTCTGTAATCTTCAGTCCTTGATAAATCAATATAAAGATTTACCTTAATTGTGAATTTGTGTATTATTAGTATTGATAATTTCTCTAAGGTGGATAAGCATCTATTCTTGAATCTGTTGTCTCTATTTTGTAATGTGTAAATCCACTCATTCTTGTAGATTTAATAAATTATATTAATAAATGATAATCAAATTCATTCTATTTTTGANTAATCTCTTTCATTTAAATCTTATATCAAAATTTAAATGTCTTGTTCCATCTCTGCAATTTTCCTTTTTAATGCATCTACTTCTTATGTGTCTGATTTTCTACTTTCAAAGCTAATTCTATATCCATTTATTTCTTTTTTAGATTTATCTACTTCTAATTTTAATTAATCAACTTATAATTCAAATTACCTAATTCTTTCTTACAAAAACGCAATTTAATTATCTTTTTAAGTAACTTTTTATTCAATTGCAAACACCTATTCCTAAGTTTATGTAGCTTTATAACGATCTTACCAGACCAAGACTTCATGTTGTAATGCAGAAATTCTTTTTAAATACCCTTCAATTTCTGCATTTTGATTTTTACTAGTAGATCTCATAGATGATTGTTGGATTTCTTAAATATAGGAGTCACAATTAAAATTTAATCTTTAAATTTCTTATTATTGATCTTGAATTTTGTCTTCTAATAATTTGATTTTTCTTTTGTGATCCTCTCTTTCATTTCTAAATTAATCTAAATCCTAACCGAAGGATATTTTAGAGCTGCTTTATTGTATTTGTATTTATGATTATTAGTACTATTAATGCAATAAATTTTTGGCTTTAATGAGATCCTCCTTTTCTAAAGTTAATTATTTAAGTTAATCTTTCAGTTCATTGATTTCTTAATTTGGAATGTATGAGACAAAAGAATTTTTCTTGACTTGGTCTTCTAACTGTTTAATTTGCATCTTCAATTAATTGACTTCATAGTCATTTGAAGCAACGCCTACATTGCGCTCTAGTCTAAACTTGATTTCATTATTTTCTTATCTAAGTTTGGTTATCTCTTCCTTATATTAGTTAATTTCAAAATCATTGCCTTAGTAAACATTCGTAACACGACTAGTTCCTTTTTCAGCTTACAATTGTTTATACTTATATTTCCATTAATCCAACTCCTTCAAATAATCAGATATTTAGTTGTTTAAGGAATTCACACTTTCCCTTAAATTTGCAATTTCTAATATTAATGATTTTGTTACCTCTATCTTTAGCTTCAATAATCTTCTAAAAAGATGCTTAATCAGTTATAGTTATTTATTCCTAAGGAATGGAATTGGTTTGTACTCTGTAATCTTCAGTCCTTGATAAATCAATATAAAGATTTACCTTAATTGTGAATTTGTGTATTATTAGTATTGATAATTTCTCTAAGGTGGATAAGCATCTATTCTTGAATCTGTTGTCTCTATTTTGTAATGTGTAAATCCACTCATTCTTGTAGATTTAATAAATTATATTAATAAATGATAATCAAATTCATTCTATTTTTGATATCTTGCTGATGTTTATTTCCGATTTTAGCAAGTCATTCATCTTACTATTTTGTATGAGTGAATCAGATTGATATTGTTTATTAAGCAATTAAGTAGTGCTTTTACTTTTAACAGATGGAAATTGTGTTTTCAGCATAGAAGAACTTTGACATTTAGGTTTAATCTGATTAATTACATAATACTTACTCTGGTCATATGATCACGTAGTTTTTCATATTTGTGTATTTACTCTTATTGTTTTTCTAATAGGATTTGTTTTGTAAGTTCTAGCCTCTTTTACAGTTCTTAATTTTCTTCATCTATTTTTTATTATTATTTTCTTCTCAAAGGGGAATGCAACCTCTTTCCTAAAGCATTCTCACTCCATATTGAAGTGTCTGCCTTAAAGCTAAGCAATTCAACTTACATAGGCTTTCTATCTTAAATTTTGAACAGTCCAGATAGATCTAAATTGTGAGTTTTTGCCTTCTTGAATTTCTATGATATGTGAAGTTAAAAATTAGTTTTATTCATCAATTCGCTTTCTTTATTCAGATTTCTGAAATCTAGATGACTGTGCTTTTAATTGTTATGTTTTACTTAGTACTGGCAAATCTTTGAAAGCATATCTTGGCTTTTTGCTAAATCATAAGAATGAACTTATTACTCAGTTTAAATTTGATCCAATTTCTTTTTATGAAATTCATAATTTTGATTACGGAGCATCTTCTAAACCAAATTGGTTTCTACAAACCTAGCGCCTTGCATAAGTTATATATATTATTTAATTATTTATTTTATAATTCATTCTTATTTTTTACGACCCACTAAAAATTCTTTATGATTATCCATCTCCTCAAAATCTTAATATGTATATTAATTTTAAGTAATCTTTTGAAATTAGAAATAACAAGTTGTATTTTTACATAATAAAATATTAGCTTTTCTATTATAATATTTTGTGGCAGCATCGGAACAAATAGCACAAAGCATATTTCAATTAATTTTATTATTTATTTATAATATATATAATTAATATTATTTTAATCAAATTACTTCTAAAATTCTCATTCTCCATAATAAATCAAAGAGTCATTATTCTAATAATCCCATCACTTCCATCTTATTTTGAACCAATAATAATAATAAATTCCCCTTTACGAGGAGTACATTTCTTCTAATTCTTTTAGAGCAGCTACATTAACCATATTTTAATTTCTAATTTGTAACATTTTAAATACCATTCAAAAATGCTTAGTTAGCAAATTTTCATTCCTAATAATTAACTTATTAAATTTTTTGAACATAATTAATATACTTTTTTACACTTGACAAAATTGTTTATAACAAATATTGCCAGCAAGTTAGCATATTTAGAAGATATGAAAGCAATTCTGTTTAAGAGAGGTAATTCTCCATTTTATACTTAATTCTAAATCTTATTTAAATCAATCCAAAACATTCTCTTATAATCAATGTTTTCTATATGATTGACTAAAAATCCATCCACTTATCACAATGAATGTACTATGCACGATACTTCATTTATATATCGTTCAGGTCAAGGTATATAAGGAAAGGAGTTTCAATCAATCTTAGTTATTTTGAATCTATGGTATACTTTTTGAGCATATGAAAAAATCTTTATAGTCACCATTAATGATCTATTAGATAATCAAAATTCTGCAGAATCTCTAATAGCTCTTAAGAAACTGGATCTTAAATGAGAAGAGAATAAATGTATTGAAGTTAGAAATTACTATATAATCACAACCTTATTAATAGCAGTTTGAACATATTGATTATTTTATAGTCAATTTAAATATAATGAGGCTTCATGAAATTGCACATCGATTTTTAATAAGGAATCATTTTAGTTTTATCATGATTAGCAACCTGCTGATTTAATTGATCATTACTTAAATAAAAATGATAATAGCACTTTAATAACTTGAAATATTAAGCTGAAAGGGAAAAGTTTTATTTTGATTCATTTTAATAAATAATATTGCTAAACATATGTCATTATTTTTATTTTTTGACTTCATTCTTGCAAGCAGATATCAACACTTCTTCTTGCAATTCTTCTTATGGAATATGTACGTATTTTACTGTAGATCCTCGAATGAAACTATTTCTTAAAGTTATTAATTATGGTTATTTGAGAGGATCAGATACTTCAGGATCAACTAAGTTAAAATTTAAGTTGTCATCCACATAAGTGATTTATCCCTGTATTTGTAATCCATTTTTTAATTCAATGGTTACACTAACACAGCGTTCAATTAATCCTCTAAAATAGGTTTGAAAGAATTAACTCTACATTAATTGTATTAAATATTAATACTATAGAATAGTAAAACTTATTTTTCTCAGTAATATAAACTATAATTGTGTTGATAACTGTTAAATAAATATATATATATAGTTATAGTCATTAGGATACAGAGCAAATTCTTATTGGTGATTAGGAGCATTTTAGGATTGAGCTTGATCTTACTTTTTCATCTTTTAAAATTGGATTAACCCACCCAATATTTGATTATCCTTTCAATTTCAAAAGTGTTTTTTGGATGTTGGTAACAATTTGATGTGGTTTGTACATACAAACAATCAGTCTTTCGTTGAATTATATTTTTGAATATCCCTATTCTAATTCAAGGTCATCAGGTTCATCTTCAATTAAAGCTAATTTGTGATGAACACTTAATGGTGTCATCGGGTTCAACTTGAAATTCGGAGATTAAGTAATCATTAATAATGACTTGTAATTAATAGATTTGAAATATAAAACGATATAAATTGAAAATCATATTAATGCGTAGCAAATGACAACAGTTAATAAATCATTATTTTTTTTTCATTAATTCTAGTGGCAATCTTTCTTAAATAAAATATTGATATTAATAATGCAAAATATAAAATGATGTTTCCAAAATCATAAAATAACCAACTTAACTATTTTTCTATTTAATTAGTTAATACTTAAGACCCCTCATCTGTTTTTATAATTATTATTTTCTGGGGTATGGTTCAATCTTAAGAGGTTTTTTAAATTGAATTTTTGATTTATTATTGAATAGGATAAAAGTCAAAATAACTAAAGGAAAATTATATTTTATACAATCTTGGCAATTATACTTTTACATGATGAAGATTTAGAAAAGTATTATTATTTGAACTACTTGTGGAACAAACACATAAACTGTGAATTATACTTTAATGCAAAAAAAATTTGTAAATTTATATTTATAATTAAATTATAGAGATGTAATTAGACGATCAAATGGAAGAATTGTTGTAGTTACAACAAAGAAGGATAGAATTAGAATAAGAAAACTAACAATTAAAAGCATAACTATTCCGTTTAGGACGTGACCTAGTGTTTAATAGTATTATAAATTTTTCTATTAAAAAGTTCATAAAGAAGAAGTGAAAAATTTACATTCTGATTATGGTTTTGGAAAGGAGTAAATAAAATATACATTAACTCATTCTTCAACTCGGGTTTTGGAAAGATAAGCAGAAATAAAATTCTTAGACTAACCTAAAAGATTACTTCTTTAGGTTCAAAGCAGTTGTCAAGAAAAAGAAAATCACAAAGAATTTTACCTCTTTTCTTATTCTATATTGCTTAATGATGAATTAGAAGAAAACCCAAAAATTATAGCTACAGATTCAAAAATTGAAATTATTTTTGACAAGAACCAGAAAAATAATTAACAATTGATTTAATTAAACTAATGATTATATTAACATTTTTATTGCAAAATAATGAAACCATTCTCTTAAGACACTTTATGAAATATAAGGGAATATATATATATATTTATTAATAAATTTATAACGGAATGATTTCTCCAAGACTTTAAAGTTCTAGTTTCACCCCAATCAATACATCGAATGTCTTTACATCAACCATTAATGAGGATGCTTAGAATACTAGTTTCTCATCATATCATGTGACTCCCAGATAAGGAGCTACTCCTCGATAATTGTCTCGAATTTAAGAAAATAATGAAAATGAGGACTCTAAAATAACAGACACTGATCCTGAAACTTATAGAGAAGTAATTAAAGAGTTATCAACCTAACTTTAAATGGCTATATTAGAAAATAGATAATTGAAAGATAAAATTAATGTTTTAGAAGAAGAACATCATGAAAGTTTTTAAATAATCAATAACTAAAATCATATGCTTTAAGACAGCAATTTTACATTATAGGAGAAGATTAACAATTTGTTTTCAGAAATATAGTAAATGCAACTTTAATTGGAATAGAAAGATTAAAAGTTGAAGGATATTAGAGAGAATAACTTATATTAAAATCAATCATCTGAAAAAATGACTCATTTAATAGATGAAAATTAGAAATTAATCAAAATTATTGAAACCCAATAATAAGAAATTAATGACCAAAAAGATGTTATAAAACAGTTTGAAAAAGCCTTTTAAGATACAAAAGGTAAAGTAGAATTAGATTTTAATGAAAAATTAAATAATAAATGTAAGGAAATTGATTAATTCAAACATGAAATCGAAGGATTACATTAATAATTGTTATAATACAAAGAATAGATAATGCTTTGGAGTTAAAGATACTAATCTTTGGATCAAAATTATTAAATATAATACTAGGATTTATTTTAAAAGTTCAACATTAGTTAAAATTAACTGACTGAACTATAAAATGTTTATTAAGTGTTTTCAGATAATAGCTAAAGGAAAATTTAATAACTGGTTTAAGAATTAGATAATGCAAAAGTGGGTACTTTTAAAAAACAACAAAACTTAAAAGTTCAAGCTTTAGAGGATAGAATTGATGAATTGGAAGAGCAATTGTAGATTAAAAAGAATTAAATTTTTAAGCTAAAAGAAGAATTAATGGAATATTAAAACATTTAAAATTTGACGAAATAAAGAGATTCAGATTAAGTAGCAGACAAGAGAAGTATAAAATTTATTAATTTTTTAGTTGTTGAAGATTAAATATTAGAAAAATATGAATAAAGAATACGTTAATTAGAAGATAAACTTGTTTAATAGGAATAGCAAATTAATGTTACCTAATAACATCAACAATAGTAATAATATTAAAGCTTACCATAATAATAAATGGCTTTCGTTTAATAATAATAGTAATAATAATAATAATAATAATAATAATAATAATAATAATAATTATAATTATAATTATATGAAAATAGTTATTATGCAAGAACAAAAGAAAATAAAAAGTTGTAATTGTTTTCTGAAAGAAAGGATAATGTAAGAATGTATTATAGTTTTGCAAAAGAGAATTAATAGATTGAAAATAAATATCCTAGAACAGCTTTAAATTATGGAAATAATTATTGATTTGCTATAAAAAATAAAAATAGTATTAACTACTAATAATATCAGTTTGATTTTGATTTCTTTATTAAATTTTATTACGATTATGCTTTCGTAGTTACAAGTCCTTTTTATTTTTAGAAACTTACAGGTTTATTCTATTTCAATTATTTTGAATTAATTTGTGGTTAATTTTCCTTATTTGATTTACTCATTATATTGATTTTTTTTGGTACTTCAACTTAATTTAATCTTTAAAGTAGATTGGTTGTGTCTAAAGTGGATTTGCATCTTGAAAAGGATTCTTTAGAATTAGAAGTTTGAATTAGTCTCTTTCCATTTGGCGATATGGAATTTTCCCTAATATTTGGTTCAACTGATTAATTCCTGATTTTTTGTTGACTTTCACTTTCTAAAGGATTATCCTATTATTCTATTCTTGTAGTTTACTATGAATCAATTTTTTGAAAGGTTTATTAAAACTATTGAAGAATTTTGGGAGTTTATCCTTGTTAATGATTATCTACTTAGATATCAGCAACGTTTTAGTCTAAATAATTTTAATAGAGTAATTTATTTATGATGTCATCTTGGAAGAATTAAGTCGATTAACAAGGTTATTCCTAGAATCCAAACATAGGACTTAATAAATCTTATTTATTTTCTGATTTTTCTTTATCAAATGAATTTAATGTTTTATTCTGTATAACAGAATAACTTTCAGTGGAAGAATATTATTAATGAGAATGATCAAATTAACTTGGTTGTTATTATCTATTTTCTGGGGTTATGAAAACACCTTTTCCTCTCATTTCAGCCTCATCACTTAAATTTGGAGTTAAGGTATTTTTGGATGATGTTTAAATAAACCCTTTTTTGGGGTGTGGAGTGATAAAATATTATTATGAAGGGGATAGCAATTGTTTTTATTCAAGTATGGTTGATTCAATCTTCATTAAAGAATCTTTTAATGATTTGATTTAGTTTAATACCTTAAATAGCAATTGAGATAAAATACTTCTAATTTTTGATTATTATCTCCAGGAAATGTTTCAAGGAGTGCCTTTAATTTAAGATTTAAAATATTCTTCATTTGAATAAAAATTAATTATTATTTATATTTCGTAAGATGTGTTTCAATGTACTAAGTTGCTAATATTATATCCTGCCCTTTACTGAGCTATCCAAAAAATGATATCAAATTGTGCAATGATTCATAAAATTTAGCTTTAAAATCAGAGATTGATTATGTTAGATCCTAATTGCAATTTATAAAAATGATATACTTCAAGCATACGTTAAGGCTGAGAAATATATTTTATAGAGCTTGTAATAATATTTGATTCAAGTTCAGTAAGTGTAGCATTAAAAATATCACATAATTTTTCTGCGGCATTATTCATATGTCGTTAATTTTTTTATTTTAATTGAATATTATTTAATAATTAATTTTATCATACATAGAATTTACATCATATTATCTAAGAATATGTAATAACTATGTTCACAATTGATTAACACAATTTTTGAATTATTTTAATAAGAATTTCAATATATTAATTGTAATTAATTTTTAGAAGAAGAATGTAAGAGTTAATTTAAAACAATCTGAGACAAGATGTATAATCAATTGATAATTCAAATTTGAGTAATTTACAAAACTAAATAATGTAGGTGATTAATTTACAAAGAAAGTGTAAGCCTTATTAGAATATGGATTATATGATCAAGCATTTGAAAGAGTGATGAACAATAAATAATAAATTTAGGAAAACTTTTAATTACTAATAGAACTGTAAGTTAATTTCATAATAGTTTAGAGCAAGGTTATTTAATACTTTCAAATAACACAAATTGGCTTTAGAAATAATTAAGCTATCAAATGTATTTGATTAATAATTGGATATGCATTAAGATCAATAGATAATCATTTTCAAATAATATTATTTAGAGACCCTGGTTGAATTGGTAGACATTCAAGAAGCATTAAAAGAAACTAAAAATATTTATAATGAATAAGTAAGAAAGGTAAAATTAGTACATAAACCATAGATAATATAAGATGAATTGCATTTGATAGAATCATAGAAAAGAGGCTAACTGCATTAAAATAATCATCAACATCATCATGTTAACGACCCTCATCATTAATAATCAAATATGGAAATTCCTAAAAATAAAAGATAGCCTCTATTCAAACTAATAGGTCGGAAGACATATATTTTGTTATTTATTTTGTTTTTAATGGTTTCTTATTCATTAAAAAGAAGAAATGATATCAAATAGGTATTTGAGAAAGCAAAAATGTTATTTAGACAAATATTAAATATATGAACTTGAAATATTATAGTAATGTAATTCATCAAAATATATGTATTAATATTCTGTTAAAAATACTATTGATTACTTGATTATATATTGCTTATTTTACAGGGTTTCATAGAATTTAATAGTGTTGCTATATAAAATTAAAATTAAGTTATGATTAAATTAATATCTAGATTTTGTACTTTGCAAAAATACTACCCTACAAAATATGTAGCACCTAATTTATGGGTCAATCAAAAATACATTCCAATTTTTAAGTAGAAGGAGTTGTCTCCAGAAGAGTAAAAATAGAAAATATACTTGCGAATGGCAAAATTAGTTCCAATCACACTTTATTCTAGTTATTGGCTATTTTTTGGATCTCTAGATGTCGTACATACTTCAGCATTTTTAGGATTGTTTGTATGATATTTTACCTTATTACTTAGTTTTTGTACTCAAAATCAAGATTTACACATTTATAATAAGAAGCAAAGAAACCTGAATACATTTATATGGATAAGGATGGCAAAGAGTATGTGATTATTTATAAATTAAATGCTTCTGAACCTCAGAGTAAATATGATGATTAGAAATTAAGAGAGATTTTCAAATTGAATGAGAATTATGGATTATTAAAATTCAATGTCAATGATTTCAAAATTGTAAACTCTGCAGCTCAACCAAAAAGCGAATATGAATTATATAATTTATTTGCCCTTGAAAATAGCGAAGAAGAAATTATTAAAAGACCTCATAATATGTTTGAGTTGGATATTAATTAGAAGTTAGTCTTAATTAAGTTTGGCCAAAACGAATATAGTGGTATGAATGAATATTTAAACGCTTTGATGAGTAAGAAATAAATTATAATAAAATGAAAAACCATCATTACTAATTAAAATGATCACGGTACTTCTTTATTAATTTCTTAATCTCATTTTTACTAGCTGTTTTAGTCATCATTGGTTTTAATTTCAATTTCATATTGCATTCAGAATATGTTTATATTTCCAATTTATTTTCTTCAACTTACTTTATATAATTTCCACTCATTAAAAGAAAGGCCCTAGTTGTTGATTTAGAAGATGGATTGCTAAATATGTAACATAAATTACAAAGGCTAAAACTCATCATTTTCTATGGATTTGCTAATTTCAAAAACGGTGTTTTCATCAATGGATTTTGTAAACTTAACAAATAGGAAATCTCTGGGATCCATAAAAAGGATCTTCTTATACCTTAAGTAATTAATTTATAAAGAATCATCTGAGTAGTGTTATTCAAATTAATCAATGGAGGAATCCAATTTCTTTTGCAATTCTAAGTCTTTCATAAAGGCCATATATTTCTAAATAGTTGTGTTAAGGGTGTATTTGTATCTCATCTGATGAATTTAGTATTTTTCAGGAGTCTCTATATATTTAATCCAATAACTAAATTCGTCTTAATTGTCCTCTAATTATTCATATCCTTCATAATCATATAGAATTGAATGATATATTTCAATTGATTTATTGCCTAATTCAGTTAGAATCTCTTTGTTATGAATATCAACACTAGGAGTTGTCTCAATAAATTATCTAACCGTGCTTATATCAATAGGTTGTGGGACATCCTCAATAATTTCCTATTTTTCAATTAATTATTATTTTTGTGATTGAATTTTTGTTTCCAAATCAGAAGTTGCCAACTCAGTCTCGTAATCTTAATATATTGTAAATTAATAGATACTCTCATTCTTTAGCTCTTCTTTTAAATTATTCTCAATGTCTTTATCCGCATTCAATTCTACTTAATTAAACTATTGCATCTAGTAATGTGAATCAGCTGTTCTAATTTTGGTGTACTAGAAGATCGATAAGCATTTTCTAAGCAAAAGCTTAATCCATATGATGCATTAATTCATATAATGAAATTAAGATGAATTATATTTAAAAATGTGAATCTAGATAATAAACTTGATTTAACAGAATCAGCAAAATTAAATATTATATAAAAACGCGATTGTCAGAAAGTATTCCTTCTCTTCTTTAAAATTTGATAGAAAAAATCTGAATTAAGTGAAATATTTACATAAAATAAAAGTTCTCAAAATGATTTGTTCTCTGGTTTTAGGTATTTGAATATAATATCTGCAGTAGCAAATTAGTAATTTTCCAAGGCAACATCCATGGCTGTTTATCCGCTATGCTATAAAACTATAGAAAAAAGAGTACATTTTGGATATTAACATCAGCACCATTCTTCAACAAGTAATCAACAATTAATGTAGCTCCACATTTAGATGCTGATATTAACATTGTGTTGCCTTCTTCATTCTAATAATTAATATCCATTGTCGCTTCCAATTTTAGGATTTCTTTTAGATCCAACAATCGATGTTCTTCAACCATAATGAATATCTTTTCTATTAAAGTCTTATCTTCATTTTTTGTTTGCTAGATAATCATATTTCTGAATAATAATGAATATGGATGCATAGATTATTATTTGACATTGCTTTAATTATTCTTTTATTGAATTTATTAAGTTTCCTTATAAACAATTTATTACTCGTTTTCTTTTACAACTGATAGATTTTGAACTTTTGAAATCTGTGATTAAGATTGAATTTTGTTTGCTCCTTAAACTTATAAATACTTTTAGGAAGGCTCTTCATAAATAAAAATATTAGTACTTCTGAATGCATTTCGAACCACTACCTATTAATTTTAACTTGCATTCTTTTATGTTTTTGTTTCACTCTAATTTTAATAAGATTTATTCTTACAATATTAGAAGGAGATTCGGATCTACTCTTTGTTGCTGGAGGCAATGATAAGGTCATTAGATTGGCTTGCTTTGGTATAGTTTCTATTGTAGTCTCTCTCTGATGTCTAGATTTCAACATATTCGAATTTTTTATAGAAGTATTATCCACGCTATTATTTTATTGCTAATAGCAATATTTTATAAGTCGTTTTTCATCCGTATTTATTAGCTGTTTATAATTATCTTCGAACTATCCAATACAAATATTTTCATATTTCTTATAAATTAACTAGAGGTGTTTTTTTCGATCTTTCCTATTTGTTCTTAGAAAAAGTCTATTTATGGCTTCCAAATCTAAATTAATATGAAAATCATACGGGGTTAGCATTACAATTCATAATCTATATGGATTATTGGTTCTATATTATTAGCAAAGGCGATTATTTGTTCATGTAAAAGTACATTTTTTGAATCATCTGAAATTGTTGAAATAATAAATTTAATTAATTTCTCTTAACATGAACTTGGATTCAATAGTTTGGATGAGGATAGATATTTCAATTTCATTCCTTAATCATATGAATAATCCTGTTAGCTTTTATTTGTTAGATAACTATAGTCGGATAGCATACTTGAATTCTAGGAATCAAAAGGTTCTGGACATCTATAAATAAAGCTATTAATATCTAAAAATCTTGTTGTTTGAAAGTCTTACTTAACTATAAATAATAGTTACTATAATTGATTGATCAAAAAGAACTTTTGATACAAATAGCTATTAGTCTAATTTTGAATCTTATTTCATTATATTTGGAGTAGTCTAGTTATCCTTTGATTCTTTCAATTTATGTTAATTTAAACATTTTAAAACATAATTTTAAAGATAATATCGAGTAAATTGAGCTGCTTTGTCTGAATTGAATTCATCAATAATCTAATCATTTATATTTTATATTTTATTAATTTTTCTAAATTATAATTATAATTACTTATTAAACATATTTTTAGAAACAAGAGAATAAATATTTGATTTCTTAGGATTTTTTATTTCTAATACTTCATTCTATTATTATTATTATCTTGTTTGATCTTCTTCCATGTAATGAGGAATAAAAAATTCCATCTTATTTTATTTCTGTTCTTCTGGACATTCCACTAGAACTTTAATTTTCTTTTTATTATTTATAGGAAATTATGGAGTAGTAGCACTTACAGATACCTATTTTCCTGTATCTTACGATTTCTCTTTTATTGCTTCTATGAGACTTTTCATAGGTTTAAGGGATTCATCCTAATGAGTTAAAGTTATTTAAGAGCTAAATTTGGTATGTTTTTTAGGTATAGCTGACAGCTACTGTTGAAAGAGCATCTCTTTTGAATTAGTTAGTGATTATTAGGGAAGATATTGAGTTTAAGTTTATAAGAAAATATTTGATTTAAGCATTTAAGTGTCAATGACTGTTTTACTTTTTAGTTCTTTTTCTTCAGATCTTTCTCTATGAGTCTTTAACAATTATATTATTTTTCTCAAAATCCTTGAACTTCTATCTTGAAATTCTTCAAGTTCATTCATCCTAATTTTACATTTAATTTGATTCTTTGCTTTAAATTATGGACATTTTTATCCTAATATTAATTCTTCGCAAAGAACATCAACAAATTTAGGCTTTTCTTGCTTAATTTCTTTTACTACTTCAAATTCTTTTACTTCAGGTTCCCACACTTATATAGAAGGTTAAGTTTTTATTCTCTAAGATTGAAATACCCCACTTGGTTTTCTACTAATAATTACAATAGATTTCTTTAATTCATTAACAACAGGCTGATCTTATTCAGTTTTTGCTCTTAATGATGAGGGCTATAATTCGGGTAATTTGATAGCAGTCTCATTTTTTCTTCTATGTTTAGTACGAGTGAAAGTTAAATAGGATATTGGTTTCTATTCAATTGATCTTGTAACTGCAGAATTAGTACTCACTTATGAAAAGGGCTTTATTAGTGATTTTACAAAGTAATTATTCTCATGTTATTTCATTTATTATAATTTATTTGAAATCATTATCATATAATTTAACACATATCTGTAGTTATATAATTGAAATATTTTAAGTGTTCGACTTAAGCTATGCAATCATAAATTTACATATATTTGTGGCTTAATTTGAAATCAATTAAATTAATCAGCAAATACAAATATAAATTACTAATTAGAAATAGGAATAGAAAATTAAATATATTAAAGGTAAATGTTTATACAGGATTGTCAATTTAATTAAGATGTTTTATTAAACCTTATTAATTGTTTCTGATTCATGATAAAATTATAAGACCTAATATCTAATCAATACGTATGTCTTTATAATATTGAAAGATTAAAAATAACCAGAAACTTGCTTATCATATTTTAGGGACAATATTAAAAACTAAAATTGATATTTATTCATAGAAAGGGTGAATTCCTTGGCAGATAAATCAGTTAAAATGAAGACAGAATGTATTTTATTTTAGTTGTGTTCAGTTTAGTCAGACCATTAAATCTTCACCACCTATTCCTCCTGCAAATATGATCTCGTTAATATGGTGTGTCCAATTCTTAGCAGGAACTACAATAAAAAAAGAGGTTGCTAAAACTAAACAAGCAACTAAATATAAAAGATATCATTCAAAAATAATTACAAAGCATATTCTTATTGTGAGAATCTTATGCTATGAAATTTACTCATTTTTGATTTAATATTTAGGAATGCGATACGCTATTATATGGAACTTTGATAGACAAAAGAGTTACTAAAATGAACATCAAAACCCCCTATGAAAATGAAAATACTATATAACTAATGATTTCATTTAAAAACCAGCTGGTTCTAGAATCTATTCTTTGCACATTAACTTGTTTAAAGATAGAATTGAAAATCCAAATTACAGAGATGAAATATAAATAATTTCATTGAAATGTAATGCATCAATTCTAAAATATAATTAATGAAAAAATTAATAAAAAGTCATCAACAAAAAATTGAAATCGCCCAGAGTGAAAAATTATTGCGTGATCTTGACTTGTATTAAAAAATATTTCTATAAACAAAATACGAAAATAAAAAATAAGAATCTTTAGCAATTAGAAGACTCTTACCAAATAAATAATATTCGTAGCATTAATAACAATCATAATAATAATTCAATAATCCGAACCCCCACTGTTTTAACACATAATTTGATCAAGATACTAGTTATTCTAACCATTAAAATTAAGTAATAATTCATATGACTTTAGGAAAGAAAAAGAAAAAAGATGGCTATCTCAATGATTGATTGTCCAAAGATTTTCAAAATATCTAATAAAACTCAATATCCCCCCTAAAATAAATCAGTATAATCTTTAATGTAGAAGATTGTTATCGTAAACCATTAAGGTAGACCATAAACCTATTACATGAAGTGATTTTATAAAATATTCATGATGTACTTTAATTCATGTTCTAAAGTTGATAAATTTTCATATTGTGATGTTATTGAAAGCAAACTAGATATCCTTATAGCAAATGAGCTAATGATAAGATGTTACAATCGTATTAAATTTCAAAATATTTAGTGGGAATAAATTAAAATGAAATGCTAATTATTAATAAAAAAATTGATAGTAAGTGAAAATTTTAAATAGAAATACATTTATTTATAGATAAATTGATTTTCAATTTTCTAATTCATTTTCAAATTCATCTTCTTCATAATTATCTGATTTATTTGATCTGTTTTTGATTTAGTATTTAGGTTCACTTTCTGAATAATCTTCATTCTAATCATTCGAATTTTGATCTAATTAATAATCATCATCATTAATATCATTGTCTTCAACATAATATTTTTCTTCATCATCATCTTCATTTGATTATTTTCCCTTCATTTAGTTATGAAAAACTTCCTAATACAATTATTCACCATCTTCTTCTTCTTCATCTTCTTAAAGTAATTACAATTCATAAAAGTTAGGTTCAGAATAACTTCTGATTAATCCATGCTTCATTAAATAAGTTTATGATGATTTATCAATTCCTTATTCTATTTAAGGATCATAGACCTTTTAATCCACTTCAAATAAATATAAGATTTGTTCTTATTTTAATCGTAGTTGTTTAAAGAAGAAACAATTTCGTTTTTATTATCCCCTATAATAGTTTAATAATTCTTCAAGAGCATTTTCATCCTCCTACTCGTTGGAATCACAAAGTTCCTTTAAATATTTAAGTATCAAAGATCCATTCAATTTTCTAATATTTTGGCAATCTTTAATTACCTAACTGAATAATTTTATAATGTACTTTTAAGAGAAGATATTAATATTCAACTTATTGAAGACTCTATTATTTTTGTTGTTTTGCAATTGAATCAAGCAAAAAGAATAAATCATTATATTTAAAGCTTTAACCATTTAGTTTTTATTCCAACAATGATACTATATTAACAAACAATTTTGAGATACAGATTTCTAAAATTTTTGATTCAATTTTATCATAAATAGGCCAAAAGCCTATGATATTCATAAATTCTGATTTGATAATTTCATTCAATTGAGTTAAATTGATATTGATATTATAGGGATATTGTTGGTTATGTTTTTCGACTAGATATCTGGCAAATAACATAGCATCTGGTTTATCTAAGAGAAATGGTTATTTCGTTAATCTGTCGTGAAGGGAACTAAAATCTATAGAATTTGTAGTTTAATTAAAAAGATGTCGATCTATTTTCATTGCTGGTATTTATGCTGAGCTTAATCTTAGTCTTAATTCCAACCCTAAAATATTTTGATTAGAAAATACTTATTTCTGAAAGGTCTTAAATTTTAACAGGTTCATCGATCAAGTCCGTAACAGATCGATTGACACTTGAACTTAAAATATTATTAATATTGCTTGTGTTATTGGTATTATTGTTAATTTTAAAAGACTAATCTCTTTTAGTAGTACTATTAAGTGATTTATCCATGAATTTTTATGGATTTGGTTTTTTGATGGTAATCTATTTTGTTTATTTTGTATTTAATGAAATTCTGTCAATGTCATTTTTAAGATCAGAGATTTATTTATCTTTTATTTTGAGTTTGTTTTTTGCCTCATTCTAATATTTATTATATATTTTATCGAGTTCTTGATAAGCTTAAACCATCTATTGGAGTTTCTCCGATAATGCCTTATTCTCTTCCATATAGTATTCTAATTCCTATTACATTTATTTAATGAGTTATTCTCTCTGCATCAACATTTCTTTCAATTTGTTTTGTTCATTTTCAAATTACTTTTAATAAATATTATCAGTTATTAACTATTCTATAATCTGAGAGAGGCGTATGGTTTCATCTTAAAATGATTTACATTCAATTTCTAATTCTGTAAGTTTGGTGTATTTGGAAGTCTTCTTCATATTTTATAATTCTTATTTTGAATCATTTAGTTGTTCATTTAATTGTTTGACTTGATTTTTCAAGTTTAATATCATTTAATTATCTTAAGTTGGAGTTTAGTAAAATCTTTTCATATTTCCTGTCTATTCCATTTCCTCTATGATATTTGTGCACTTGACTAAATCTTTCTTTGAAACAATAATAAATTAAGTTTTACTTCTAAATTAACATTTTTAGTCTTTAATTTTATATTCTCGTCTCTTAATTAGTTCACTATCAACTTTAATTGATGACTCTCTTCGTACAACTTTTCCCAATCCATTTTCTATGTAGAACCACTTGGCTTATTAGATTTAATTCCTATTGGTAATTTATAAGGACTATAATACAGATTTATTCATATAACTACTTGGATGATTTGTTTTGTTCTTTATTAGTTTTCTCTTATTCCCTTGATTAACATCCAGAGGCACTTGATGGTCTCATTTATTTTTTATTTGATCAACTAATAAAGTATAAATATTATAATTTACAGATTTATCATAATCATTAATTAAAATCATCTCTTCTATTACCCTATACTTTTTATTTACATTATAACCAATATCAAATAATATTATATATCAATAACGGAATCCCAAAATAATGTTTTAACTACTTTATTTTTATAAAATAATAAAAATTATTATGAATGAAATTCATAAAGGGTAATCAAATGAGGTTCCCCAATTAAAATATATAAGTTATGAAGACAAATTGGAGTTCTATAGAAATGTGAGATAATGGCATAACAAATTTGTTTATTAGTAATTTGATCTGAGTGGTTTGAAGGGTATTCACTTGGATAAAAATGAAAAATTCAACGTATTGAAAGAGTAATTGACATCCTTTAATAAATAAGTAAACCTTAACATTAACTTAGTTACAATAAGCAGAAATTAGCAAAATCACTCCTTAGAATTTTCCTTCTCGTTATAATTTTCACTCTCAGATTTTATAATTGTTACGAGAAGCTTTGCTATCTACAAACAAAGAATAATAGGAGGAGTTTATATAAAAGATATATGATTGGAATAATCAAGAATAATCAAGATCTTTAAAGAGTCGCTGTAAACATACTCAATCAGTTGATTTTAAATATGAAAGTTCTAATTTTGATGGTACAACCAATGATGAAACAAAAAGACATTTCCTAGATTTTAGTGAATAAAAGTAATTGCCAAGCTAAATCATATAAGAAAATATTAGGGATTTTAAATAACAGTAGAGAACTATTCATAAAGAAATTGATCCCCCCGATGTTAGGTATCAAAATTAAATTTATTTCAAGATTATAATAATACTCAAGAAAAACATTGATTCAATAATAACTGTAGATATCACAATTAAAACCAGAGTCTTAATCCTCCTTTTTTCCAACATAAAACAATGTCAATAGATTTTCTATTTATGACGAATAGCAACAGCAAGAGAAGGATACGGAAAATGAAGAAAATAAAATGCCCATCGAACCAATCAAAGTATTTCTAAAAGACGATTAAGATATGAGTATATAAAGATAATAAAGTAAGTCTTTTGAAATTCGTTAAATGTATTAATAATATTAACCATCTAACTCAGAAATCGAGGCATCATTATAATAAAGATGGATTACAAATAGATAAAAAGAATATAAAAACTAGAAAGAAGACTAAGAATTAGTAAATTCTATGTTAAAATGGTCAAAAAATAAATCAAGAATTTAGAAGGAAGTCGATAGAAGGCAAGATTCATCCTAATTTGGAAGTAGATATTAATAATTGGATTTCATTCCAGATTCTCCTTTATAAACAAAAAAATAATATTATATTGGATATGATCCAAAAGTTATTAATTTAAAATAACTTCCAATAATTGTGAATACTTCTAAAAATAATTCAGTTAGAACTATGATTGAAATGGAGGAATCAGTTTCCAAATAAAAAATTGAAATCACAAAAAAGAAATATACAAGTTTATTAAATTTATCAAATATTGAAATTACTCCTGTAAAAGGACAATAATCTTTGTCTGTCTATGGTATAAACGATTAAAAAAACAGATCAATCTCGTAAAAGAATAAAATCGCAAGTGTAATTGATGCATTCAGTCCTGAAAAGGTTTCTGAAGAACAATTAAAGGAAGTATACGAAGTATGCAAATTTTGTTTATTAAATAGATTAAAAATAGAATGGCCAAACATAAGATAGTTGTGCCTCTTAAAAAAATAATGACAGGTTTAATAGCACCTACAGTTGATAAAAATAATCTGTATGATAAAATCCCAGATATTGGATCAATGATTATGAGCAATCCTTTTGAAGTAGCAAAGAAAACTAAAAAGAAGAAAAAGAAGAAGAAGGAATGAAATTGTATACTTAATTTATAACACTTTTCATTAATATACATAATAATGTTACAATAGAATATATATGATCATTCGAGTGAAGAAATGCAAATTCTCATTCGAGATCATCACATTTCAAATTAATCTTATAATTATTATATTCAATTAAAATAGGTTCATATGAGTCAACCTATTACTTATTCATCTTTAATATCTCTTTCATTAGCCAAATTCCCTCAAGTTTACATGTACACAGATGGGTTTATGAGCAATGACTTTGAATTAATTAGTTTTAATAGTGTTCATGGAAATCTATTTCATGATTTTCAAAATACTGTATTTAGAATCATACCTGTGTTAAACTTCAAATGGACTCAAAAGTTATTAAAGGAAATAGTGTAAGAAGATTTCTAGAAACTAAGTGAAATCTAAGGTAATTGATTTATGATATATAAAGTCGTAAAACAAAGAAAAGGTTAGATATAAAGTTTAAGAACTAACTTAGATGGAGAAGTTACCTCTAACATTTCCTTAACAAGTAAATTAACAGGAGTCCCTCTCATATTTGGTTCATCCACTTTTATGCTGGTCCATGTAACCTCGCTTAAATTTTTAACATTGAATGATGAGAATCCAGAAGATTTACATTTTTAATTAAAAGACTTTCCAGAAGAAGGTAGCATAATGAAATTCACTCCTTGTCTTAATTTCTAAAAATTAAGAACCAACATAGTTTATAATAAAGATGCGGTTATCTTGTCAAGCACAAAAGTTGTATGTAATCGCCCACCTTCACTATATACATTCTATAAAGGATAAGAGTATAAGTACAAAGAGTCAAAAGACAAACAATTAAAGAAACAATTTCAATAGGAAATAAAGAGGAGTAAGATTATTGGAAGTATTGAATATTAAACTAGATGGAGGGTAGAGGGTTATCATTGTGCAAGCAATAATGAAAAACAGTCAGAATTTGATGATTATCTTCATGTTGGTGATGTGATTGCTCTCTATTTATCAGAATTAAAATTACATGTGAATGCTTTAAAACCTTATGACCCATTTAAGAAAATATTGCAAATTCTTAAAATTGAAAATCTTACTTCTGCTGAACCTTAAACTAAACAAAAAGATTAATTATTAAAATTAACAAAAACACAATAAAACTTGGATAAAGAATTTAATCTAAATTAATCGGATGCTAAAATCTTAAAGAGGATTTTAATTGAAGATGTAGTTGTTACATTTTAAAATTTCAATTACTTTAATAGCTCTGAATCCTAAAAGAAATTATTAGACCTTCCAAACAGTTGTTTTTGGAAAATTGAAAGTGCAGATTAGATGAGTGGAGGTAGAGTAGATTGGAATAAAATTTATAGATTAAGACATTATTAAACTGGTAGATATTTACAAATTACCAAAAACGGAAGTTTGGTGGATATGGAGTTAATTTCAGAACCTAATCAAAATGCATTATTTAAATTCTCTCAGATTCAGAATTCAGAAGATTCAGAAGTAACATATATTAAGAGAGATTCATTTTATTATCTATTACATATTGAGACCGGTCAATATTTGGGTATCAGTGATGAAGTAAATGAAATAAATCCTAAGATCGAACAATTATCCAAAGAGGCTGAAGTTGAAGTTAAGTAAGCTTATTTGTCCGTAGTTCAGAATCATTATACTACTTTTAGAGTAAAAAAGATTGATTTTTCAGACATGTGGGAGACATACATGTTATAATACAGTTTGCCATTCTTTTTGGAAGCTATCGATTATATTTAAAGATTACATTAAAAGCATATTGTGAATAGTACTATAGCTTATAACGATGAGGATATCAAAAGTAAATTACACTTCTATTAAATATTTTTAAAATTAGATAGAATGTTAGATATGTATTGTGAATTTGTAAACAATAAATTAATATCTAATATTAGCGCTAAATAAGAATACTCTTATATTGTTACAAATAGACAAAATGTAGTTAGAGAATAAAATATATTTATTTTATTAGTTTGGATGTTATTTAGATGTTTTCCAAGCAGACAAATTATAGAAAAATATCCACAAAAATTTGAAGCTATGAAGATTGATTTCATGGATGAAAAGGATTTTATATTTCGTGTTTAATCATTTCTATAAAGTAACACACTTAAGCATCATCCAAGAATGCTCGTCAAATTAGAAGATGGACATAATAAAAGATAGATCTATTTGTCATACAAAGTTTACATGACGATAAAAGATTTTTGTAAAGATAACAAAAGCAATCAAAGAACTTTAATGAAATTGTTAAATATCTTTTACAATCACATAGGATTAGGTGATTAGATTGTTGATACTTTGGCAAATTCTATTTCTAAAACTAAATCTATTTTATAGTAATTGCCAAAAACCATGATAAGTATGCCTTAAAAACCCAATTAAGATGAGCATCAAAACCATTCAACTTCTTAAGATAAATCTCAAATGTAAGGTGATTAAATTAAAGTTATGGACTAGTCTAATTTATCCATGACAGCTCATAACAAAAGCAAAGAAAGAGTTTCATAAAAGGAAATAGAGTTATAAAGAGAAAAAGAAAAAGAACAACAGAAACTCAAAGAATAATAAGAAAAGTAAAAGGAGAAGGAGAAATAATAGAAAAACGAAAGCAATTCTCTATAAGCAATTATATTAAAATTACTTGAATTTCCGCCTTTCTCAAAACCTGATATCATTTATTTATTGGCAACTGTATGTTAATCTTTAGAATCTCCAGTTTTTGTTAACCAAAATTTAATTTATAGAGCCTTTTTTGAAAATAAATTAATTTATAATCATGCTTTTATGAAATTAACTTATAAATTTGGAGATTTATTACTTACTTGTTTAGACAAGAATGATTAACCAGTAACAATTAAATTTTTAGATTTCTTCGATGATCCAAGATTAGAAAGTGGAGCTAATTATTAACGTTAGTTCGAATATATAAAGAATGAGTTGAATTTGATAGCAAATCTATGTTTAAGTAGAAATACCTTAGCCTGCAAAACATTCCAATAAACATTTTTATTCAACAAAACCTTACCATTTGTAGAGAATAGTAATTTGAAAGAAGAAATTAGAGCAGTGTTTTTAAAATTAATAAGAGT